CTTGGGGGGATTTATTGTATGCTGTTCCAGTTTGACTGCTAGGAGTGTAAACCTATTCGTATGGTTTTTCCTATTCGGCTGTTCACAGCATTCATATGGTTTCCTGTTCGGCAGTTTTGGTGTTCTGCAGTAGCTGTGCCTGCATCTCTGGAAAGGGGGCCGATCGCCTAAACGGTTTTTACCCCTTGGGTGCAAAACGGTCCGTTACATGTCCCTTTAAATAAAGTGCAATGCTTATGTTAAAATAAAAATAAAAACTTACAAAAATAAAATACTGGTAACTAAAAAAGAAGGTAATTAAAGGACTCTCCACCTGCAAAACAACGTTATCACAATTAAAGTATGATCGTGCTGATTGTAATCTACCTCTGTTACATGCAGTGATGATATTGCGAACATATTGTCTGTGTGTGTATTTTTTAATTAGACTAGACTATCTGAATTAGTGTTGACTCAATATCCATTTGTTGTAACATAAAGTACTGGCCCGTTTATCTCAGGGATTTCGAAACCTCAACGAGTGTCTATGGATTAGGCTGTATGCTGCACAGATTTATGCTAACAGAGCAGAAAAGACAAGCGTCTTATTACATTCTACTTTACCTTTCAATATTCACGTTTAATATCCTTGTCTAATGCAATCAGACTTTAAGCCAGAATAAAAAATAGATTATTAAATGAGCAAAGTTAAGCATGATTTGGCATGGCTTGAATACAAGTTTACAATTATTTATATAATCTCAGCATATTCAGTAGTACTTTAAGTTTCTTAAAGCATCCTTCTCAAGAAAAAAAAACAATTTCTGAAGTTCCTGTTACCCATTTCTGGGACACTATTTTTTGTCTTTCCTTATTGTCCCCCTCGTGCAAGTGAGGTTTGAAATTCTACTGGAAGGGATACTTCTGTTACTGGAATCTGTTCAGTTAACAGCAGAGTCAATTATAACAGGGTTATTCACTAAGCATTAAAGGACCACTATAGTGCCAGGAAAACTTTGGATCCCCCCCACCCTCATGGTCCCCCTCCTGCCGGGAGGAAGGGGTTAAATTCTTCTTCCCCCAAATCTCCTACAGCTGTTTAGGCAGTTCGTTTAACATTTATTATTTAGACTGCAGGCTCTTTTCCTGCAATGTTGCAAACGTATTTTGGTAGATCTTTGCACATATATTTTTTTATGCACTTGATATACTCTTTGTTCTAATTATAGAGTCTATTTACTTTTGCATTTAGAGATCTTCAGTTTGCTACATTTAATGTATCTCCCCCCTTTTGGTCATATTTATTTGCTACTATTTATGGCAATTCTGCCACACACATACTTATAGCATTTCTTCTGACCATATTACTATTATTTTTGGACTAGTCGATTCTATCCAATTAGATCCTAATTTTATTACTTGTTTGTTTAGTATCTGTGTGTTTCTCCCCCAAGAGGGATTAATAAAGAGTTTTTCGTTTTTTGCTCTCTGCGCTCCACTTTTATATTTATAATTGCAGAGTAGCTTTTTTCATATAAGGATACAAGGTCTTTTTGGGAGGCAGATTGTTTATAATCTGCAACCCATTAGTCCTATTTTCTCTTTAAATTCTTACCTTTCTCCAGCGCCCGGCTCCCTCTGCGCTGGGGACTCTCCTCCCTCCTCCGATGTCATCCACCGAATGCGTATGTGCGACAAGAGCCGCGCACGCATTCAATCTGTCCATAGGAAAGCATTTCTCAATGCTTTCCTATGGATGTTGGCATCTTCTCACTGTGAAAATCACAGTGAGAAGCGCGGAAGCGCCTCTAGCGGCTGTCAATGAGAGAGCCACTAGAGGCTGGATTAACCCATATGTAAACATAGCAGTTTCTCTGAAATGTTTACAGCTGCAGGGTTAACCCTAGATGGACCTGGCACCCAGACCATTTCATTGAGCTGAAGTGGTCTGGGTGCCTGTAGTGGTTCTTTAAGTGTTTGCAAGTTAATACTGAATGAGAACATTGAGAAACAAATGGCTAAACTGTGAGTATTAACTAATTTGGAAACTTTTTCGAGATAAGCTATTTTTAACTCTGTTTCTCCATTCAGATTTAATTTGTGAAAAAGTTTCAGGAATAATCATGAAAGTGTAGGACAGCCATGTCAGGAGTATAAGCCCTCCCTGCTCAGCTTCCCGCAGTGATGACGGGAGCGGGAATATGACGTCACTCCGGCATGTGAGGGTCTTACTGCCCTCAGCATAACGTTCACACATGCTAGTGATGCGCTTGTGCTATGCTTGACAGGACAGTTCCCTGGGGAACAAAGTCAGGACAGTGTGACAGGACCCACAAATTGGGACCATTCCATCAAAATCAGAACAATTAGGAAGCCTGACATTGCTCTGAGTTCCCTAATATCTAATGATGTGTTTATATTACTCTTGCTAAGAACAACTTCTGATGTCCTCAAATGCTAGACACTAGGAAACAAACCCAGATGGAGGCAGAGGGGCCCTAAATTCAGGACTAAATCAGTTAATTTCCAGGGAGAAAACTACAGTTTTCATCCTATTAATATTTTTTCCCTTCTCCTGCAAGAACTCCTGTTGTGAGTAAACCAACCAAAATCACAATGGGACTCTTGGCTTACAGTAGTTTGAGTGAATCGCGTTCCTTCCTTGGCACTGAAGTAATTAGTTGTTTAAAGAGGAACCATAACAAAATTGAATAAAACATAGGAAAACATAGGAAAATACATTTTGCTTATGTTAAACACTAGCACACTCATTTCAGTGGATAAGGAGAAAAAGAAACATTTTTTGATTATTCTTCCCTACTTAGTATGTTCAATGACAGAGATGGACTGAACATATAATGATTGACAGGGAACAAAGACGGAGGCACTCAGTTCAAGGGCAGAGCTGAATGTGGCTGTGTGGATTTCTACATTTAATTTTATTTTCAGACCTCATAAAAAACTATTTAAGTATTTGGTATAAATCAACAAAATATTACATTTTGACATGTGAAAGTGTCCTTCAAAAACAACTACAAAGTAAAAATAATTGGAGGACCTGAATCTTGAAAGGAGTTTATCCAATAAGGCTGCATAAACCAGTTTCTCCCAGCTGGTGCGCAATAGGTTAAATGCCAAAATAAAGACTTATCTTTAAGCTGAATGACATATACCTGAAGCAAAGATCTAATCATTGCATGTTTTTCCAAAGTCGAGCAATAGATTGTGTTTGTGTGTTTACATACGCAGAGGTGTATGTGACTGCACAGGTGTACTTGTTTGTTTATAATCAATAGTGGCGGTTCATTTAAAATCATACAATAAATATAACGATTTAAAGCGTTCCATATAACTGTGTGAGATTTGATAAGCTTCAAGTACCTTGAAGTGGTTAAACATTCAAATTTATTTTTTGCCTGGAGGTTTCTTGAATATTTAGTTTTCAGGAAATGAAATAGAACATTTTTTTCCCCTGTCAAATTCCAGGGGTTGCACGAAACAAGTTTGGGTGTGTCACATCTAGCAGAGTTACAGGCGCTTAACAGATTCCATCCCTGTACTTTCTACTGCAATCTATTTCACTAATGTGAGGCTAGATACCACAATGTTCTATCATAAACACAAGGACCTGAGTTGGTATTACAGGGTACATCTCTGCAAACAGTGAGATCTCTTCCTCCACCACATACCTGTGACTGCGTTTTTTTTGTTTATTTCATTTTTTTAATATGGTCATGCATGGGATCATGCTTGAGCGTGCAGTTCTTTGAAATAGAAAAATAAAACCTATCTTAAAAGACAACAAAAAGAAAACTCAAAAAGTTGATCGGTGCAGGATTAAAAACTGTATATATTGCCATCCAGTTAGTTGTTCCCTTTTCTAATCACCCAATCTGGTGAATATGTTTTGTTGTTGTTATTTTTGTTATTATTATTATTATTATTAGAATGAAATGCAAACAAAACCACTTAACAAAAATCTGATTTGAAGAAAAAAAATGTAGTCATGTACATATCATGTTGGACTCCACAAGCTGATTTGATTGAAACAAAAGATGCTTCTCAAAATTGTTCAGATTATGGTGATGGCTACATAGACATGTGTACAAGACTTGTGCTAAATTGTCCTCCAAGTTCACTGCTTAGGTTTCTATGGATACTTCTGTATGCTTTAAAGGAATGTAGTGGTTGTGGTTCCATGAGTACCCTTGCACCCTCTCTGAATAATTTGTAATGGCTCCGAAGGCCCCTGCGCTGCATCTGACTTTCCTTGCAGGAGAAGCCGGGTGTCTCCACCGAGCTAAGCATGGCCTGATAAAGGGCTAAGCTGACGCTGTAAGGGAATGATTGCAGCCCTGCTGATCTCGGTAAAGCCAACCAGATTTTCCATGCAGGGCAATCCGGAAGCAGGAGTCTGACTGCGGCCATCCAGGGGTATCCAGATAAGTTGTGACAAAAATTACTTTGGGATGCGGTTGAGCATTACTGGCACCATAAGCATTACAGCGAGCTATAGTGGTTATTGTGTTTGGAGTATTTCTTTAGGGCTTGCCTGTCCTGTTTTGGAAGAAATAAATCATGGTTATTTCTGTTTACACCTATTTATTACTAGAGAAAACATTCACATTTTCCACCGTGTGTTTAAATTTAGTATTTTTTATGTAAACTTTTAATAGCAATTTTCTCTGGATGCATATCCTGCAATGACTCCATATGCCTATGACTGGAAGTTGGGTATCCTCATCCTGAATTTGAGTTGTAGTGTTTGTCATATAGATTATATTGCTGTGACTAGGCGTTAATCTACACGGTAATGGTCGTGCTTCTTGTCCCTGTATGTAGCATGCCTGTTATATGGTTTCATTATAAAGTAATAATAATCATTGTGTACTTTTTATCTTTTCTGTAGCTTTCACCATGGAATATCACTAGATGAGACTGGACAGTATCGCTGAATTTAATAAAAAAAATTTGATAATAAACCAGCTCCTTACTGCTGCTGTGCCAACTACCTATATGCAATGGATTACAAGACGAATTGTCCCAGTGTCCGCATACCAAGCTACGATCAGCATCGAGACAAAAGGAAACGGTTTACTGTAAGTATCTAAACATAGGAGATTTTAAAAAGCAGAGTATGTTTTGATAGGAAACCACCTACTTCTAATTAGGAATGTGCATGGGAAAAATATTCGGTTTGGTTCAGCATTCCGAAATTTGGCATTTCGGGACTTTGGGACTTAGTTTAGGGTTAGGGGTAGGGTTAGGGGTAAGTTTAGGGTTAGGAATAGGGTTAGGGTTACCTTACCCTAACCCTACCCCAACCACTAACCCTACTCCAACCCCAACCCTCTCCTGTTTTCCCACTTTTTAGAAATCCGAAGCACTTTGGCAATTCGGTTCGGCATTCTGAAGCATCCGAATGTCCGAATTTCCAAAATTCGTCTGAATTTGCATTCGTAACGAAACGAATTGCACATGTCTACTTCTAATTAAGCTGGGGGGGAAAAATCATCATAAAAAATATTTTGCAACCATTCCACCACAAAAGTATTAGTAGTGCTCTTTAACCATTTCGCTATGTAGGAGGGGCTACATGCACCATGACCACTTCAAATTGACCAAGTGGTCATGGTGCTTGGAGTAATCCTTCAATTTAGAGGCATTGCTGAGGAATAGCATTGGGCATTCATTTGGGCCTTTTTTCCTTTGCCCTTGAGCAGTTTGAAATGCAAGTACCAAAAAATCAAGTCACTAAATAGTATTAAGATTTTTATGGAGTAACGGAATTGTGGAATCACTGACACTGGGTTAAATTCAAATAGTTATAGGAGAAAGAACATTCTAACTAGAGAGGTTATTTCTGGTTCTCAGAAATAATATGAACATGCATTAAAGGACCACTATAGTGCCAGGAAAGCATACTCGTTTTCCTAGCACTATAGTGCCATGAGGGTGCCCCCACCCTCAGGGTCCCACTCCCGCCAGGCTGGATGGAGAGGAAGGGGTTAAACACTTACCTTTATCCAGCCCCAGGTTCCCTCGTTGCTGGAGACTCTTCTCCTCCTTTTCCCGTCAAGAGCCGCGCGCGCATTCAGCCAGTCTCATAGGGAAGCATTCTCAATGCTTTCCTATGGATGCTGGCGTCTTCTCACTGTGAAAATCACAGTGAGAAGCGCGGCAGCGCCTCTAGCGGCTGTCAATGAGACAGTCACTAGAGGCTGGATTAACCCTAAAGTAAACATAGCAGTTTCTCTGAAACTATGTTTACAGCAGAAAGGGTTAATCCTAGGAGGACCTGCCACCCAGACCACTTCATTGAGCTGAAGTGGTCTGGGTGCCTATAGTGGTCCTTTAAAACTCCTACACAATGTGTCTTCTCTGGACAGGCCATGTAACATTACATTATAATGTGTTTCGTCATGGGATATTTGTAATACCATAGATATCATTGAAGTATAACTGCGAAAATACAGTTTCAGAACACCCTTTGGAAGTGCAGCAAGATTGCACAAATTAGATATAAATGAGTAATGGAATCCTTTCCATTTTCACCTACCTAACCAAGCATATATGTGTTTTTGTTTGTTTGTTTGTTTGTTTGTTTGTTTGTTTGTTTGTTTGTTTTTTGTGTGTGTTTGGCCTCTCCTATGTTCGAACACTGTTGAGTGACAATTCCAAAAACTACAATGTAAAGTAAAAGAATGCATGCAATTGCTGTTTATTAAGTACAAAATGTCAGGTAATTTCACATCTGGATCTAAATCTGGATAGCAAAGCTTTCTTTTTCCATTAAGGCTAATTTGACCATAAATTTGAAATTCACTTTTAATTCTCATGTTAGCAAATGTCTCAATCTAATATTTTTGGATAAGATTTTCAAATGATTTAATATTTTTGGATACATTTTTAAAACTATTTAACCCCTTCAGACCGGAGGGCGTACTATTACGCCCTATTTTAGGCGGCTCTAAACGCCGCCGGACATAATAGTACGCCCTCCGGTCTTTCTTTACTAACCCAGTCGCCGGCGGTCCCACGTCGGCGATCGCGGTTGGGGGTACTCCCAGGGAGCCCCCCCGCGGCAGATCTTCCCTCCTGCAGCCCCCCCGGCCATGTGAGAGTGAGGTCCTTGCGAGGACCTCACAATCACATGGCAGGGGGACTGCCTGTAATGAAAGGTAGTCCCCCTGCTGGCTGGAAATAAAATAAATAAATGTTAAATAAGTGTAAATATATATATGATCTAAGTATATATATGTATATATATATTTATTTTTATTTTAAATTCTTTATTTTATTGTGCAGGTTCAACATAATGTCCACATAGCCACAACAGCTTATGTAGTCATACTTTGCAACATATGTTAGTACAGTAGCGGCATATATATATATACATAGCACTTTTTATGTATTAATTGTGTAGTTGCGGTGTCGTCTATTGTTTCGGGCATGTCCAAGACCTGGTGGGGTCTGTGGGTACGTCTACTTAGTGATTGTCTTGGACATGGGTTGTGTCGTGTGGGCCCGTGTCTAGACCAGCTATGGATGCATATTTTGTGTCTATGGCATGAAGTCTGTGACATGGGGTCCATGAGAGCCCCCCACCGTGGATGTACCTTAGAACACCAGTGTGCGAGGGTGGGTCTTTACATGGATGGAGTGCCCCAGGATTGGTGTATGTACTACTTCAGAGATACCCTCCTGTCACTATGGACATGTTGTTAACCGTGTCTTCTATGTTCGTGTGAGGAGGTGAGTTAGGTGTAGGTGAGATCAGTAATATCTCCGATTGTGGGAGCTTGCGTCCCTGATATAGGGTGCAGTGAGTACAGCTGCCAATGTGCCTCGGGTGTATGGAGTCTGCTCCTGGGAGACCTATATAGATTTTGTGAACTGTTAAAGGGTCAATTGTTATAAACCAAAAATACATGGGGAGGAGGAACTTGGGTGTTGATTAAGTTTAAGTTCGTAAGAGAGCGGTGTGAGTTCGTCTTGGGCTGAATGCCCTGTCCCGGAGTGTGCTTTATCGGCAGTCTCTGGTGTATTGGGGAGGGACCTTCCTGGTACACTGTCCCTCAGGGTGTCTTTCGCTGGCGCGGTGGTCGGGTGGTAGCCCCTGGGATGAAGTCAGCAACCGCAGCTGGGTCCAGTTGGGTGAGGTCTGAGCTTTCCTGTCGGGGTGACAATAGGCCTGCCGTGCGCAGTTGTGAGTCCAGTTCATGGTAGCTCCGAGCTCGGTAAGTAGTATCCTGATGCGTGAAGGTGATCATGTTCGGCGTTCCCCATTTATACTGGATGCTCTTGTTCCTGAGGTGTTGTAAGAGGGGCTGCATGGTCTTGCGCCAACCCATAGTGCTTTTTGTTAGGTCCGGAAAGAGGGACAACGTGGCTCCCTCGAATGTCAGAGGGGTTTTCCCCCGCGCGGCTGCCAACAGCTGGGCTTTGTCTTGCAGATTTTGAAAGCGGAGGATTAGGTCTGTGTGTGCCGCGGCTGGTGCTGTTGCGGGCCTTGGCAGTCTGAACATACCATCTAGTCGCACTGCTTTTGCTTGTTTGGGCGGCAGTAGATCGGCCAGTAGGCGCCTAATGAAGTGCGGTAGGTCTGTCTGGCCTATTGAATCGGGTATGCCACGGATCTTGATATTATAGCGTCGTCTGAGGTCCTCAAGGGTGTTTACCCGGTTGCTTGCTATGCTTTGCTGGGATTGCACCTCAGTTAGTGCTTGTTCCAGGGACGGTATCCTTGCCTCATGGGAGGAAGTTGAGGCCTCCAGTCGCTGTACCCTGGTAGTGACCCCCTCCACTGCTTCTTTTATACCGGCCATGTCTGCTGCTATATTGGATCTTAGCTCTGCCAGCATGCTCTTGAGAATAGAGGCTGTGACAGGATCCTCTGCAGTTGCTTGTGGGCGCTTTGGGTTGGGTGGTGGGGCTTGTGCCATACCTTCTCTGGGGTCTATAGAGAAATCACCGGAGGAGAGTGAGTAGTCGTCGTCTCCCGCCGCCATCTTGTCCCATGCGGCCTTTTGCGACCGTAGGAGCAGTTCCCCGATATCGTGGGTAGCCAGGTCTTTATCTGCTCTGGTTTTTTTATGTTTGCGACCCATGGCTAGTCTTGTGCCGGGTGTGGGTGTTTGAGCCCGGGTAGTCTCCGGATTGCGCCTGATATAAGGCTTCTTTTGCGGTCCGTATCGGAGAGCTCTTGGAGAGTGCGACCGCTCTGCTCCGCTGCTAGCTCCGCCCCCCGTATATATATATATATATATATATATATATATATACACATACACACACACATATACTGTCTAGGTGTATTTTACTATTAATATATATATAGTTATATATATTAATATCAAATTACACGTAGACCGATATGTGTTAATTCTACATATATATTTATGTAATATTTTTACATAATTAGGTATCTTAATTAATTACAATTAGCGGGACCTGCCTGACAAGCCATGCCGAAAGTAAAGGGAATTTAATTTGCTAGCGCCATATTTAACCCTATAACTTTCCAAGACACCATAAAACCTGTACATGGGGGGTACTGTTCTACTCGGGAGACTTCGCTGAACACAAATATTAGTGTTTCAAAACAGTAAAATATATTACAACGATGATATCCCCAGTAAAAGTGAAGTTTTTTGCATTTTTCATGCACAAACAGCACTTACACGGACGATATTATTGCTGCGATACTTTTTACTGTTTTTAAACACAAATATTTGTGTTCGTCGAAGTCTCCCGAGTACAACAGTACCCCTCATGTACAGGTTTTATGGTGTTTTCAAAAGTTACAGCGTCGAATATAAGGCTTGTGTTTCATTTTATTCACATTAAAATTTGCCAGATTGGTTACGTTGCCTTTGAGACCTTTGAGACCCTATTGGCGTTTTTTGCATTTTCCACACACAAATACTAACGCAAGCTTTGGCCAGTGTTTGTGACCAAATGGCTACTAAAAAAGACTGGAGATACCCCATTTGCAATACCTTGGGTTGTCTAATATTGCAAATGGTATGCCATTATGGGTGTACATTTCATTCCTGGGCTACTATAAAGTCCCAAAGGCAACGTAACCAATCTGGCGAATTTCAATTTCAAATGTAACGTGCTATATTTGACCCTTAACTTCCCAAAACGCCATAAAACCTGTACATAGGGGGTACTGTTTTACACGTGAGACTTTGCTGAATACAAATATGTGTATTTTATTGCAGTAAAAGCAAACAGTATTATGACATTCACAGTTAAAATGTCATGTAGAACTAAAAAAAAGAAAAAAAAATCTTATTTTCTCCCATTTTTTTCATATTAAGTTATGTTTCATATCTAAATATTTGATATTAAATAAAAGCCCTGTTTCCCCCGAATAAAATGATATATAATAAGGGTGGGTGCATTTACTATGAAAGAGGTGAATTATGGTTGGACAGACATGTAGCGCAAATGCCAGGTTTTGTTTACATTTTGTTTCGTTCACAACGTGCACATTTGGCTCAGTCCTTAAGGGGTTAATATTTTGAAAAATATTTTAATAACTTTTGATTTTGAGATAGAGATATTATATATATATATATGAAACCTAATACCCATTCCATGTAATTTTCACTATAATTCCTCTTTTAAAGCTGCACTCTGGAATGCACGCTCTGTGTGCAGCAGCTTTAAATCTACTTCCATCCATGACCTATTTATCTCACACTCCCTAAACCTACTTGCACTAACAGAAACATGGCTCTCTGCCTCTGGTACTGCTACCCCTGCCTCACTGTCCTTTGGTGCTTTTCACTTTACCCATAATCCAAGACAAGCAGAGATTTAAGGTGGCGGTGTAGGTTTTCTCCTCTCACCCCACTGCTCCTTTAAAACCGTGCCCACCACCCCTTCCCTCTCTTTCCCATCATTTGAAATTCATTCAGTTCGCCTTTTCAAACCCTTCTCTGCTAACATTGCCGTTATCTACCGTACCCCTGGTTCGCCTCTCCTCTTCCTTGACCACTTTGCTGCCTGGCTACCTTACTTCCTCTCTTCTAACATTCCATCCCTAATTCTTGTAGACTTCAATATTCCCATTAACCCACCTTTGACCCCAGCAGCCTCTAAACTACTTTCAATTACTTCCTCCCTCGGACTATTTCAGTGGGCTAACTCTCCCACCTATGTAGCTGGCAATAACCTTGACTTTATTTTCTCTTATTCATGTACAGTATCTAATATCTTCAACACTCCATTTCCTCTCTCTGATCACCACCTCTTATCATTTGCTCTCAATTACCCTCTCACCCAACAACCTCAGCCTAACCCCCCTCAACTCAGGAGGAACCTTAACTCTATTGATCTCCAGCAGCTGTCAGCTGACATTGATTCACAACTGCTATCCATCCCTTCCCTCTCCTGTCCCTCACTGGCCATCTCCACATATAACACTACCCTCACCTCTGCCTTGAACACTGCAGCCCCGCTCCAAACATGCTCCTCGAGGAGGACACGGCCCCAACCTTGGCATACTAAATCAACACGCTATCTGCAGAGTTGCTCCCGTTGTGCTGAATACTCCTGGAAGAAGTCCCGCACCCAGGCAGACTTTCTCCATTATAGATTTATATTGCATTCATACAGCGCAGCCCTTGCCCTCGCTGAACAGTCATACTTTTCCTCTCTCATTAGTTCATGCTCCCGCAATCCCAGACGTCTCTTTGACACCTTTAACTCACTTCTGCGCCCTGCTGCAGCCACCCCTCAAACTAACCTTACAGTTGATAGCTTTGCATGCTACCTTACCAACAAGATTGAACGGCTAAGGAAACAATTCTTCCCTCCTTGCCGTTCTCTTTCTCAACCACACATAAATTATGCCTTCCCTACCATTCAGACTTTCTCCCCAGCTACTGAACAAGAGGTGGCTGCGCTTGTCCATTCCTCTGGCCCCACCACTTGCCCGTTCGATCCTGTCCCATCTCACCTCATCAGATCTCTCTCCCCTTGTCTTGTGCCTACCCTAACACACATCTTTAACTGCTCTCTCTCTTCTGGCACTGTTCCTGCTGACCTTAAACATGCCACTGTAGTACCTATCCTGAAAAAAAATCTCTTGACCCATCCTCCCCCTCTAACTATCGTCCCATATCCCTGCTCCCATTCTCATCAAAGCTTTTGAAAAGACTTGTCTTTACCCGTGTGTCTTGCTTCCTCAATTCCAACTCTCTCCTTGACCCTCTTCAGTCTGACTTCCCCCCTCTCCACTCTACTGAGACTGCCCTCATCAAAGTCACTAATGACCTAATCGCAGCTAAATCCAAAGGTCAATACTCCATATTAATTCTCCTTGACCTCTCTGCTGCCTTTGACACCATTGATCATGCTCTCCTCCTTCAAACTCTTCAATCGCTCGGTCTTTGACTCTGTCGTTTCTTGGTTTTCCTCCTATCTCTCCCAACGCTCATTCAATGTCTCCTTTTCCAAGCATACCTCCTCCCCTCGTCCTGTCTCGGTTGGAGTTCCCCAAGGCTCTGTCCTTGGTCCCCTTCTATTTTCTCTTTATACTGCCTCTCTTGGCAAGCTTATAGCCTCTTTTGGATTCAACTACCACCTGTACGCTGATGACACTCAGATATACCTCTCCTCCCTGGACCTCTCCCCTGCCGTCCTCCAACGTGTCACTGCTTGCCTTTCTTCCATCTCTGACTGGATGTCCTCACGCTTTCTGAAACTCAATCTCTCTAAAACTGAACTCCTTGTCTTTCCTCCTCCTAATACTGATCCTCCTCTCTCACTCTCCCTTCAAGTCCGTGATATCCACATAAGTCCATCCTTGCAAGCACGCTGTCTTGGCGTCATACTTGATTCTGGCCTCACCTTTGAGCCTCACATCCAGTTTGTTGCCAAATCCTGCAGGTTCCAACTCAAAAACATAGCCCGCATCCACCGCTTTCTTACGCAAGATGCGACCAAAGAGCTTGTCCATGCTCTAGTAATTTCCCGCATGGATTACTGTAACCCTCTCCTGATTGATCTCCCCAAAAGCCGTATTCCCCTGCTACAGTCTGTAATGAATGCTGCAGCTAGACTGATTTTCCTCTCTAGTCGGTCCTCTCACACATCACCCCTCTGCCAGTCCTTACATTGGCTCCCTGTATCTTATAGGAGTCAATTCAAACCCATTCATTTAAAGCACTGAACAATTCTAGCCCCTCTTATATCTCCTCAATGATCCATAGGTATGCCCCTCCTCATTCCCTCTGCTCTGCCCGTGAAAACCTCCTGACCGCTGCTCTCACCAGTACAGCCAACTCGCGCTTGCAGGACCTCTCGCGGGTGGCTCCTTTCCTATGGAACAGCCTGCCTACCGCCATCAGACTCTCCCCTAGTCTTCAATCATTTAAGAAGAGCCTTAAAACCCATCTCTTCAGGAAAGCTTATGGCCTCCCAGAGTAACCTCTACCTTACATACCTGTCTCTTGCTCTCTCCTATAGGGCAGTGCTTTACTCTCTCCTCCAACTCTGCTTCACTCCCACCCTATTTGATTGATATTTCCTGTCCTAAGGTGTCTTATACCCCACCTACTATAGACTGTAAGTTTGTTTGAGCAGGGTCCTCTTCAACCTATTGTTCCTGTAAGTTTTCTTGTAATTGTCCTATTTACAGTTACATCCCCCCTCTCATAATATTGTAAAGCGCTACGGAATCTGTTGGCGCTATATAAATGGCAATAATAATAATAATAATATATAGTATTTTATATTTTACTATTTTGAAAAAATAATTTAAAAAAAAGTAATTCCAAAATATTAAATCGTATGAAAAGCGTATACAAAATAATTTAATTGAATTGGTTACATAAAATATGACTTACACAGTATAACTCTTTCTTTCAACAGGTTTACAAAGTTATGGTCGCTGTAGGGAGAAATGAGTGGTTTGTGTTTAGACGGTATACAGAATTCGATAAACTGTACAACACAGTAAGTACACTGGCAAAATGGACAGATTTTATACATTCTTTATCATTTTGTAAATTTTTATCATAATGCTATAATATTTATGTCTGCAATATTACAATAAATTAACCCCTTAACGATGCTTGATGAAAATTTTCCGTTAAGGACGCATGACAGAAAATTTCCATCATTTACTAAAGTTTACTCCAGATCACTGCGGGGTTTATGGTCCTCCGGTCTGCCTCGGTATTCGAGGCAGATCGGGAGCACCCGATCGCACTGCCCCTGCAGCTGTGATCGCTCTGACAAGCTGTCAGAGCAAGCACATATGCTGCAGGGACTCCTGGTCCGCCTCCCTGCTCTTCCGCATTCAGTGCGAAGTGCAGGGAGACGGAACAGCAGTGATCTTCTCCCTGTGTAAACAAAATAAAGTTAGTTTAAAAGCCCACCCCCCCTTTACCCATTTTAAATAAAAATGAACCCCTTGCCTGCTAATTGATCACTGACTTCAGCGATCAATTGGCAGGGACTACATTTTACTGTGATCTTATTATTTTTTTTTAACTTTCAGGGTTTCAATTTATTTCATTAATTAAATTAAATAATTTAAAATTATATATTTAGCTAGCTGGGGTGGGTTGAAGTTAGTGGGGAATTGGCGAATTTGGTGTTAAGCTAGCTAAGGGCTAACATGAGAAGCTTTAAAAAGTAAATAACAAAATGTTTTAATAATGTTTTTTAAAAAAATCCCACCCCCCCCCTTTACCCAGTCCTAATAAAAATTAACCCCTTTCCTGCCTAATTACTGCCTTCAGTGATCAAATACAGATACTGTTATCTGATATTTTTTCTTCAAACCCTGAGGGTTAACTTCTGTTTATTTTTTAACCCTCAGGGTTAAAAATTAATTTAAATATTTTAAAATTATATATTTTGCTAGCTGGGGTGGGTGGGAGTTATGAGAAATTGGGGAATTTACTGTAAGTGCTGCTTACTGCTAGTTGAGGGTTAACGGTAAAAAAAAGTTTTTGCAAATTTTAAAAGTGTAGAAAAGCTTTAAGAAAGTTTAAAAAAGTTAAAACAATTTAATAAGTAAAAAAAGTTTAAAAACAAGTTTTTAAACAGTAAAAAAAAGTTTAAACGAGTAAAAAAAATACATAAAAAATGCTCATTACCACTACACCTGGAACAAATGAGCAAAAAAATGATCCCACGCCAAGGGTCAAAATGTCTTTTGAAATACCCCAGGGTGTTCTTTAAAAAATGGTATGCTTTTGAATAACCAACTCGCTAAACTACTCCAAAATGGAACATGGACACAGCGTAAAAATTAAGAAAAAAGAAACTGGAATGTCTGTGTCTCAAATGTGCCTCTTCAATATCTACATATACCTGGCAAAGGTACATATGGGGGTATTTCTGTACTCAGATGCTGAACAACATATGAAGTATTATACAGTCATAGCACACATAAGGTTTGAAAAATATATTCTGCAAACTCACTTTGTGTGTCAAAAAGGCAGAAAAAATGCTTATTACCACTACACTTGGTACAAGCTAGCTGAAAAATGGTCCCACGCTAAGGTTTAAAATATGCCTTTTGAAATACCCTGGGATGTCTTCTTTAAGAAATAGTATGCCTTTATGGTATAGCTGGAATATGTAGCCTGCTCAAGTGCTCCAAAGTGGGACAGGAACGCATTAAAACCCTCCATGAAAATTTGCACTTAAAAACCTGAACTTGTCATGTCTCTTTTACAGCACTGTAACTTCACAAAATAGTGTAGTCTAGGTCATACATTGGGCATATTGTTTTACTCAGACGATGTAACTGAGCATAATTTTGGGGATTTTATGACAGTGGTACATATCAAGTGTAAGACATACTCTACTAAAATGTATGTAAAAATTGAATACTCTACAAAAATGTATGTAATAATGCCAATTTTCTCCCATCACCACAAACTTTAACATCAATTGATGATAAAATGGTGACAAGTTAAGGCCCAATATACACCATATAAGATAACCTGGGGTTTATGGAAGCTCTTTGTGGGGTTATTTGAACAATCAAAACAGCTTTAATAACCCAAAATGAGACATAGGCCCATCATATCCAGCTATGAAAATTCTAACTATAGAAACTGAAATAGCCTTGTCTCTTATACGGCAATGTAGCTTTACAGAATAGTGCCAAAGAAATACAATAGGGGTATCGTTATAATCCACAGATGTAACTGAACACAATATGTGCAGGAATAGCACACACCAGCTTTACAAAATACATATTACAAAAACTTTTTATAGGTGTATATGCCAAAATAGAGAAAAAACACAATTTTAGTTCAATATTTAACAGAGATTGGCGATGAAATGGCTACATAAAAAGTGACAAAATAGCCTTAGGTAAATAGCCTGTGATGTCTACTTTATATAAATATATACTTTTGTATTGCAATTTTGTTTTTTGTGATAGCTGCTAAACCTACAAGAAATTTTATGTTAGTCCTTTTATTTTGTGACCTGTAACTTTCAAAATAAGCTGAAATCCTATACATATTATGTACTCAATAAATCAAGACACATACATGAATTTATTTTGAATTACTTTTTCTAAGCTGGACATATTATGCACACGCTATTATTGCCAAAACTGTGGGGAAAAAAATGTTTTTTTGCGTTTTTTTTTTGTTTGTTTTTTTAAATTTTTGGGCATTTTTAAAATAATTTAATGAGAATTTATCTATGTATTTGAGACATCAAATTAAAGCCCCTTTTACCCTCTAAAAACAATATATAATATGTGTTGGTGCAATAAATGACAGAGATGCAAATTTCGTTTGAACACAAACTGCAAAAAATGCAAAAAAAGTCCAGTTTTTGAAGCTGCATCCTTAAGTGGTTAATGTTAAATAAGGTAACCCAAATTACAATCTTTAGATGAGAATTTGGAAAACCTATATGAGGAGAAATTTATCTGTGTCACAGAAGTCACAAAATACTGAGATAAGAATGTGCTTAAAGGGTTACTCCAACCACCATGACCACTTCTGCTTTTAGAAGTGGTCATGGTGATAGGAGCCTGTATATGCAGTGTCTCATCTTAAAACGCTGCACATACTGAGATATTTGCACTTTTGTGCCTTGGGCTAGTTACATCACTCGCACATGTGACTTTGGCAGCCTGGGACTGTGTTCCCGGACTGCCAGATGTCCATTCTTTGCAAAAAAAATGTCTGTCATTAGTGCGCAATACACGCTGGTAATGGACCTAATTAGCGTCTTCTTAGTCTTCCCTTCCTCCTTCCTTCATTGGTGCCCTCCCTCCTTTAATTCTTTAGAATTTTCCCTGCCTCCTTCCCTCTCCTCACACTTTGAGCCAGCTAAATGGTCCAATCAAAGGCTTATCTATGAGAAGTCTTTTATTGGATTTTGCGGTGGCTGCCATGACATTAAGCACTGGGAGCAGCACTAGGAGCTTCGCCTGGCAATGGAGTTCAGTGATGTTTTTTGTATTTTTTTTAATTTAATTTTATTATTTATAGAGCATTAGGACTTTAAAAATGGTTTGAGGGGGTCGGGGCTTGGGCACCATGCTGGCAGGTCCCACATAGCCGGTGCTCCTGCCTGAACTCGATTAAACTAAGCTTTTCCGCTATCAGACTTTCACATGTTGTTACCTTTACCTGACAAGGCAGGGTCCACTTTGAAGAGTGTTTCAGCACCAATACTACTGAAACAAGGTGGCTGTGGCCTACAGTCTACTGCGGCCTGGTGGTTCCCTGGCGGGTCAAGCAGCCGATCACTCCATTTTGGGCTGTCCTGGCTTCCTTGCTTGGATGTCTCTATGAGCCCCGCATTCCCCCCTCTGGGCCGGTGGGGATTATTCTAGTCTCCCAAACAAGCGAACACTAGCCTCTGGATCGTTCCTGGGAGAATCTCCTGTAGGCAGCTGACACGCAGCCTTTTCAAGATGGCTGACAGCACCACAATGCCTGCTGAATGAGCAACTTTAAGCAGCTGGGAAGCAGCCTTTACACAAAAATTTGAAGCCATATGCCAGCAATTTTGGGAGAGCTTGGAAAATTGGCAACAGCCACAGGCATTGGTCACACCCAAGCGACAGGGGACCAGGGAGGAAGACGTCAAGCTGGAAAATAGGCGACAGCCACAGGCTTTGGTCACACCCAAGCGTCAGGGGACCAGGGAGGGAGAAGTCAAGCTGGAGCAGATCTCTTTGGGCAAAACTATTCAAGCCTGCGCCTACCCTAGAGATTGCCCACCTAGACTGAGCCCCCCCCCCAAGGCATCGCCTCCATGCATCAGCCACAGAAGCCAAGGAATACCTGCCGGAAGAGGCGCTTACCACCCAGACCCTCTGTCTCCCCCAGATGGGGGAAGGACTGTCAGAATATTTATATCGACAGACATTTTGTGCTAAAAAGAAATTAAAAGTGTATATTGCCCAAGTCACTCAAAACAAAGCGGACTCCATTTTGCTATCTTCAGGATAACAAAAACACATAATTTCCTTGATTTCTTCTTACTTTCACTAACCACTATAGATGCATTTATCTAAACACAGACACTAGTGACAGAGAAGACTAAGTAATTCATTTTACTTTCTAACTTTTACAAGGTTCCATTGTAAGTAAGGGGTGAAATTGAGTTTAGAACTGTCAATTTTACAAATTACGATCAAAGTAGTTGCCACAAAGATTGGGACAAACGCTTTGAACTGACAGCAAATCTAAGTTATGGTAGTCATTTTAGATAAGCCAAATGAGGTCAAAATCGTCATCAGGAAAAGTTAACTCTTTCCTGGATAGGAAGGTTTCGTTAGACGAGACTGCCCCCTATGGATCAAATACCTAAATTGCGATCCATCGATTGAATCCACCTACGGCTTCCTATTGGTTTATCGACTAATGACGTTCAAAGAGTCTGTCCCTTTAAAAGTAAGGACAAAGGGAAGAGTTGGATAGACAGAGAGATACAGAGAGGGAGTTGAAAGTTTGGGGAACTCCAACTCGGACATGCAGAGAGATCCAGGACATTCTCTGGGACTAACACTCAACTCTTAAACTCTTAACACTTAGAATTATAATCTGACTTTATAACCAACACCACTTTTCACTATCACTCACGCACCTACATACAACCAGTCAAGTTTCTGGGACTACCTACTCATCTGATGAGAATATCTACATAACTGGTAATTATGCTGGTTTTATTTAATTAATTTAAATTAATTAAAATTTTACTAATAGCATGATATATGACTGGATAAATCACGGTGAGATTTCCATATTTAGAAATCTTAGTTAACTAAAGAATATATAGTTATAAACATTCCATTCTGCAGGTGGAATTAAGAATAATTATATATTAATGTGATAGTATCACACGTTAGCATACCGCTGTTTTTATCCAGGTGTATTGATTTGCTCTAATATAAGATATCTTTTTAGACAAATTAAAATTCAGTTTATAGAATCTGGTAGATTATTCTTATTGGATGGTTCCAGGAAATGATTAATGAGATGGTTTAAATGTATTTTAATTGAAAATCACAGGAGGATACTATATGCCTAGGAGGATCTAGCCAACATTGAAAGGGTTACTCAGTTGTTTTAACTGTTAGCCAAGGTTTTATGGCTCTTCGCTGTGAAAAGCTTTACTTTTGTGTGTAAGGATACCCTCAAAAATCTTAAGTGACAGAAAATGCTGTTAGCCATTCCATTGTATTGTATACTTATGTTGTACTAAATATTCACTGATTGATATCATGCATGCTGCCTAATATTATTGTTAATTAATTGTTACAATAAAATAAAATCTATTTTTATAACACATTGTGATCATTGATTGTATGAAATACTTTTCACTTATTTGATAATGATCTCTAAGATCTAAGAGAATTGAAATAGTGGGCAATTCTCGACTGCTAAATATAATCATCCCATAAATATCCCCACAGGACTTGGCCCCCCAAGGTTCCTCAGTCCACGGAATACAGATGCAGGATCTAATAACAGCCTGGGGCCGGTGGAGTATCTTGCCCTACTGAGCTGGAGATGTTTCCCACCTAGACTTGTCTGTGTCCCACTCATTTCTGCCTCTGGCAGGGATCGGCTAATCTCCCTATTTTTCACCCACCCAGAGATCCAATGTGATTATGAAGGTGGCTAGGTTGGATGACATACCAGAGAGGCAACGTCATATTTATGTTGAAATTTATCTTCTCTTGGTTTTTACTTTAGATCTCGCTTATCATATTTTGCCAGATGATTCTTGTACTGCCGAGCCCTCTTAAACTAACACTTGGGTGCCCAGGCGACCAGAAGTCCTATTCATACATGATCCCACATATACAGCCTGTAATACCATATACATGTGATCCACCATATAGTCAGTGTGTTTAGCCTGCTTTACATGCTAATCTTTTTTTTGTTTGTTTGTTTGTTTTTTAAATTCTTTATTTTTGTTGTACAGGTAGGTACAGGACATTTCCAAACGCCACAACAGCGTACATATATATTCATACAAACTTAGCAGTGGCATGAGTGCGTGCACATTGTTAAAAATATAAACAAAGTCAATATAACCGGCTTAACATTGGTGAATAGTTACTGCAGTGTAGTTTAGCATGTGAGTAAATTAGGGTTGCTTTGCTGTATACTACTGCAGTGAATTAAAGGTAGGAATATCCAAGTCTGCATGAAAAACAAGACTGGTGCTTCAATCATAAAATACAGCAGACATGAGGATTGTTAATTAAATATATTAGGTAGGGAAGTGAATAATCTGGCTAAACTGAATGGCTAATATAGTACTGTTAACCCCAAGGCTTTGCTCCCGCAATCAAAGCTGCATTATACATGTTATCACAGGATTCCTAGCGACAGCATCATTAGAATCAGTATGAAAATCAAAAAGAGAGGTCTCAAAAGATGAAATGAAACATAAAATACTTTGAGCTTTGTTATTAGGCATGTAGATGTCGGAATAAGGGTGGCATGGTACTCCCAGTACTATCTTTTACTACATGATATTTCTTTTCTTTTTGTCTTTCTACAACTCTGTGAACTTTCCCATCTGTGTGTGGGGCCCTATGAGGTGGAAATCTAGTGTTACTAACCAGATCAGCTAGTCCAGCCTGTCTCTATTAATACTTCTCACTAACCAGGCACCCAATGCAATTGATATCCCCTGTTATATTTTATTTCCCCCTTGTTGCATTGTCTTAGTCTTGTCTTCTTTTTACTTAAAAATAAATAAATAAATGTGCAGTCTGTTGCCTTACTAGCTGGATATAATTTCCTATATTGATTTTTTTTCTTATTCGTGAGCAAATCCAAGATGTATTCATGCACATCAAAAATAAAGAATTTAAAAAACAAAATTTAAAAAAATGGTTTGAGTAACCCTTTAATTACCTATAAACCAATAATAAATGAAGGAGTGTACATCCATAAAAATGTCCATTCTCCTCTATAAAAAACGCTGCATTAGACAGGAATCCAGTATTTTCTGAAATTAAAAGGGCACAGCAGAGCAGCTGCGCAGAGATCCATAGCAACTGATGTACAACATCTCTGAAATGCAAATATGCAATTTTATGTATTTCAGAACCAAATGAGTGGAATGCAAGTATAAACCCTGGAATACAGTCAAACTACAATTACAGACCTCATTATAGTTAACGTTATTCTTATTATAATCTTCAACTTATTTATAGTAGACATAGAATTGGCTGCCGAGTCTAAAACAGAGGTCATGTCGAGATTAAAATTTATTTTGTAACCATTTGTTCAAAGAATCTCTATCTCCACTCCTTTGCACATACAGATAATTAAGACAGGTGGCATCTCAAGGACTTATTTGGATTCTACTATGCTGCAATCTGCTACGTAAAGGGTTACTCCAAACAATACTGTTTTTTTTTTTTTGTTTGAGTAACATTTTCTTGGCAAGGTGGCACCCTCCCAAACACTCCACCCCCCCGTCAACCTAAAAGAAAAAATAATGAAGAATAAAGAAAAAACTCACCTTGATTCAGCTATGAGGTGGCGTTCTCCCTGGTTGACTGATCCTGGATGACGCTGCCTCAGGTGGAGTTACACCTCTGGCAATAAAGAGCTTTAGCTCTGTACAGTCTTTCAAACTGAAACGTTGCACATATAGACTCCAAGCATCATGGCTGCTTCAAATCACTGAAGTGGTCATGGAGTTTCGATCAACACTTTAAAAATGATTCCATCGACCAACACTTTAAAAAAAAATAAACTCCCTGATTAATAGAAAAAAGTGAATTCCTTAATTAAAACTTAACATATTTTGCTAGGGTAGTTTGGAGTTGGTGTCCACCCATTGATCATTCAGAACATTTTTACAGCTAACAGATTTTGTTCTGTTATTTAAAAGGGTTATCCACTTAAGTGAGATTTGTTTGGAATTGAAAGAGAATTCTACATTTAAGGCCAAAGTTGCTCGACTGAAAGCATAGCTGGCTTTAATACTTTTTCAAGTTTGGCTATTTTGGCCTTAAATTTCAAATTGGCTTTTAATTCCCAAGAATTCTTACTTTAGCAAATAACCTGTAAGTGTTTGATTAACATGCAGAAAATCCAGTCTCAAGCCAATCTGAATGAGCATAAAGCACCATTAACAGGGTTATTCATTAACGTGAGCTTGCGGAGTAAATGTAAAATTCACGTCCAAAATATCCGAACTGGAAAAATTCTCTGTCAGCTAGGCTGCCAGTATGGCAACTTTGGCCTCAAATTTGAAATTCGGTTTTATTTCACTTTAAATTCTCTTATATCATTACACTGGCACCTGTCAAGGTGTGGGGTATATAAGGCAGCATGTGAAAAGTCAGCTCTGGAACTTCATATGTTGGAAGCAGGAAAAATGGGTAAGCGAAAAGATCTGAGTGACTTTGACATGGGCCAAATAAAGGTGGCTATAAGACTGGGTCAGAGCATCTCCAAAATGGCAACGGTGGGATGTTCCCGCTGTGCAGTGGTATTATATAACAAATGCTGTTCTGAGAAGTACGATCGGTGAACCATCATCAGGCTCATTGATGCACATGGGGAGCGAAGGCTAGCCCATCTGGTCCTATCACACAGAAAATCTACTCAAATTGCTGAAAGAGTTAATGCTGGCCATGACAAAAAGGTGTCCGAACACACAGTGCATTGCAGTTTGCTGCGTATGGAGCTGCCTAGCCGCAGACTGATCAGAGTTCCAATGATCCCTGTCCACCGCGGACAGTGCCTTGAATGCCTGGTCTAGTGATTCATGTTTTCTTTTCGATCAGGTGGTTGGTCGGTGCGTGTGTGTCATTTACCTGAGTAAGAGATGGCAGCAGGATGCACATTGTGAAGAAGGCAGGCCGGCGGAGGCAGTGCTATGCTCTGGGCAATGTTCTGCTGGGAAACTTTGGGTCCTGGCATTCATGTGGATGTTACATTAACACCTACCTCCTACATAGAGATTGTTGCAGACTAGGTACATACCTTCATGACAATGGTGTTCCTTGGCAGTGGCCTCCTTCAGCAGGATAATGCACCCTGCCACACTGCAAACATTGTTCAGGAATAGTTTGAAGAACATGACAAACATTTCAAGGTGTTACCTTGGCATTCAGATTCCCCAGATCTCAATCTAATCTGTGGGATGTGCTGGAATAACAAATGTGACCCATGGAGGCTCCACCTCGCAGCTTGCAAAACTTAAAGAACCTGATTAAGGTCTTGGTGCCAGATACCACAGGGCAAGTTCAGAGGTCTTGTGGAGTCCATGCCTTGACACTTCAGAACTGTTTCAGCAGCACAAGGGGTACCTACATGTTATTAGGCAGGTGGTTTTACTGTTGTGGCTGATCAGTGTATATTTATTTGAGCTTACCCGCTACTTCATGAAGCTGTGACTTCATGAATTAGGTTTATGATGTATAAAACCAGGCTTTAGGATGTGCTCATTATATTTTACCGCATAGGTTGTCTGATGACCTGTAGAATTACTATATCAAGCAGAGTTGTTCAAAACTATTAAAAAAGCTCAGCACAAGAATATATATATATATATATATATATATATATTTAATTCTTTATTTTCTGTGCATTGAGAAATGTAACAAAACATACTTGTGCTGCCTTTTCAACATAGGCAGATTAGTAAACGGCATTGTTGTTGCCATGGATCAGAATTAGTCCATATATTTTACAGTTCTAACATAACAGGAGCGTAAGATTGGCAGCAAGCATATAGTGTGTGTCTTATTGTTCTATGGTCGGAGGAGCTAACCTGCGTCCTAGAAGTCGTGGAGAACTTTGTGGTCGTGATTATACACTTTTTCAAGTCAAGTGTGCCTATGCGGTAGGTTCCCATAGGGTGGGATGGTTGTGAGTAAGTGTGTCTATGTTGATTGGGTCCTGTGAGTGGTTAAGTGGCACTTCTCTCAGCTGTTTGAGGGAGGGTTTGGGTGATTGCAAAGTTCTGGCGTTCATCACCGGTTAAATCTGTATATGTACGTCTGAAGAATATATTTTTTTTTTATATAGAAAAATTCATTATTTTCTGAATAGTGTTTACATTTGTCAGTATATGTATATAAATGTTTAAATATCCAGCATATATTGAACAGACATTGTAAAGCCTTATTTACACTTATTTAACCCAACTAAACTTGCATTGAGTCATTCACCCAGTATGCATCAGTATTAATGCTTGTGTTTTCTCTTTTCTCTCGTAGCTTCGAAAACAGTTTCCTAACATGAACTTGAAGATTCCTGCCAAGAGGATATTTGGGGATAATTTTGATCCAGGTAAAATATTTTTTTAATGATTCTTTATCGAACAGTTTGGATCTTAATCTATACAACTTCTTTATGCAAACATACTTGAATATTGCATATTGAATTCCTCCAATCAAAATAATGAACTCCCCAGTTAAATAAATGATATTGCTGCCAAATCAAACCAGTGTGACCTAAATAACTAATTTCAAACAATGTGTCACATTATGATATATATGATACTGTAACCTTGTCTACCAATCTATGTGCAGGAGATTATGCGGTCTGTAATTCCTGGCTAGGCTGATGGATAGTAAGGCATTGTGGAAGTCTCATGATACTGATAATATTATTATATGATGCAAGTGCTGTATTGGATTAAATAAAAGGGGGGAGGGGAAGTCACTTTCTTTCAGACTCTTATATTTATATAAGTAGTTTTGATAAAATAGTCATTTTATTTACTTTAATGATGGGCATTGTAGTCTACAATTTTTTTTAGAATTTTTCTGATGTCTGTAAGCTATGCATGAACAGAATGTATAAACAAGTTATTTAAAGGGACACTATAGTCACCAGAACAACTACAGCTTAATGTAGTTGTTCTGGTGAGTAAAATAGCTCCCTTCAAGCATTTTCATGTAAACACTGCCTTTTCAGAGAAAAGTCAGTGTTTACATTGCCCGTGGGTACACCTCCAAGTGGCCACTCCTTAGACGGCTACTGGAGGGGCTTCCTGGCTCAGGGCTGCACAGTAGGCAGCACTGCCATTCAGCGTCCCCACGCTCTGCATGGAGACTCTGAATTTTCCTCATAGAGATGCATTGATTCAATGAGGAGGTGCTGATTGGCACCCCTTGCCGATTTTAGTCAATCCAATGCTTTCCGAACGGGAAAGCATTGGATTGGCTAAAAAACAGCAATTTTGATGTCACCAAGGGGCCAGCACCAGCGGATCTGTGGAGAGCTAAAAATAAGGTGGGGGCATCCACCTAAATGGTTTTTCACTAAAGGGTCAGGAATACATGTTTGTGTTCCTGACCCAATAGTGATCCTATAAACATCTTCCTTTTAGATTCTCATGTATCATTCTGCATGATCTGATTGCACATTACTGATTGTACTGTGTTTTTATTATAAAAGTTCTAATTTTACTATGACAATGAGCGTTTTTTTACAGGGCGATCATATATGTTTCAGTGACTAGCATTCTAATAATATATAAACAATTTTATGTACTGTAGTTACTGTCTGTGAAATGAACCAAGTCCTACTACTGGGAGTTACTATGTTAAAAGATTGTTGATATTTGCATCTCTTTTTTGCTGTTTGTTATGGAAATGTTTGTCCTTAACATGACAAGGTTTTCCCTAACATTGCACCTGGAAGTGTTTTAATTGTAAAAGCTTTTGAAAGAAACATATAGAAGAGTATTGTTAGATTGATCAAGCAACTCATGGGACATATATCACCTTCTTAATAAGCTAAATGGACACTATAGTCACCAAAATTATAGTCTACTGCTCAATGTCCTGTCATATGTTGACTCAACACAGAAGTGGTACAGAAGTTAGTGTATTTGAAAATATAAATACCATCTGTTATGTTTCACTTCCTCCAAAAATATCCTCCTGCGGTGTGCACAGTGAAATGATTACGGGTGTAATCTAGTTTACAGGGACACTATAGGAACCAAAACAACTATAGCTTAATTAAGCAGTTTTTGTGTATAGATCATGCCCCTGTAGTCTCACCACTCAATTATCTGCCGTTGAGGAGTTAAATCATTTTTTTTTCCTGTTTATTCTGCTCTAGCCACGCCTCCTCTGGCTGTGACTGACACAGCATGCATGAGAAAAAAATGTTGCATTTTCAGATGTAACTTAATTTAAAAGTTTTTATCTCCTGCTCTGTAAATTGAACTTTAATCACACAGAGGAGGCTCATGTAGGGTCTTGCAAGCTATTGACAGAGCAGGAGATAATAAATTCTTACTTAAACAGAATTTGCAATAAGGAAGTATAAACATTAGATGACTCATTACAGGAAGTGTTTAGGAAGGCTGTGTAAGTCACATGCAGTGAGACTAGGGCTATATAAACAAAGTGATGTATCTCCTAAGTGGCAGAGACTTAAGCAGTGATACTGCAGAGGCATGTTCTGTACACCAAAACTGCTTCATTAAGCTAAATTTGTTTTGGTGGTTATAGTGCCCCTTTAAGTACAGACCGCATATCTGTACTATAGGTAAAACGAGATAAACAAAAAATGTTTGATATACAGGAGCAGTAGGTAAAGAGGGCCCTGTCCAAATGAGCGTGAAATCTAAAAAAGCAATCCTATTCAACACAAGCTGGCAACATTTTATGAATCGTAGCACCTATACCACATGGGCCCTTGGGGAAGTCGAGGGGGTGGGGGGAAGGGGAGAGAGCTTGCAAGCATCTGTCAAATTTGTAGTGTTTCTTAGTTAAACCTATATTTGGACTTGGGTTCCTATAACTTCAAAAATTCATAATTTTGCTTTTTAGTAATTGTTGAAGGCTACTCTAAGAAATGTATTAAAAGGTCTCTGACCTATTAAATCCATTTTTAATCCATACAGAGTTTATCCAGCAGAGGAGAGCTGGACTGAATACATTCATTCAGGACTTACTGCGACACCCACAACTATGCAGTCAGTAAGTAACTGTATTAAACCATTCTGAACATTAATTTTTATTTTATTTTTAAGAAGTGTAAATTTCGCTACTTTTACTATTAAAGGAACATTCCGTTGCAAACAAAAAAAATCGAGTGTCAGCAGCCATGTCATGCCCTCCCCTTCTTCCCCAGCACAGACTTTATGTGACTGTCCAATAACGAATTTCTCAATGCGCTGTATTACAGCTCAATGAGACGTCTTTGCAAGGCTGATCATAAAAGTGAATGTTGCGCACATGACAGTTCGGAGTCGTTACTGAGCTTCCATATTAAATCTCCTCTTTACTTCAAAGGGAGTTATTTTCATAGCTCTTGTGCTCTTCCATCTTCTGGCTGAGTTCCATCCACTTTTTGGACTTCCAGTTTGCATCAGATTTTGCCCCTTTTTATAGTGACCTTATCCCAGATGTATCACTTGTTTTTTTGTGTTTCTCTTTTGTTTTCCTTGAGAAAGCTCTCTGGATCACTAACCAAGAACGTTCCCATGTAACCAAACAAATCCAAAATTTGTGATTCACAAACTATGCAGTACTATTAAAGAAAATTAATCTGAAACCTAATACTAAACATTCCTTCACTGCACCAATGGTTCGTTAAAGATGGTAGATTGGCTTGCCTCCTTTTGACCCAATTAGCAGAGAACTATTAATTTGTGCTTTTTTTTTTTTTGTTCATGCTCTTTTGATGAGCTGAATACATGTTCCATCTGTAATATTTGTGACATTGCATGATACAATGCTATTTGTATTGAGGAAGATTTTTTTTTTTTTTACTGTTTTGGGTCTTCGTTTATATCAAGGTGCCAAATCTTCATATTCTGAACCTGCAAAACTCAGCTGACCCAATTGAAAGGAATTACCTTCTCCAACCATGCACGTTTTTATTCATTCATCATCTTGCTCTCTGTTGCCTGTGTACACCTTATTGCTGTATATAAAAATGTCGCTAAGGGGGGCGTGGCTAGCTGAGATGCAGAGCAGACGTGTATGTGTGGTGCTCCGGCTCCACACCGAAAAAAAGAGGCCTTATTGCCAAAAACAAATCCTCGAAAGAGAACCCAAAGACGTCTGACTACCCCCCAAAGTGTAATGGGGTGCAAACATTAAAAAAAATGCTTGCCCAGAGAGTGTTAATCACCCTGATATAAGACTCTCCTTCAGCTGGCCGCAGGCCCGCAACCATATGGCGCCAGGGAGGCCACGTGGCACGAGCGACTCCAGCGATTCCATGGACGAAGAGAGATTGCCACAAACTGCCAGTGTAGTGTACCTAGGGGCTGACTCTGAGGAGACAGAGGAGACTCACCGCACTTTGTGGCAGCCTTCGGAATAAGGAAGGCACTGACCGCCCCAGCGGGGTACTGATGTGGAGTCTCGGGAACCCTAGTAGTGCCACCGCCCCTCAAATTTATACGGACGAGCGCGTGATGTCACGTTCTGGGGTCAGAGGTCACCCTCTGACCAATCAAAGCCCAGAGAGGGATATTTAAATCCATAATTCACTCCAGTTCCTTGCCCTGTCGTGGTTTCCTGTTCCTGGTTCCTGAGAGTGCGTTTATCTTTGTGAATCTGACTTCCTGGTATCCTGATCTTGGCTTTTCCCTGGTTATTCCGAATTCTGGTTCCCCTGACTTGGCTTGTTTTAACAGTATCTGAGTATTTCTGGCTTCCTTGACCTCGGCTTTCCCTTTGACCATTCTTCATCTCTAGCGTATTAGTCCGGCCATTCTAAGGTCCGGTTTACGCTCTGTCCTTTTATTTCCTTTTTTATGTATATGTTTAAATAGTTTCTGCGTGTTGGACCACACTAGCGGCCGTGACAAAAGGTCTTTACTGACATTTCTCCCATCTCCTCCCACCTTCTGTTCCTACCTTGGGTATATCTTTAATTGTGGTCCATCTATGCTATGTGGTTAAGCTTTAGACATAAATCCATACCTGGTCTTCTGCCTATAAGTAGATGGATAAATTAGCAACAAACTTGTATTTTGCCAGTCCTGAACATACAAAAATGTTAAAAGGGAAGAAGAGATCTATATTCTATCTAATTCCAGTTGTGACACTAGCTTCCTCTTGTAATAGGAGCATTAAGGGCTCAGACCCCCAAGTTTGGGCAGTGGCTTCAACAGATTCCATATATGTCGCTGTCCAGAAGAGTGCAGTTCTAGGAACAGCTAAGATACTGCACAGAACCCTCAGACTCCCAGGACTCTTGGCTCATGACAATGAACTTTAAATGCAAGCATTAGGAAAAAATAGTAATGCAGTTTACTTGCACTTTCCAGAAGGTGCTTCACAGTAAAATTAAAACAAAAAGAAAATATATAATTTTTCATCTTGAAGACTAACTCAACAATAGTTTTCCTGGTGCTTGGCTGGTCTGGGAGATACAGGTGGGTTGTGAAGAAGGCGAATCCTCGCCCCAGCCCCAGACCTCGTGTAGGGTCTGCATCCGCTTGCCACAGATTCGGGTACCTGTGGGTGGGCTTCTGCCGATGTGGCCGATGCATCGGAGGTAACCACCTTGTGACCCTCGGCCCGGGTGGGCTTTCAGTGCTTGTTGCCGGTGTAGGAGGTATTTCTTACCAGGAACAGGCCCACTTTGTCTCCGCCACCCCCTCTCCCATGATTTACCTCTGGGTGCAGGGGAGGGTTTGGCGATGTGCCACTTCAGTCGGTCCCAAAAACGCTGGAAAATCAGCATGTCCAGTTTTTAGTAGCCACTGGCCTAAGTTAGCGTTTATATATATATTTTTTTAATTTTTCACAAATAAACTGCCCATTCACCGATTACATCATCAGTATTATACATTTTACTGCTCTAAAACACTCATTGTGTAGAGTAATGTCTCACAAGTACAACAGTACACCTCATGTACAGGTTTTGTGGTGTTTTAGAAAGTTATAGGGTCAAATATAAGATTGACCAATTTCTGTTTTTGCAAATTGAAATTTACTAGATTGGCTATGAAGCCTTTGAGGCGGTATGGTAGCCCAGGAATGTGAATTAACCCCACCATGGCATACCATTTGAAAGAGTAGCCAACCCAGGGTATTCAAAATGGAGTATGTCCAGTGTTTTTTAGTAGCCACTTAGTCACAAACGCTAGCCAAAGTTAGTGTTCATATTAGTTCTTTGCAGTTTTTACACAATACTGCACTTTTACTGGTGATATCATCGTCGTAATAAGTTTTACTGTTTTATAACACACATATTTGTGTTGAACAAAGTCTCCCAAGTACAATAATACCCCCCATGTCCGAGTTTTATGGTGTTTTGGAAAGTTACAGGGATAAACATATGACTTGCAAATTAAATTCTCAGGAATTGCTGCCTGGGTTGTCAGGCTGGTCCCTCAAAACATAATTAATAAAATGACTTAATTATGTTAAAATATTTTATAAATATACACATAGACTTTAAATATATATACATAAATATGTATTTAAACCATATGTGTATATTTATGTAATTATTTATGTAATTATATCGATTTGTACGTATATATATATATATATATTTTTTTTCATTCTAAGTGTATTTTGATAACAATATATATTAATATCAAAATACTTTTAGAATGAAATGGAGGTCTGGGCTGCTACTGGTCCGAACCACCGACTCGAGGGCAAGGAGATCAGCCGCCTCTCCCCGTCTCCATCCCCGGTAGGCCGCAGCCAGTATTCTCCGGCTCCCGGCAGTGTAAACCTGCGGGAGGGTTGTCGGATAGCTTGCCCAGTATTTCCTGACTTAGTGTGGGCACAGGATTGGACGAGTCAGCGGTAAAGCTGGGGTAAATACTCTATTTTGGAGCAATTCTGCAGGAGCTCCTGTGCCACACGTCCATTCAGCTTGAAGATCAGGCTCCGCTCAATATTTATTTATTTTATTTATTTTATGTATTTTAATTTTATTAAGATATATATGTAATATATACAGTTACTGTTTTTGACAGTGTCATGAAGGGGAGGAGCATATTCATTCTCCCATAAAGCCAGGGTGACCAGATTTTGGAAATAAAAAACCAGGACATCCATTGGGGTGGGGCAGGATACGTAAATAGCGTTTTCACAGCTATGGTCTCAGGAATACATGTTTGTATTCCTGACACTATACTGTTCCTTTAAGCAAACTAAAGGAACATTCTGGTTAACATAACAACTTATTTTCAATGAAAATGCTATGATGCCAGGAAGCCCCTGGGCGCTCTCTTTCCTTTAAGGGGTTAAACCACTCTCACATGGTTTAAACCCAAAGGCTTCCCCTAGCTCCAGATCTCCAGGTTGCTCAGTGGTATTCGGCTCCTGAAACACATTGTCAGGAAGTGCAGACTGACGTCCGACATGGGTGCCGCTGATTGGCTACAGTGGTCAGCTGATGCTCTAAGCCAATTGCTAGTTCCCGGTTCATAATTTTTTTTAAACTTTTTTATGTATGAGGATCTAGTGATTGGCTTAGAGTGCCAGCTGACCAATCTGTGGCACCCCTACCAGCGGCACTCTGTGCTTCCTGACACTCAGTGAATAAAAGTGAACACATTAACACTGATATTTTTTTTTTACCTGGGAAGATGAGAAGGTCCAAATTTTCCGGCAAGGCCCAGGGACCAAAGCCTTGTGATATGGTGTCCAGAATGAAGTGGAGGGATCACTTCACTTGTCCTTCCTGCTCCAATCTTCTTTTCTTCTTCATTTGGCACAGTCTTCTTTTTATTCCTACACTGTCTTCTCTTATCCTTGGCTCCTTATGCTCATTTACCTTTCAGCTTCTTTTGAGCCCTTCTGCTCCTTTCTCTTTCTGATCCCTTTCTGCTACTTTTGTGCAACTTCTGATTCTTTCTGCTCCTTTACCTTTGTGCTTCTTCTGTCCCTTCCTGCTCCTTGCTGACCCTTTCTGCTCCTTCTCCTATGTTACCTTTGTGCTCCTTCTGATTATTTCTGCTCTTTTACCTTTGTGCTGCTTCTGTCCCTTCCTGCTCCTTGCTGCCCCTTTTTTGCTCCTTGCTGACCCTTCTTGCTCATTTCTGTTCCCTTCTTCAACTTCTCCTACGTTACCTTTGTGCTCCTTCTGATTATTCCTGCTCTTTTACGTTTGTGCTCCTTCTGCCTCCTCCAGCTCATTGCTGACCCTTTCTGCTTCTTGATGTCCCTTCTTGCTAATTCTGTTCCTTTTCCTTTTTTACCTTTGTGCTCTTTTTGATTCTTTCTGCTCCTTTACCTTCGTGCTCCTTGCTGCCCCTTCTCCTACTTTACCATTGTGCTCCTACTGATTATTTCTGCTCCTTTACCTTTGTGCTCCTTGCAGACCATTCCTGCTCATTTCTGTTACTTTCTGCTCCTTCTCCTACTTTACATTTGTGCTTCTTCTGCCCCTTCCAGCTCCTTGCTGCCCCTTTCTGTTCCTTACTGCCCTTTCCAGCTCCTTGCTCACACTTTCTGTTCCTTTGTGCTCCTTCTACTTTACCTTTGTGCTCCTTGCAGACCCTTTCTGCTCCTTAAAGGGACACTATAGTCACCAGAACAACTACAGCTTAATGTAGTTGTTCTGGTGAGTATAATCACTGCCTTCAGGCATTTTCATGCAAACACTGCCTTTTCAGAGAAAGTATTTACATTGCCCCTAGGGAAACATCCAAGTGGCCACTCCTCAGATGGCCACTGGAGGTGCCTCCTGGCTCAATGCTGCACAGTAGGCAGCAGTGCCGTTCATCGGGACCCTGAATTTTCCTCATAAAGATGCATTGATTAAAAGGCAGGGACAGCGCCAGCAGACCTGCGCGGCGCTGGAAATAAGGTGAGTTTTATTAACTTTTAAGAGGGCTAAGGGGGGAGCAAGCCAAAACTCACTTATCTGATCTGTAGTCTGCCCCCCATCCCTCACCTACATGATCTGTAGGCTGCCCCCACCATCCCCATCCCTCACTTACCTGATCTGTACACTGTGTCCCTCCCCCTATTTTTTTTACATCTACATCACTGGACTAATATGGCTACAATCTCTACTTGATCACTATGATATATATATATATATATATATTTATTATTATTGCCATTTATATAGCGCCAACAGATTCCGTAGCGCTTTACAATATTATGAGAGGGGGGATGTAACTATAAATAGGACAATTACAAATAAACTTACAGGAACAATAGGTTGAAGAGGACCCTGCTCAATCGAGCTTACATTCTATAGGAGGTGGGGTGTAAAACACATTAGGACAGGAATGAACTGAAATGTCAAATAAAAAAAAAAGATGCATACTATTTTTCTCAGTGGGCACCTGGTTAAACTTTATACTGTATATCATATTGCAGCAGTGACAGGGGACCAGTTTTGGGGTTAAACCACTGGTATTCTGTTTATCCCCTGAAGGTAAGACAGCGCCTGGACTCTTGTGACCTCATAACAGTTTCTATGAACTGAAGTTGTTACATGGGTGGGACTGTTCCTTTAAGTGTTTACTGTACTAATTGTTAGGGCGGTGTTTCTAGTTCACAGTGGTAAATGTTTGTAACATATACAAAAGATATATAGATTAGCTGTCACACTTTATAGGTGATAATTTCATTAAAAACAGGATTTTGTGACTTGGCCTGTGTTTTATTTGTTTAATGTTCAAGCGGGAACAAGATATATTGATCTAACTCTCTCATTATTGGTTGTTAAAACTGAAATCCTTAAGTATTATCTAATAAACATATAATGAACTATATAATACACTTAAAATAAACATATTATGTACTATATAATACACTTATAATAAACATATAATGAACCATATAATACACTTAATCGATAACTTGAAAATTTTATAGCGATGTCGCTAATGATTACTTGAATATTACATAATTATATAATTAACCAATTGTATTACTCGGTGATATTATTTTATTATTATTTTATTATTGTATAGCGCCATCAGATTCCAAAGAGCTGTACAATGGGTGATATAATTGATTTTGCAAATATTACCCAATTATGGCCTCAATTTAATATTGTTGGGCAAGGTTTCCAAATAATGTAATAATTTTGGATAAACTTTTACAATTATTTTTTCAAAATATTAAAATATATATCATTTAGTAAAAAAAATCTGAAACTTTTAAGTATAGTAAAACTATTTAAATATTACAACATTTTAATATTTGTTATAATATGAAATCATTTTAAAAGTTTATTCAATAATATGAAATAATTTAGAAGGCTTAGCCAGCAATATTAAATTAAGCCCTGCATCATTGACAGATTATTGCCCAGCGATATCGTTAACCGATTATGTGAATGTTAGTGATATATGAAGTCATTTGTTTTGAAGAAGCAGACCACCAGATTAATATTTGAAGGGGTTACACTGCTCCAAATTAAGTCATTTAGGCTGTGACTGTTGTAAGAGAGGTTCGTGTAATTCCTGTATCATTTTCCCACCCAGGGTACTTTGGGGGAATACATGGATAAAAGTATTAGTCTGGCCGTATCTGATATTATATCCTGGTGTTGGTCAACCCAAATCCAAGGTGATGGGGATTTTCATGATCTTTTCAAATAGAATGAATTAGATATTTTAGTCACACTGGTGGATATGTCCGAAACAAGTTTACAATGTGCACAATTTGGGTGCATCTGGTTTTTGGCATTCTTCATAAACCCCCATTTTCACAAACCAGACAATTTATTGCTGCAGAACTTGATGATCCAGCAAATCTGGACTGGAGTGGTCTGCGTTTAAATTAAAGTAACAGGACACACAGCATGTTTTTAGGAAACCCTGCTGCTTGTAATATATCTGCAAACAAGGCGAGTTTCTGCCAAACCTTATTCCCTCCCTCAAAACAATGGGGGAAGTGAGGCTGGGGTCATAAAGCACAGGACTGCATTGCTTCGGAATGTTTGCTAAATTGAAGAACTGCAGCTCAACACTGGAGTTTAATGAAGGGCAGTCTGCAACCGAACAGTGAAGCGTGTGTTTTTTGTTTTTTGTTTTTCATTTATTATGACATCTTGGATATTTTTCCTATGATATAACATGGATTGGTATGATTTTTCTCTGTGAGTATATTTATTTCCATTCAATAGTTACACACAAGGTCATTAGAGCAGAGTTCAGTAGGTGGACCTTTGGAACTTATAATGTGGGTGTATGTTCAATGGGAAGCCATTCGGAACTTATAATGTGGGTGTATGTTCAATGGGAAGCCATTCGGAACTTGTAATGTGGGTGTATGTTCACTGGGAAGCCATTCAGAACTTGTAATGTGGGTGTATGTTCAATGGGAAGCCATTCGGAACTTGTAATGTGGGTGTATGTTCAATGGGAAGCCATTCGGAACTTGTAATGTGCTTGTATGTTCAATGGGAACAGACTATTGTTCCTGTAACAGTTTGTATTTGTCTCATTTTTTGTTAAATTTTCTCATTTATAATATTGTAAAGTGCTACGGAATATGTTGGCATTTTATAAATGCCTTTTCTAATAATAATTTGGAACTTATAATGTGGGTGTATGTTTCAATGGCTGGACCTCTTGAATTTATAATAATAATACCAAAGTATTTAACCAGGGAAGGTACATTCAGATTACTCTGGTTTGCAAGTACGTCCTGGGGATGTTACTTTTGCCCCACATCCAGGGGATGTTACTATTACCCACTTTAATGGTACTCATTTTAGGATGAAGGGCTGAGTTGACACTGCCACGATTTGAATCTGCGACCGTGGATTGAACAGTTTCAAGTGTTGATTTATAATGTGTTTATGTTACAGTTGGTGTCTGCAACATATTGCATTTGGTAACACTTTATTTATTCTTGTGTTGGGCTCAAACTTTCTTTATTTAAAAAGCTGTTTTTTCCATGTATAGCTGTAATATCTCCTCTATTACGGCAGCAAATTTAGAGTTACAAACGTATAGACCTATTATTTGACAAAAATGAATCCTCTTTGCTTCCGTTTATTATTGCTTTATACTAATGGTTAAATACATTGAAGTTTCTTTACGGAAAGAGACACACTTAGCACTATAATTACTGTAGATACTTGTAGTGATTATGGTGCAAACATCCCCCAGTGTTGTCCAACCACTTGAAACTGTTTGACTCTAACTGGGGAGATGACACCTTAAGATTGTTTGCACTATAAACACTACAGAAAGTTGCAGAGAAGAACACAATTACTAGACATTGAATAAATGTACGCATAACAAAGAACAGTGCACCGTGGAAATCCAGAACCAGTAAATTAAATGTGATAGATGTGCAAATGTTCATCACCTTCACCAGCATTTATAAAGTGAAAGACAAAAACTCATCAAACTGTTTAAAAGTTGGGTTAGTAAAAATGTTGTGTTTGATTAATTAACATGAAGATTAATTTACAGAGTCTTGCTTCTGTTGTTCAACTTGGTGGCCTATCCATCCCTGTATGATATGAGTATCGCAGGAGCTTTGTTGCCTATAAGACTTATTTGTCTGGTTTGGTTTCTAGAAGTGGATTTTCCTGGTGGTAATTTGCATTATTAATAATACATTCCTCTGGTCTGTTAGCCCTGAGATTTTCTTAAAGCTTAGTAACCATATATACACACCTTGTGTTTGATATACACAGAGCAGTGTTTACATCCATTTTCTGTAATACCGTAGGTTATATTCATTAATCTTGTTGAGAATTGACAAAGGAATTGCTCAATTTATTGTTACATTTGATTACTGTGATCTGCAATCCTATTGTCGGCTGCTCTGTTTCTAGTACAACATACTGTAGTGTTTATGGTGCCATGATTGTCCTGGCACCCTGCCAAGTAAGTAGTTAAACTGCTTAATAACTTAATTTGAATCCGCTAGGCACCAGTCACGGTGCCTTAAACGTAGACTCTCTTGGAGGTACCTAGTGGGTTCAAATTAAGTTCCAATCTTGCCTTGCAGTGTACCATAACCACTACAGCAGAGTTTTCCTTTAAGACAATTCTCAGTTTAGTGAATAAAGCCTGATGTTTTAAAGTAAATTGATTAAACTGGACTGCTAAACTTTGTTAAAAATAGATTTGTAGGTAGCGTGGTTTTCTAGTCGAAGGAGGTGACCCCATGATATTCTCGTTCCGCAGCCCTCCAAGTTGGCCACACACATTCCCTAACAAAACTATTACAGGGATTCGAACACTTTAACTTAATTTATAATTTATAAATTAACTAAACTAAATCTGAACCAATCACTTACCAAGTCACTATCCTGACCGCTCCAAACCAAATTTCCATTTAAATGGGTCAAAGACTCGATTACCTAGATGGGGACTAAACTTCACTTAACCCGGACAAAAATCTTTGACCTTAACTTCTTACCACTCCTACAACAGATCTCTAAGTACTTGCAAAATATGGCCTTCCTACACATAATCTAGCTGGGTCAGATACTTCAGTTCTTAAGATGAATATCCTACCTCACATTCTATATCTTCTGCAGATCTTACCTGTGGCAAAACCAACCTGTTTCTTCTCCCTCATCCACAGTGCTTTTCTCTCCTACATCTGGAACAATCGCATAGGAGATTTTTAAAATGTAATATACATGACCTAAAAGCAAGCAGGGGTTAACTGGGACTGCCAGACATCTCACTATATGACAAAGCAATTCACCTGCAACGCATTATGGAACGATCTATCTCCCCACCACAGAAAATATGGATTTGTAGAGAGCACAGACCTTTCCACTTATGCCATGGTTGCCCCCTCTAGCATCAATAAACTCGCTTTTACTATGCTAAGGACACTAGAACCATATATTGGCAGTCAGTCTGACATGCCCACTTTCTGAGTGACCACTTCTTAGTAAAGAAAGGTCCAATATTAAGGAGCACTATGTTTTGTATATAAATTACTGTTCTGTTTTAATCTCCAAAAATGAACTTTTTGTGGAATCATTACATCAGAATGTCCTGATTTACATGGTATCCTATACTCTGTACAGACCTGCTAATGCTATTTGACTCAAGCATTCATTTTGATATAGGATCTGCAGTCTAGAATGTTATGACCGATTGATATTTTAATTGAACTTTAACAGGTTTATGTGCCTGTAATGATTTTGGTGCTCAATGCTTATGGTGCATATCTGCACATATTTTTTTACGTTCGTCTGGTTGCAATTATGTGTCTGTTAGTCCACTCATTGTACAGCGCTGCAGAATTTGTTGGCGCTTTATGAATAGTAGTAATAATAATAAAGGGGAGGATGATGCATTAACCTTGCTTTCTCATCTCTCTGCAGCGCCGATGTCCGGGCATTCTTAAACTTAGACTCTCCAAAACTACACTCTGATGCTTCAGAGGATGAAGATGAAAAGTCTGACCACAAGGTTAAAATTAGATATCTTAGTTTCCCCTATGAGTAATCAAGATTTCTCCCAAATTAAATCATAAATTAAACTAAATCATAAACAAAAATTACTAATGGAAATAACAGTGGGATTTTTCCACAACTAAATATTCATAATGTAAAGATTTTTGTGTAATATCAGATGAATATCCATGAGTAATGGATTGTCGCACTAACTAATCTGATCATTCCTGTGACTCTATTCATTTTTTTTTTCCCTTTAACAGAATGGTTCACCATCGCGGAGCTACAACCTGGGACCTTCTGGAAATCCTCTGTAAGCTCCATTATATTTATATATTCTCTATGGAATTTCTGATTCACATCATTTAAAGGCTACTTGAGCCTATTGACTGAGTCCGTGTGTATTTTACCATTTGAGGAGGTTACCTGTTCCTCTGCTAATTACCATTAACACTGGTTATAGGTGACTGTGCTAGCATGCTACTGGAACATGTGATTGATTGAACAGTAATGTTCTCTCTTTGTAAATCAATATTGGTGCATCATGCAGAAGCAACAGATGTTGAACATGAATCCTACAACAAGCACTTTATTTTTTGCTAATGGGCAGTACCTGGCCATAACCATTAATTTCACTCGGCTGTTGAGAAAAAGTCTTGAATATAGACTCCCATCACCCACTAGCCATCTGTTTCTGTATGACTTTTGAGCCTTCTGGGCTACTGCACAGTGGATTACAACTACTCTATAAATCGATCTCACTCCTCTAATCATATTGCCCACTACCAGCAGCAGATCGCAATGGCTTCTTTGTAACAATTGAGAACTGTCTCCGATAGAAATGGGGTCAGCTCTTGCTGTTACTGTTACATGAAGCCTCCACCTCAGGGATTTGCCCTTAGTTGAGGTGTACACATCCTATAGATCTTCTACCCGTTCTGTGATCTCATAGCAAAATACGTAATATCTTTGTGTGACAGATTAAAGAGACACAATAGGCATCAACACAACTTTATCCTAATGATGCAGTTATGGTGTATAGAACATGCCCCTGCGGTATCACTGCTCAGTTCTCTGCCATTTAGGAGTTAAATTGTTTATACAGCCCTAGCCACACATCCCTGTATGTAACTTGCACAGCCTTCCTAAACACTTCCTGAAAAGAAACCTACCGTATTTTCCGGCGTATAAGACGACTGGGCGTATAAGACGACCCCCAACTTTTCAAGTTAAAATATAGAGTTTGGGATATACTCACCGTATAAGACTACCCCTCTTCCAATGCACACCAAATAAAAATTAGCCATGATGTACAGTGAGCAGACAGAGCTACACAGCAAGACATTAAATAATGATAATCTGAAATAGCATTTAAAGCCCAGGTATGTGCCAGGCTGTTTGGGCATATAATCCATGCCTGCTGGTCTAGCACACAGGAGGCTAATTGCAATATATTCTTTTTACTCCCCCCCCCCATTCTTTGTACTCCCCCGCCCTCCATTCTTTTTACTCCCCACCCCCCTCAGAGTGGGTGGCCGAGCTCCTCTTCGTCCTGTCAGTCTGGCCGGGTACCGCGCGGTACAGGAGATTCAGTTACCTGTTCCCGGCCGGACTGAAAGGAATTGAGCACTCAGTGTGCACTTCCTTTCAGTCCGTCCGGGAACAGGTAACTGAATCTCCTGTACCGCGCGGTACCCGGCCGGACTGACAGGACGAAGAGGAGCTCGGCCACCCACTCTGCACAGGGAAGGGGAGGTGACAAGAGAGGCAGTGAGGCAGCCATCTGAGTGCTCTCTATAGAGCGCTCAGGCGGCTGCAGCATTAGAAGAGCCGTCGATGGATGCGCAGGGCACCCCCGGCAGCCATATAGACCCTATACCCGGCGTATAAGACGACCCCCGACTTTGGAGAAGATTTTCCAGGGTTAAAAAGTCATCTTATACACTAGAAAATACAGTAGATATTTTAGGTTACTTTATTACAGAGTCTCTTTAGTCTAGTATTTCTAATGTCCTGCTCTGTTAATAGCCTTCCAGAGCCTGCAGGAGCCTCCTGTATGTGAATAACGTAACATTTACAGAGCAGGAGATAAAAACGTCTATAGCATGTTAACGTCTGATTGAAAATGAAACACATTTTTTTCCCATGCAGGCTGTGTCAGTCACAGCCAAGAGAGGTGTGGCTAGGGCTGCATAAAGAGAAACAATATTAAACAATATATTTTCAAATACACTAACTTTTACCGCCTGTACCACTTCTGTGTTAAGCCGACATATGACCGGTACTAGCTCAGACTCCAGTCACTCACAACTTTCCAATTGAAATTGAAAGCATTTCTCAGAAACTTTGTCCCTGTGTAATCCAACCGATGAGCTCATTTAAAATTAGTAGGAACTCACAACTGCCAAGCTCAGCTAAATAAAGTTCCTCCCATCAATCCTGGATCCAGCAGGATTGCCTTAATTTTTACAGGGTTATTTATGAAATGCAAAATGAAATCATAATGGCAAAAACAAGGCTGAAATAATTCAATTGTGACTATAGAGGAGTTGGAGAACGTTTCTAAACCAGCTATGTTAGGCTCCATTTTCCAAGTGGGTGTAATTTGCTTCAGTTTGGTATTTTAATGAATAGCTATGTCAGTGTTTGCCTGTTTCTCCTGTTTCTCCGTTGCACATCGTACCCAAGGCTGACCTGCTTGCTTTACTTTAACCATATCCACAGAGTGTACCTACATTCTTACCCTGTTTCCACATAGCTGTCTTGCAATTAGCTGTGTTGTTGTGCTTGTATTGTTGTGGCTGACTTGGCTAAAGTGCTAAATCTGTGTAATGCTAAGCAAATTGCCCTGTTTCAAGACTTGCATACTTTATTGTTTCTTTTTGTTTTGTTTTTTTAAAAATCATTTGTTTAAATTGGTGTCACGTCATTCCATCTGTCCTTCATGGATGAACATCTGTATTAGGGAGGAAGTATATTAAATGTAGCTGAAACTTGGGTTCTAATGCAGGGGTGGGGAACCTTTTTTCTGCCAAGGGCCATTTTTATATTTATAACATCATTCGATCGATACACCATACAAATACCATACAAAACTATCAAATAGCTTCAAAGCTTTATTAGCAACTTAAAAACGAATGCCAACCCTATAAGTGATAAGTAGGGTTTGTGTGTGTGTGCATATAATTATATATGCGCGTTTGTGTGTGTGTGTGTAGGTATGTATATATATATATATATATATATATATATATATATATATATATGTATGTATATGTGTGTGTGTATATATATGTATGTATATGTGTGTGTGTATATATATGTATGTATATGTGTGTGTGTATATATATATATCACAAGATCACTGATACACACAAATAGGCTTACTAACAATCTCAATGTCACACACAAGATCACACAGACACACACACAAACTTAGTACAGACAAGCTAAGTGACACATGCTCACTACAGACAAGCTCACTGAAACACATATGCTAACTACTAACAAGATAACACTGACACACACATGCTTACTACAGACAAGCTCACTGACACAATCATGTTCACTACAGACAAATGCTCACTACAGACAAGCTCACTCATTGGTAGGTATATACACACACACAAGCTCACTCTGTCATGTGTGTTGAGTAAGCCTACCTGGAACTGAATGTTGTGTGAGCACTGGGAGGTAAAGTTCCCATTTTCCAGCCTCTTTCTGTCAATGAGATAATCTGCTTGAGTCTGGGGGGGCAAAGCTTGAGTGCAGGGTAGAGCAGAAGAGGCACAGAAAGCTCCTTCTGTACAGTGGACCCTTTGGAATCTGTAATGCTGCCGCACCAGCCCCCAGCACCTCCCTCCTTAATGATATTTGAATAATTTTCCCCTTGGACTGTGAGTGAGAATCTGAGGGGAAACATAATTTAAATGTCATTAGGGCTATTGAATTTGAAGTCCCACCTGCGGTTGCGGCCAGACCAGATTATTTCACGGGTGACGGGCCTGACGTTCCCCACCCAGTTCTAATGTGTTGTGGTTTGTGGTTGGATGAATTAGTTTGCACAATTCAAAGAGTTTTACAATAACTCTTGTGTTTAAAATTTACTTTGTTTATGGAGTTCCAAGATGTAGTCTGGTCATGTGGCTTGGGAATTCCAAGATGGCCACTAAATATGTGCACCAATATTACCACCGATCATGTACTTTCAGGAGTACCAAGATGGGTGCCGACTGCCATGTGATTCAAAGAGCATCAGATATATCCTAAATTTAACTACCAAATGACAATCACTCAAAGTGCAGCAAAAGATAAAGCTTAACAAAAAGATGTTAGAAAAACAATATAACAAATATTAATGAACGTATTCTAGCTAAACTCTTGTAATACTAACTAGACCATTATCTTTTGCAGTACTAATCATAGATTTCCCATGGTTGCAGTTAAAACATATCAAAGGCTATCCAAGTAATTTAATTGAAACACAAGTATACAGAAAAAAATAAATTATACCGTTTTATACTTTGTGTCCCAGGATCCTAACTGAAATGAAGATTACTTTCTGCCACTCTGTGTAGATCAACCTTCATGTACTTGGATAAAATATATGAGCCTAGAGCACACACTTGCAGCCTGGGACTACATTAGTAAGGCTGGCAGGACCTGTGAACAGGTCTGTGCCATCTACTACTACATGCTGGTATCCCCAAAAGAAAAACACTTAACTACTGACTGCACAAAATAGCTGGTACAGTAGCCATAGTAACATGCCCCTCCTTTCAGGCTATTCCCCGCCCAAAAACAGGTCTCCTGACTCTGAACTGGTTAAATTGGTTTGTTAAGGCCATGTTTCTTTCAACAAAGAAAAGGAAATTTCTTTGTTTGAAATTAACCCTTCCATTTTTGAAACCTGTCATTTATGCAGGGAATATCCATTAAATTGTGAAATGCATAGGCTAATAACGTAGGGAGTTATGGGCATAAAAGCACAAATATTGTGTTAAAATGTTAGTCATTTTCCATGTCCATAACATAATGGCGTGTCCCTTGTAATGCATCCCTGTTGCATTTTGGAGATGGTGTAGCAATTTCCAATCCACATATAGGATCCAGAAAATAAAGAGCACTTTAGTATATCATGCATTATACAATGTATTTAAAAATGGTTTACAAAGTATTGACTCATTGACATGATGGACAAAAAAAAATAACCGTGGTGAGAACATGCAACACTTCACCCATCTTCCCGGAACCGTGTATCTCCTGGCTAGAACAGTTTTCAACTTTCTATTTACAGTTACCATGCAATTAAATTGTATTTAAAAAAAAAAAAAGGTGTTTTGAACCATTTAATTTACTTTTCAGTGCTAAACCATCAGATTTCGAGTACCTCAGACTCATTGGAAAAGGCAGCTTTGGGAAAGTGAGTATTTTCTGCTTAAAGCAGAAAAACATGGTGTATAAAATTTTCGTAAGACGAATTGTTCCTCATCCATTTTCTGAATGTTTGCTCTAGGTTGTTCTTACAAGAGGAAGACTCGATGGAAAGTACTATGCAGTCAAAGTTTTAACAAAGAAAATTATCCTAAACAAGAAAGAGGTAGGTTCATTTCTTCTCTTCCCTTCCAAATCACCAGGATGGATGTTGTAGGAACACAGACATATTAGCTAGTATTGGCTGTATGTTCTATAACAATATTTACTTATATCATCTGTTATGGAAGGGAGGGAGGGTTGATGGAATCGGGGATGGAAGACTATTTTGGACGCACAACCAAATAATTGTATCTGCTGCCATAAAGGCATAATGTACAGTATAGCATGCCCTATAAACTGTGTATCTGGTCAATCCAGTAAAACAGGTTTTCAGAATCCTTTAACTTCAGCAGAGGTATTTCTTTTAAAATACCTGAAACATCAGTGGTGTCACAATGTTCACAGAATAAGTGTCAGAAAACATGTTGGGCTCTTGTTTTGTAAAGGCCAGTCAGTAAGTGATATTGATCTTTTTAACCGTTTATGACAGTGCTCTCAAACCCCATGTGGCTTCACTTATAATGCATTGTCTCTCCCATACAGGAGACGTGCCAAATTCGGTTCTCATGTTAAAAAAAAGAAACAACAAAACCATAATAATTAAGGTTCAGAATTTGAATCAAGCACAGGACTATAAATCTTTTTTGTTATTCAATTAGGATTATAAGTGGGTTTTATTTTATATATTTTTTAAATACACATATATATATATATGATCATAAATTATATATACATGCTGCTTTCTATTGATAATGTAATGAGAGACAGGATCAGTAAGACATGTACAGTGAAATAAACATGCTCATATCCTACTTGTTCCACTTTTAAATCCTTAACTCATGTGTTCCTTTTTTCCCAGTTTAAGGTTCTCTTATCTCTAGCAGTGTTCAATATTTGTTAGAGGGGATTTGTGTTGTACAGCAATAAAAACTCACAGATAGGTGGTTTAATACATCCTAAGGAACACTGCAATGAGGAAAAAACTATTGTTGGCACATTTAAATCCTCTGTAAAAGAGATTAGACAAGATTAGTGATGAAGAAAGGGTAGTTTGTTTATATTGTTTTGCTCTTAACTGATGAGTAGCTAATCACCGGACAGTGACTCATTTATTGCTAGTTTAAAATACACCAAAGATATGATCATGGTTGTATTATGTTATAGGTTTACAGAAAATAAATCTGGTAATGTGTGACTGTTCTAAGCAGAGTAAAATATTTAATTATTGCAGTATCTTGAAATTCTCTTTTTATTGGACCAATAGAGTTTTAGCTGACAAGCTTTTGGAAGATCCTTTGTTTATCAAATCAAATGCATCTATGAACAAAGTGTCAAATCAAATTCCAACATGAGTTTTGATACATACAGGGTTAACGTAACAGATCGATAAAAAAACCAAAAACTATTTTTAAGAGTTCTGGGATTTCTGCTGCTGTACCCTATTTTATAAAATAATAACCCAGACTGCACTAAACAATGAATACTGAATGCTTCAAGTTTGGCTCCCTGTCAATCATTGTTGTAATCTCTGCCCTTTCCTGTCTTTAAATATAGCAAGATGGGGAGGATACACCAAAACAATGGGGGCAATTTGTCAACATGTTGTGGTCTAAAAAAGTGTTTAATACATTCTGAAAGTTGTGCAGTCACAATGGAAACCAGTGGAACCAGCAGGTGCTCTCTATTCGTGACACCCCCATTTTACATTTTTGCTCAACTTTTAAGAATACATAACTTTAATAAATCTCCTTCTTTGTTTCTCCTTCCAATTTGCATTGTGTGCTCTGACTGTGCCTGAACTGATCTGGATTGTAATATCAATTGCTAAATCTGTATTTTAATTAAAAAAAAAACAAAAAAAAAACGAGTTAGCACAAGTTATGGCTGGTTATATTTTTATTGAATTGTGCAATTTTGTTTGTAAATAAGTGAGGGTTCTCCTGTTATAGAAAATTCTATTTAAATTAACGTACAAATAAACCGAAAGTAAACAAGAACACAGACCAATATGCTTGTTTCATTGAGGTTTATCTGTTACATGTAACACTAAGAGGAAACCACAGTGTTTTTAGTAGCCAGACAACAGTATTGGCTGGCAGTGGCTGCTAAACTGCCTGATATTGTTGGCTGGCTGACTGCCTTAAAGGAACACTATAGTGTCAGGAATACAAATATGTACTCCGACACTATAGTTCTAATAGTGCCGTTTAGGCCCCGGCCCCCTCGTCTGCAAAGCAAAAGGTGAATTTACTCCCCTTTTTCCAGCTCTGCACCTGCTTTATCCCCTTGGATGAGATCATCAAACTTGATGCTTTCCCGTATTAAAGCATCGGGAGGCTAATGTGTGCATCAGCTGCTCTGCATCTGTATGAGGAATGTTCAGCAATGCCATACAGAATGTGAAGACGCTGAACGTGAGTTCTGCACATTGTGTAGCACTGACCTAGGAAGCATCTCTAGTGGCCGTCTGAGTGACTGCCACTAAAGGTGTTATTAGGCAGCAATGTTACACTGCTTTTTCTCTGAAAAGGCAGTGTTTACCTCGAAAAGCCTGCAGAGACAGACAGTAGACACCAGAACAACTACATTAAGCCGTTGTTGCTTTGGTTACTATAGTGTCCCTTTAAATTGTAAGGTACCTAATGTAAGACTTTCTTGATCACATTTTTAATTTACATACAGGCTGCACTCATTTATTGGTGCAAGTCTTTATTCATTGGGCTCTTTGAATTACATACAGGATGCAGATATTTTTTGTTGCAAAGGGTTTGTTTAATTACTCTGCACTAGTTTATTGGTTAGCATAACAATTGATAGCGATGGCCACAGCTTTATTCATATTAAAAGCCTTGTCCATGCATGATTTATTATTTTCGTTTTTTGTATATTTCCTCTTTAATCCTCCTTTTGACAGAGAAAACATCTCATTACCTTGCTGACTTCATTGTTTTGTTGACCTTTGTTACTTAAAGGGACATTTCACACATGCAAAGCACATCAGCATGCTGAACATTTGTGTGTCAGGAGTATCTCCTCTTAATTGCAGTTTATAAAAGTGCTGATTTTCTATTTGAAACTGACACTTTTATACAGAATTGCAGAAACACCTCATTGGCAATCAATAAAACACTCAGGTAGGTATCTTCGAGATTCCATTTGCTCTGGTAGCGCACACCAGCCGTCTCCCCAGCGTCCTCAGTGTCAATGTTCGCCCTTTGCTGACTCACTGGCCGCTTCATTCCGGACTGACAGCCTAGAGGACTTGGGCTGAAAGATGTGCTCACACCACAAAATCAGAAGCTTCTCAATGACAAGCATCTGATTGGAAATATTCTTGACATAGACCTCTATTTACTAAGCTTTCCAAATGATTCATTACTGATCGAAAAAATCTTGAAATGATTTAGCTGCAAACGGGACGGAGAAGGCGAACAACCCGGCAAAAGCCTCCACGCCACAGGCCCAGACTAACGCCGTGCAACACCATGCTCAGAAGGGACTACCCCATCAAAGCCTCACCCCCCTCCTACCGGGAGATTGCCACTCAAAGCAAGAGAAAGCAGCACCTCAATCCTTGCCCGCTGGGTGACGGGACACTGCAGCAACGCGGAGGATACGCTGAGAGGAGCGCAGTACGCAACCTCCTAGACAGCGGCATGCTCCAGAGTATGATGGACTTGTACTCCAGGCACTCGAAGCCCCACAAAAGCGGCATAGGATGAAACCAGGCCAGAAGGGGGACTTTCCCCACCACCTTAGGAGATGGCCCCTATAACCTTACAGCACAGTACCTGCTCAACTGCTTATTTTATTTTCAATATATACAGACACTATCCAGAATCAAACAGTCAGTTAGTATATTCATATTCTCACCTACTATCATTTCACAATCTTCTAGGGTGTTAGGCTCTACCTTCCCAATAGCAAGATAATACTGCTATCTATATAATGTGCAGCACCCTTGCAGGTTCCTGATAACCTTATAAACACAGCATGTTAGCCCCGCGTCCATCACCATTTACCCCATTGAGCTTAATAATCTTAGGCACGTAGCCGGTTTATTTAACGCCAACACATGTTATCACTCACTCTTTGCTCATGTGACAAGCTAAAAAGCTTGAGCCTGTTTAAGATACGCAAACTATGCCACTACACTCAAACTGAAACACACACATGTCCCACTCATGCTGTCACCCAACTCTTAAATCCTGTAACAAGTTATAAAGTTTACACCTGTTCATAATCTACAAATTAAGCTCAGTCACGCAAACCCACACGCACGCATACCCTATACACCTTGCCATCCGACTTTCCAAATAAGTGTTGGGATGTTTAAGCCTGTTTGTATTATAAAAATGTGCAACGTTCTTCATGCCACTGTTTTACTGATATGTCAATACATACGCTGTTGTGGCATTATTCAGTTGATATGCACTCATATGCACACAAAAAAAAAAAAAACATAATTATAATATGATCTAATTTATTAGCAAACAAGATGCAATTGCATGTATCAGACATTTACGTAATCTTGGCCTTTTCTTGCAGCAAAAACACATTATGGCAGAAAGGAACGTGCTGTTAAAAAACGTGAAACATCCCTTTTTGGTGCGATTGCATTACTCCTTCCAAACGTCAGACAAGCTGTTCTTTGTAATGGATTTTGTCAATGGAGGTGAAGTAAGTGTATACTTAAAAAAAAACAAAAAACTTTTCTAACTTTTTTTTTTAATGCACTTAAACAATATAGATTGTCTGTCTATAACGTACACACTGCACCTAACTACCAAAGTGATTATTCAATCACATATATATAATCCTTGCAGACCCCGTATTCAACAATACTGGTGTTAGTCACCCCAGTGCAAACTCCGATCAAATAGTATTTTTCCTCACAAACAGAACAGATAAAACTCTCATGTCAACATATGGACTTTTCCCCACTTTATCAGTAAGCCTTCTTAAAAAACTTTGGGACATTACATTTGAGCATTTGTAAATATATTCATTTTATCCTGCAGGACTTGTCTCTTGTGCAATACAATGTAGTTTCTGGGCGACAAAAACATACATGTCCAATCTGGCCTACTTTTCATGGTTTTCTTAATTCATCACTCTGACGGTTAAAACATGGCAAAAAAAGAATTTAATAAGTTATGTGCTTCCTTTGTTTAAAAAGGAATATTTATTTAAGACCGTACTGTTGGCATCTCAAGGTTTTGCCAAATATCTCCCCAGTATTCCGTATCACAGTAGATTACAGTAGCAGTATTTTTGTTAAAGCATCCAGTATGCTATGTATTGTGCAATTACAGACCATTGTCACAAGCACTCATTTCATGGGTTAGAAGAGAATATTGTACGAGGAAGAATCTGACCAGTAATCGGATTTCACTTCTCTTTTCGTAAAAAAAAATGAGTACATCCCATTTTAGATGTTCAGATAAGATCGTCTGTGCGTGTTGCTATGTAGTTATTTACAATGTAGTTATACTTGCCTCCAGTCTAAAGTGTTTACATTCGTTGTGCCTGCACCAGTCGTTGTGTGGGGTGAATGCAATCTCATGTGCCCAATGACAATCGTGGTGGTCATATTGGTGCAGGCAGAAAAAAAAAGTCTGTATGTCTATCTATATAATAAATTAATAGATGCAGTGCAAACGATGGCCTTCTAGTTGATGGCCTCGTGTTATTTAATTGCCCAGATGCTTGTCTGTGTCATGCACACAAATGGCAAAGCACCCATAAATCTTCAGTAGAAAAACTTAATCCCGCACTTTATTCCATTGCATTTTATACGTAAATAACATTTAAGTATTACGAAGAGTTTTATCAAGAATCTTTGCTCAGACATTAATAATAAGTAAATATATGGAAGGATGTAAAATTGAGATTGCTACTAAATGTGAGAAGATGAACAACTTTTGAAACCCGAGACATGCTCAGAAACATGAATGGTGTCATGCAAGTGAGAAAAACCCAGAGATGGAGTTAGTGTACCCCCAAATAGCATACATTCATATCAAAATTGGATTTAGACTAATCTGGAAAATTGATCTAAGTTTGTAAGTGATGTGGTGATAAAAAAAAATTACTTCTGGCACCAACATTTACATCATAAACTATAAATTTATGCTGAGCTCATACAGCTTGGCTCTTTCCCCTGCAAAAGTAAATTACTTCAATACAGGGGCGTACTATGGGGGAAGGCGGCGGGGGCGGTCCACCCTGGGTGCCACTCAGAAGGGGGGTGCCCATTGCGCACTTTCACAGGGGTGGCCGCCCCTGTGTCTTATGTAAAGGGACCAGCCACTTACGAGAGTATCCACGCAAGTTTCCTATCCAGCAGCAGCAGGTCTTATGTTCTTGCGATCCGCAAGAGCGTTGCCGCGGTTTGCCATAGCGAGAACAGAGGAGAACAGAGGACCCTGCTGCTGCTGGATGGGAAATGAGCGTGCAGAGTTCTGGGCCCCTCTTCACTGCCCATCTATGCTGTGCCACCGGACCACCAGTCGAAGATGACTGGAGGGACAGGTAAGTGTCAGGGAGGGGCAAACCATACACACCGCTCACCTTCCCAGCACTTATTCCACACAACACACACACACTGCATCTGCATACACTATACACACACTCCATACACTATATACACACTCCATACACTATATACACACTCCATACACTATATACACACTGCATACACTATACACACACTCCATACACAATATACACACTGCATACACTATACACACTGCATACACTATACACACACTCCATACCCTATATACACACTGCATACACTATATACAAGAGTATACCAAGGGAGCCAGTATAGATGGAGAACCGTAGGGGACCAAGGATTGAACCTTGGGGGACACCAACAGAGAGGAGTTGGGGAGAAGAAGCAAAGCCAGAGAAAACAGGGGCGTACCTGAAACATTTGGCACCCGGGGCAGATCCTTTATTGTATATATTATACAAATATATTGGGGGCCAATACAAACCATTGTGTGGAAATCTATTCACAAACCGGACTTTACATAGGACACGAGGTCATGCGTTTAGATGGGAAGAAAGAAGATTTCGTCTAAGGCAAAGGAATGTTTTTTTTACTGTAAGAACAATCAGGATGTGGAATTCTCTGCCTGAAGAAGTGGTTTTATCAGAGTCCATACAGATGTTCAAACAGCTACTAGATGCATACTTGCAAAAACAGAATATTCAAAGATATAATCTTTCAATGTAGGGTAATAACTGCTTGATCCAAGGATAAATCTGACTGCCATTCTGGGGTCAAGAAGGAATTTTTTTCCTAGCTTATTGCAAAATTGGAAATGCTTCAGACTGGGGTTTGTTTGTTTTTTGCCTTCTTTTGGACGCAAGTCTGAACTTGATGGACGCAAGTCTCTTTTCAGCTATGTAACTATGTAAAAGCACAAAAACCTTGGCAACAAAAGGGTTAACAAAGTGACTAAATACAATAGTAAATAATTGATTTCTGGCAGTCATGGTTGGCAATTGGCATTGATTGCTCATTCTCACCGAGTGTTAAAATGTGTTGAATTAGCAGACAGTGCAGGAAATCAGAAAGCAAATTACTTGAGAATGTCAACAGATTTGATGTCTGAGAAATGTTGCCTATTTTTGGCACTGTGTTACCTGTTCTTTGAAAAGTCCAGTAATTTATAAGCTGCGATGAGTCATGAGGATGTTCTTTCTATGTCTGTGTGAAAAAAATCTGGGGAATGTTTGCTGTCATTATACACTTATGTTTTTGCTTTGATTTGCAATGTTCAAGCAAACCTTTCTCCTAGTAAAATATTACATTTTTCAGTGTCAACACAATGTGTTTATTCATATGGTACAGCACATTTTAGGATTCTCTTCTGCAAATGATTCAGCAGTTTTTACTGCTAACCTCTTCCAGGATGCTTGCACAATTCTGCTGTTTCTGCTTGCTTGTCTTTCAAATGAAATCTAATCTATCATATTCAGATGTTTTATTTTTAGGCATTTTATTTAGGCATTTTATGGTCATTCTTCTACTTTTTGTTTACTGCATCAAGTACAAAATGTGTGTGTATCCTTAAAATAAATGGATAATATTTCTGTGTAAAAGATTTGTAGTGCTCTGCCGTGTTTGTGTTTGTTTTGCTGGCCTGGACTGGTACCCAGGTGTATTTCCCAGTGCGGTATCTGGGTCAATCCAGGCTGCCAGCGGTATTTATGGTGTCTTAGAAGAGGTTTGCAAGTGACTGTAGGGTGAGATGAGACTTTGCGCATTACAGACATAAAACACACTGGTTCTCATAGGTGGCAATCTAGTTGCAGGAAACAAAGTCTGCAGTTCCATCATTCTGTACAGGCAGGGCCAGATTAAGAGCCCAGTGGGCCTGGTGCTGACAATTATGACGGGCCTAATTACAGAATCATATCGACCAAAAACAGTAAAACACTCCCAAGCGTCATGTATTTGATGGAGATGGTGCTGGAGAGAAAGAAAACAGCAGCTATAAGAAAATACATACCCTAGGCTAATCACTCACTAATTTATGTTTTCATCTTTCAAGTAAATCCATAACCTCTAACAGCAGTGTCCAGTCAAGCTGGAAGTCAATGGGCATGGTAAAAGGGTGTGCCACTGACACAAATCACGTAACCTGCCAAAAGGGGTGAACATGCCCAAAAAGAGGATATGTCTGCCCAAAGAATTAGAAGACCAGCCTGGTATGAATGCATGTCAGGCTGCCTGCCAATCATGCAGCTGGCCAACTAAGGGCATACTACGCAGACTGCACCCTGAGCTTGGCATAAATGCATCTAATGATGCGCTCGCTTAATGCTTTCTAAGGACTGTCCCCTAGCACTCGCTGGTCATTTGTCTCCTTACCTTCTTACCAGCAGGCAGAAGCTCCTGGTATACAGTCTGGGACAGAGAAAAGCTGTATGTAGTGAGTGTAGAAGAAAGGGAACATGCCACAGTGTTAGAGAGATCAAAGACAGCATTACCTTAAAGGATCACTATAGGGTCAGGAACACAAACATGAATTCATGACCATATAGTGTTAACACCACAATCTAGCCCCCCTGGGCCCCTCATGCCTCGATAAATATAGCAAAATCTTACTGTATTCAAGCCTGAAGCTGTAACTCTGCATGCTGTTAGACTCAGAAAAACAAGCAGTCTGCTGACATCATTAGAAGTGGTGCCTAATCCAATCACAGTGCTTCCCCATAGGATTGGCTGAGACTGACAAAGAGGCAGATCAGGGGCAGAGCCAGCATGATTCAAACACAGCCGTGGCCAATCAGCATCTCCTCATAGAGATGAATTGAATCAATGAATCCCTATGAGGAAAGTTCAGTGTCTGCATGCAGAGGGAGGAGACACTGAATGTTTGGATGCATTTTAGGCATCCATGACCCAGGAAGGATCTATAACAGCCATCAAAGGAGTGGCCAGTGAAGTTATCACTAGGCTGTAATGTAAAGACTGCATTTTCTCTGAAAAGACAGTGTTTACAGCAAAAAGCCTGACAGTAATGATTCTACTCACCAGAACAAATTCAATAAGCTGTAGTTGTTCTGGTGACTCTAGTGTCCCTTTAACTATATTCATTGTCAGCCAGTCCACACAAGTTTTGTTCCCATACATCCCTCTTAAGTTTCCATACTTAAGTAAGAGTATGTGAAAAGTAGTTAGGGTTGCCACCTTTCTTGGAAAAACATACCGGCCTTGCTAATTTGCATAATTAAATATGTATGGGTGACATCACATGATGTTAATCACAAGGAGTGGCATAAGAGAAAATGCTGTAAAATCATCAAAAAACTACTTAGTTTGATTCTGCTGTATAGATGGCCCCATGTCTCCCAGTGCCCCCATGTGTCGATTACTCCAGGTCTCAGTGTTCCTATGTATCAGTGTCTCAGTGCCCCATGTCTCCCAGTGTCCCCTAGTGTCGTGTCCCCAGGTCTCCCAGTGATCCTATGTATCACAGTGTCTCAATGCCCCATTTCTCCCTGTGTCCCCATGTATCCCAGGGTCCCTATGTCACTAGGAAGACGGGAAGACCTGGGGACACGGGGAGACCTAGGGACACGGAGACACCAGTGACACTGGGAGACTAGGGGACTCTGGCTGGGACGCATGGGGACACTGGGAAAATAGGGGACACTTGACATGGGGACACAGACACCAGGGACACAGACACTAGAGACACTGGCTGGGGGACATGGGGACAAGGAGACACCAGGGCCACAGACACTAGGGACACTAGCTTGGAGACATGGGGACATTGATGCACTGGGAGACATGGAGGCACTAGGAGACATGGGGGCAGTGAGACACTGGCAGACTCTGGGCACTGGGAGACTAGGGGGAACTGAGACACCAGGGACACTGGCTGGGAGACATGGGGACACGGTGTCCCCATGTGTCTGTGTCATAATGTCTCCCAATTTCCCTTAGTGTCTCAGTGTCCCCATGTCTCCTTGCAGCAATCCCCCCCTCCCCCCCCCCATCCCTTACTTCCCTGAGCTGTAGGCTGTCTCTGCAGGGTGGGAGTTGCTGTCTGGACTCTCTGTAGCTGCACCCCTGCAGATCAGTGAGAATAGATAGGCAGGGAGGGATATGCTGGAACTTCCTATCCCTGCCTGTCTCCACACACAGTGACCCCTACTGGCCAGTGCTGGTATTGCATAGTAATCTCTTGTTTATACTGAGAAAAATACCAGCATTTGTATTGCCAGTATCACTGCAATATTGGCACCAGCCAGGCAGCCTCAAATACTGGCTGTGCCAATAAAATAAAAGCCAGGTGGAATTCCTAAGAGTAGTGTGTGAAAAAAAATAAATCAATGGGCCTATTCCATGGGCCTGGGCCTGGAGCTGCAGCTCCATCAGCCCCTATGTTTATCCGGCCCTGTGTACAGGTCATACTGATGGAGATTGGACGCATATACCAGCAGCTGCCATCTGTTAAACCCATAATTCTGCTCTGTGTGAGTATGTCCGTCCATGAGGCCATATGTGTAATTTGTGAACAACATAAGGCCAATTGTTTGTTCTTCCGCTCACCGCCATAATTTGCCAGTTCTCCCCTGCTGTTTGTCGAACTAACAGAACAATATGGTAGGCCTTTTTTAATGCCACCACTACACTAAGTATTAATCTCCTGATGTTCGATTTTTACCCTGCGCTAGGTATAATGGGTGACTGGCTTTATATAATCCACCAGATGTGTCTCTTTAAATTAATGGCGGCCGCCTTAGACCTTGCGCTTAAGGCAGAATGATCTGCTCTGCCCTTGGTCCGTACCGAGTACTCAACACCGGGATGCTGCCCGGCCACAAATATATATAAATTGATGGCAACATGCAGAAAGTGCTGCCCTGCGGTACATATATAATGTGTATATAGTATACATATATTAGGAAACGTATATAAAGAACATATAGGTTAGGATATATATGTGAAATGATTATAGAATATGTGGTGAAAATGTCTGACACTGTTTTATCTGTAACTTTATTTGGCAAATCATTTTTTATTTATTTTTTAAGCTTTTATGCCCAACCAAAAATGGCAATGTTGTATAAATGATTAGCATAATTGCAAATTACATTTTTTGTTTATGGCAAATTAATTTAGTTTGCAAATTACTCAGCCGCACAGGAATCAGCGACAATGCAGGACTCTGAACAGTGAATACAGAGACTAGCTCCCTGTATTCAGCGCTGCAAACCCGTCCTTCAATATAACTACAGATCCTTATACACACACACAATGCAACCCCTATTTTTTTTCCACTTTGTGGGTTAATGGGGGCCTTATGTTTAAAGTTTTGCCTAAGGCCTCGCAAAGTCTAAAGCCACCACGGTAACCAAGCCCAGACTGGCCATCGGGTAAACCGAGTAAATGCCCAGTGGGCCACGATGACCATGGACCAGAATCTCCCAGGCCGGCCCCTCCACTGGTGGAGCGCGAGGAAAGTGTTCCGATACCAGCAAGGAGATCCTCTGTAATGAAAGTAGTCTAAGAAGCATGAAGTGAACTGCTCCCGGACGTGATCAGAGCGTTGCTGTGAATTACTATGGCAACACTCTGATACTTTCCCCCGTGGATCACAAGAGGACCACCAGTGATCATCGATATCCCTACTCCCCCCTTGCCCAAGGTAAACCAAAGGGAGGGGGGACTTAACAAATTAATATCATTACTTATTACTGAATTTTAATATTTTAAGCACCATACCCCCACAGTACAGCCTAATACCCCCTACTGTACAAACCCTTACCCCCCACAATAAAGATCCTTACTCCCCACATCGAAGACCATTACCCGCAACAGTTAAGACCCTATCCAGTACAGACACAGCGCAGCATTTCATCACACAGACACACTCTACAGTCTGTATCCAACACAGATTCAGTACAGCCCCAACCACCAGACGCAGTACAGTCCATTTCCCTGACTCATTACAGCACTATACCCTTCACATTACAGCCGCTATTCCTCTCACACAGTGCAGACCCTTTCATCCCCACACACAGTATAGCCCATATCCTCCCACACAACAGAATCCCTAAACACACACACTACATTCCCTATCCCCTCTACACATACAGTACAATCCCTATTCACATGTACACTACAGCCTCATTCCGCACACCACCTGTACACAGTACTGCCCTATCCAGAGGCACATTGTACTGCGAACAACCCCATCCTACCCTACACGTAACACCACAAGTAACCTCCAAACATATGACAATGCCAGTGATGACACAACATGCCCCTTCCTTTTGGGCTGTTTTGCCTCAAAATGCCTTGGCCACATTTTTGGTTCAGTTCTGACTGTAGCCCAATATTTCCACTTTGTTATCTCTTTAGTTTATAGGGTCCTCGGGAAACCTATATCTGAAACATAAATCTCTATAAATATAAACCTTACATTCCATGAAAATGTTTGCAAAGCAGTCCTGAAATGCTTGGTTTTTATCACCATTTTAAACGGTCTAAAAATAGAAAATGTACCTATATTAAAAAAAAAAAAAAAACTATTTAAAGGAATGTGGACACTGTGAATATTTAGGTCAGAATATGATTTATGGAATATACTGCATATGTTTGTTATGTTTTTCTTAAGAAAACAAATGGAGAGTGGATGAGTTCCAGTAGTCTGAAAATATCAGGACATCTGAAACCTCCATGATTTCAGTATTTGACTATGGTTTTCATTGTTTATTTATCTCTTTAAAATCACAGCTATTTTTTCATCTGCAAAGAGAGCGTTATTTTGCCGAACCAAGGGCGCTGTTTTATGCTGCCGAAATCGGCAGCGCATTAGGATACCTGCACTCCATTGAAATCATATACAGGTAAATAACAAAATATTTACTTTCCTCAAATGTGCTTCATTGTTTGTTTTTGTAAGGGCTTTTTTGTGCATGTGTTGTGTTTTCTTTTTTTGTCGTATATGTGTTTTTACGTATTATGTTTTCTGATAATAAAATAATGCATTTAATCTTTCTACAGAGATCTAAAACCGGAAAATATTCTTTTAGACTCCCAGGTAATTATGCTTTGATTCCACATTCAGAAAACGTATTAGATGATAATCGCTGTCGCAGCCTACCCTATAACTACAACTGCTTTGCAACCTTTACAGCTCTTTCTCTGTCGTTCTATCTAGGGTCATATTGTTTTAACTGATTTTGGACTATGCAAGGAAGGAATTGCAATTTCAGACACCACTCTCACTTTCTGTGGTACACCAGAGGTGGGTAAATATGCTATTAACTGTACATTGTAGGTATGATAGATATTTGAATGTAATAACAAAATTTAATTTAAAGGACCAGTTTGGGCACCATGACAACTTAATTGAAATTAAGTTATTATGCTGCCTGTAGGTCCCTAGTAGTTGTTCACCTTTAGGGGTTAAACCATTCTTGAGCTGTTTAACTCCAAAGTCTGTGTTCCAGCACTGGATCTATCTGCTCATCAGTACTTCCTTTTGCTCAAATTCTGGAAAACGGAAGGCTGAGAACAGACCGCTAACACTATCAGTCAATCAGTGACACCCTGTTCATAAAACTGTGTTTAAATGGAATGTCTGGGAACAGTTTAACAACTAAAGATTAAAACAGTGCCAGGGACCTCCTGCCACCAGAACGTCATTTCATGAAGTTGTTATGGTGTCTGGTGTGTTCATTTAACAGTAAACAATGCATTATTACAAATGCAGTAATTAAAAACGGTTTTTCCATCTTTATAAATCTTATGTGGTTTCATGGAGGTCCAACGTATGCAATGAAGCATTATCGTTTTAATTTGGTCCTCCAAAATTGGGGTCAGCTGTCACAGGTTTTAGACCCATTCACATGCCGATATTTAACTTAAAGGAGCACTATAGTCAACATATAAAAACAAGTGAGACATGTCCCCTAGCCTTCTTTTTTTGCTTTTATATTAACTTCCCCTTAATAAAAAATATTTTCGAGTCCTTATTATAGATAAAACTTAACTCCATTCCAGCGCTGAGATCCTCGGCAGGCAGCGCCCCCTTTTCGTCAAAATGAAGGAGTAGCAGGGCTCAATCAGACGCTTCTCTTAGAGAAGTGTGATAGCGATCTGGTGCGCATGCTCAGCTTCACGCTGCACCAATCAAGTTCTTCATAGAGCAGCTTTGAATGCCGCCCTATGAATGAACACTCAGCACTCTACCGCGCATTTGCGCGTTTTGTGCATTCGCGAGCTGAGCTGACTGACCGCTCAGCTCACTGTCTATGCCCACCCCCCCTCCTACCACAACCCTCCAGCCCAAAGTATATAGTATACAAACACTATATATAGAGATATCTCTATATATAGTGTTTGTACACAAACACACATTGAAAATATTGTTAAACATAAACACATTCTATCTATCGATTTCTCTCTCTCACCCACACTCACTCTCTCACCCACACTCTCTCACACTCACAAAATAAGTTTACTTACGGTTTGGATCCTTCTGCTCGGTCTCCGGTCTTCTGCCTGTCAGCCAGAGCCGCTGTGTGGGCAGGAGATCTTATCTCCCCACACTGTCTGCTCTGATTACTGTTAGAGTCCGGGTTACTACAGGACACAGGAGGCGTGTTCCTGTCTCCTGATATTACGTTTGATGTATTCACCAAACGTGCAGACGTCAAACGTGATGAATGCGAATTAGGCAGCCCGGAACTCAGAAGTCCCTCTGGTGGACGTATTTTCTCAGAAAATACAGTGTTTACATGAGAAAGTCTGCAGAGAGCTATTGTTCTCACCTGAACAACCTAATTAAGCTGAAGTTGTTCAGGTGACTATAGTGTCCCTTTAAGTTGCTTTTGTTAAAGGACCACTCTAGGCACCCAGACCACTTCAGCTTAATGAAGTGGTCTGGGTGCCAGGTCCAGCTAGGGTTAACCCATTCTTTCATAAACATAGCAGTTTCAGAGAAACTTATGTTTATGAATGGGTTAAGCCTTCCCCCTAATCCTCTAGTGGCTGTCTCATTGACAGCCACTAGAGGCGCTTGCGTGCTTCTCACTGTGATTTTCACAGTGAGAGCTCGCAAGCGTCCATAAAGCATTATGAATGCTTTCCTATGTGACCGGCTGAATCTTGCGCGCAGCTCTTTCAGCGTGCGCATTCAGCCGACGGGAAGAGAGCGGATGGAGGAGGAGAGCTCTCCGCCCAGCGCTGGAAAAAGGTAAGTTTTACCCCTTTCCCTTTCCAGAGCCGGGCGGGAGGGGGTCCCTGAGGGTGGGGGCACCCTCAGGGCACTATAGTGCCAGGAAAACGAGTATGTTTTCCTGGCACTATAGTGGTCCTTTAATGTGACCCTAACATGAAGAGGAGAGATGTGACCCACACACTGCAGCTATTAGCTAACCATTCTGCAAGCAGTTGCAGTCGGGACCCAGCCACTGGAGAGTTCTGGGTTGTGCTCCAACCAATAGATCTGTGACACGTGGGGATCTGCTGTTTTAGGTTATCTATATCTCCAGGTCGCTAGCCACTGGATCATCCTTCAGGGTTTATCAGAGATATATTGATTACCACTGGATCATTGCAGCCCAACTCAGATTTTCACAATATGAGCAAAGACCTGTGTTGGCATTTTCTCTTCTAGTCAAATCTCCTGTGGCAAAACCATAGGCAATTCTGTATGACCTCTAGACATGTGCACCAGTGAAATTTTCGTTTCATACAAATTATTTCATACTAAATAAAAATTTCATTAGTCCATTTGTTTTTCGGACGAAATTCAGTATAAAATAATTCGTTTTCATCCATTAGGACGAAAATAGCACTGCGCATGGGCAGAAAAATATGACCCCCATATAAATAAAAGGGGGGTTAAATCCTCCCGCATGCCCCTACTCGCAACATGCCAGTGGCTGCTTGCTGTCATTTAAAACTACTAGGTACTGGCACAGGTCCCCCATGTTCCCCTATTTAACTCATAACACTGATTGGTTGAAAGTGCAATAAGGGGAAACCAGGGGGGACATTATGTCCCCACCCATGAGCGGCGGGTGGGGACCCTAATTAAACAAAGGGGAGGGATCTAATGTCCCCACCCATGAGCGACAGGTGGGGACCCTAATTACATAAAGGAGGGGGGACCTAAGCTCCCCACCCATGAGCAGTGGTTGGGGACCATAATTAAAGGGGGGGAGGAAACCTAATCTCCCACATGGTGCCCACCCATGAGCGGCAGGTGGGAACCCTAATTAAATAAATAATGGGGGGGAACTAATGTCCCCCCCCAGGTCCCCACCCATGAGCGGCCGGTGGGGACCCTAATTAAATAAAGGAGGGGACCTAATGCCATTACCGGCAGGTGGGAACCTTAAATAATTAAATAATGGGGGGGGACCCAATTTCCCCCCCAGGTCTCCACCCATGAGTGGTAGGTGGGGACCACAGATTATAAAGTAACTAGGGGTCCCCAAGCCCCTAGTAACTCCCACCCCAATAAATATACCCTACTTACCCCCCTCACCCTAATAATAGTGGGGGGGAGGGGCAATAAAATGAATTGCTTTCAACCAATCTGAGTGTGATGAGTCAAATAGGGGAACGGGGGACCTGTGCCAGTCACTAGTAGTTTTAAATGACTTTTTCAGCGACGTGCCCCTCTGGCAAACAAAAGAACTGAAACGAAAACGTAATGCATTCGGTATTTGCCCTTTGGTTTTGTTTATAATAAGTATGTAGGACTTTTGTTTATGTTTTAGTAAACTAATAGAAAAAAAAGTATGAAAATTTGGACAAAATCTTATTAATACAAAAATGAATGCACATGTCTAATGACCTCCCTCCACCACGAAAAAAATCCACACTACCGTTTAAGGGTAATACACAAAGCTACGGTTGTGGTCATAGTCACGGCTTTTGACAGCATCTTAGGGATGTAAGGGACATAGAGGATAACAAGATTGCTGACTCAATAGAGTTTAGCGACATGAGGCCAAGCAAAGAGAATTGTAACTTTTTGTTAAGTCCCTCATTCACATATTGGGCATAAGCAGGGACAGACCAACTAAACAACTAAATTTCTGTGTCAAGCCATGGCATACATTTAACACCTCCTCTGTCAATATAGTGAACATGCTGTTTGGAAACAGGATAAGTTAAGAAAAAATGCTGTCACTCAGTGTTGCACTAAAAACATGTTCCTATTATATTAACACTATACCTAAAGAAAAAAACAAGATTTATTGTATTCCTTTGTGTAATTTCTGTTTTCTATTATCAACCGTTGCCAGATTTTCTTTTTGATATTTTTTTTTGTATATTCCTTTTTTTATTTCCTTCCTTTAGCACTTCCTTGTAAAACGGTTATCATACATTGGGTATAATTTCGTTTATTGGAAGCAGCGAAATGAAAGAAGTCTAGAAATCTGTGTTATAACAATTTTTGCTTGTTTTATTACTATATTAAATGAAGTTCTCCTATAACTCTCATAGGTGTGGATTTGCAGCCTGGAATGCTGACAATGTTTTAATTATTTTATTGTTCTGTTGTTACATACATATTATAAAGTTTTCTTCCTCCTGTCACTTTGTTTATTTTTCTTTCAGTATCTTGCACCTGAAGTGATAATGAAACAACCCTACCATAACACAGTAGACTGGTGGTGTTTGGGCTCCGTCTTATACGAAATGTTGCATGGACTGGTATGGGATAATATATGTGTTTGCATTTTTGTAATGTAGAATTGGTACTTCAACAAAAATTAGCTTCTGTTGCAGGACAAACTATGTCCAGACCTGATGCACAAGCGGTCATAAGCCAAACTAAATACTATTTAACAATTATGGAAAATAAAGTCCCAAAATTGGAACCAGAATTCAGACAATTACCAACATCATACATTCATTCCTCTCGATGGTAAAAAACACTTATTTAATTCAATTAAATCTTTATTGTTAAATACAAAATGTCACAGCAAAACACATAAAATGAATAATTTAAAAAGTGAGAAATTTTTAAAAAGTGATCAAGTGTAGTTAATCTGCAGGGAACCAATTGGTCAAAGAGTTAGAGTAATGAGGTTAAACCCTATCTAAGGTAGCCTCTTAAAACTCTTTGTTAGTAATATTGACATAAAATCTGAACGAATTCTGATTTTACAGCTAGGGTATTTTGAAATAAAAAAATATAGAGTGTTAAAAATATAGAGTATGTTTTATTACAAAAGTTCAGGATAAGAATTGTATTATGATTGATCTAACTCTTAAATTATAAACAAAGTCATTGCTGGAGGTATCAGGCTAAATTGGTACTTGTGGATAATGTAGATTGATACACAGAAGGTGACATTAAAGTCAAACTTTATTATAAATGAACTGATCACATGTTCTAGTACAGGTAGTTATGCATCTTCCCATTAAACAATGTAACGTGAAATGTTACCTCTAATATTAAATTGTTACATTGCTTCAAGCTGGGACGCTTCATTGCTCAGATATGAATACAGTGTTTATTTATACAGCTTTATTTTGTTTTGTAGCCTCCATTTTACAGTCGGGATACTGCTACAATGTATGAAAACATCCTTCACAAGCCTCTGATTCTGAGACCAGATATTAGTTTACCTGCTTCATCCATTTTAGAAGAGCTGCTGGATAAAAATCCCACATTACGACTTGGAGCAAATAATGACTTTGTAAGTTATTTACACTAATAGATAGCATATGATTAAATGTTTATATGTCCATATTAAAGCAATTTGTGGTGTTTTTTGTTTTTCTGCAGAAAGATATTAAAAATCACCCCTTCTTTGCGTGTATAAACTGGTCTGATCTCGTAGAAAAGAAAATAACTCCTCCGTATGACCCACATGTTGTGAGTAATTGTATTTCTTTTTACACTGTCAATACAACGTTTGTCATAGATAAGAAACATATACACTGTATGTGTCATTTTACCCCACTCCCTCTAGCATGTAAGCTCATTGAGCAGGGCCCTCAACCCCTCTGTTCCTGTGTGTCCAACTTGTCTGGTTACAACTACATGTCTGTTCGTCCACCCATTGTAAAGCGCTGCGGAATCTGGTGGCGCTATATAAATAACTTATTAATAATAATAATAATATACACTACATATAGGACAACACTCTTTGTTGAGTATTGATGCTCTTATGTCAGTATATCTCAGCTTCCCACGATGTTGCTGCGTAGTTTTTTAAGGAGATTTTACAGTATAAATAAAATATATATTATTATATATTATTATTAGCATTTGTTAAGCACCAAGATAATCCAGCAACACCAGTGATTAGTTTTAAGGGATAATTTATAGCTTCTTAAGATTTGTTAATGATTACGGATTGTTACCATGACTGCAGTAGCTGACAGACATGTTGGCTGTGTCAGATTGTCGCTTCCAATAAAATTGTAACGGTTATCATACACTGACAAACTAACATGTGCATCATACTATCAGTGTGTTCTAACAATTCAGGCTCCAATTTGCAGATTCGTCTGAAATAGAGGGATGTCTAAAATGAAATGACTGAAACAATCTGGAGAAATCACTCTGCCAGTTGTTCCTTTTTCTTCCTTCCCTTTAACCAAGCAGCATCCCAAGCTTCTAGCATACTCACAAACTTAGAGTAAGATTGGTTATCCAGATACTAAAGAGTCTGTTGGGAAGTAATTGCTCTAGCCTCTAAGCCAGGGAGCACTGGACAGAGGCTATTGATCATCATAAGCTAATAAGTGGATACTTGATGCCATGGACTGTAAATCCCACTTGGCTGAGAATAAGTGTTAGTCAACAGCATAGCACCCCTAGTGAATTATAGCACAAGATTGAGAGTTGGGAGAAAGAGGTCTACAAATAAAGGTTTGTGGGGAAAATATGCAGTAAACAGAACAGGAAACAAAATCTAGCCAAGATTCACTGTAAGTTACTTACACACAATGTGTTTGACATATTGACATACTTATGAACAGAAGGAAGAGTCTTCAAATATTTATTTTTATTTATATTTAATCTCGTCTGGAAAATAATGATATTTGGAGACTTTAAATTCTATCTTCAAAAATTGTCCTGAGTAATAATGCGTACATACACAGCTTTCTGCCTTATAGTGTACAAACTGAGCTACTGAGCACACAGTTTAATTAATCTCTGCTTACCTTGGTGCAGCAACCAGCTGTAGTTATATCAAACAAGGAGAAGAACACTCTCAGGGCTTTTAAATCAAACTTTCCACTGTTTTATTAACTCCAAAAACAGTCAGCTTCTTAAAGGACCACTCTAGGCACCCAGACCACTTCAGCTTAATGAAGTGGTCTGGGTGCCTGATCCAGCTAGGGTTAACCCTTTTTTTTATAAACATAGCAGTTTCAGAGAAACTGCTATGTTTATAAATGGGTTAATCCAGCCTCTAAAGCCTCTAGTGGCTGTCTCATTGACAGCCGTTAGAGGCGTTTGCGTGCTTCTCACTGTGAAAATCACAGTGAGAAGACGCAAGTGTCCATAGGAAAGCATTATGAATGCTTTCCTATGAGACTGGCTGAATGCGCGCGCAGCTCCTGCTGCGCATGCGCATTCAGCCGAAGAGGAGGAGGAGATACGATTTTAACCCCTTCCTCTCCCCAGAGCCCGGCGGGTGGGGCCACCCTCAGGGCACTATAGTGCCAGGAAAACGAGTATGTTTTCCTGGCACTATAGTGGTCCTTTAATATGTATATGTGCTTTTACAAATACAGTTGTACTTGTAAGCAAGGTTTAGTTATTCAGTTTAAAAACAATGACTGGGCTATTCGTTAAACTGGAAGTTTAGGACATTGCACATTTAGGCCAGAATAACCAACTATATAAAAAAACTAAATCTCTGTACTTTAGCTAAAGATTTGCAATACTCAATCCTACACAATTCTCAGTTTAGTGACTAACCTCATAAATTTGCTACAATAAAGCTTATGAAAATGTATCTTTCATTAAACTAAATTGGATTTTTTAAATCTTTTTTTCCATTAGACTGGTCCTGATGATATTTCTAATTTTGACAAAGAATTTACAGACGCAATGGTTCCCGACTCTGTATGCATCTCCACAGAATATTCAATTGTAAACGCTAGTGTTGAAGAAGCGGACGATGCATTTGTTGGATTTTCTTACGCTCCACCTTCCGACGATTTTTTCATTTTAGAACATTGATTACCAATGTGTTCTAGGATATTTAGTAAATTTTCTAACACCGCAGCTATAAAAGATTCCTGCCTAGTGTTGCTGATCAGTGAATGATACATTGATATGATTTAATCATCTGTTTATTTTCTTAGAACCATTTTAACCTACTGATGTTGACATTGGATATGTTAGCTTGTTGCACATGAATACATTTTGGAATGTGGACTGTGAAAGCAGCAATTCATATGTATAATATTTTTTAGAACTAAATTTAAAGTGGGGTGGTGGTTCACTGGAGCTGCACTATAAACATTTTTTTTCTCCCCCTCCCCCCCCCATTCACTGTCCTTATAACTTTTAAAATACATATTTTATTCTATGTGCATATTTTTGGGGATTATTCTACGCAGACTAGTAAGGCTACCATACAAACATCTTTCCAACTGACCAGTATGTTATAAAGTTTTTATAGCCATCTTTTCTTCATCGTGATTTTAGATGAAACGCACAGGTAAATTCATGTCATTAACTACTTACAGAGGAATTCACGATGTGACCTCATAAAGATAAATTGCGTTCAGGGTAGATTTTGTTATCCATTAGAATTTAGATTTGTAGATATACTATGCAATATTTGCACATTTGAAACTATCCTACGCAATTAATTCTATCCAACTCGGCCTTCTGTAAGCTGACATGATACTTGATCTTCTAAGTGTCCACAATTTATCAATTCATTTAATACCAATTGTAAATGAAAGAAATACAAAAGAGTATGTTATTATTAACATTTTGAATCTCCAGCAACAGACATATATACTGATAACAGCAAATGTTCTTCTAAAGCAACCTTCGGCACTCCAGATGTGGACTACATCCCCCATAATGCTCTTACATCCATAATGCTGGCAAAGCATTATGGGAGCTGTAGTCCAATACATCTGGATTGCTGTAGGTTGCCTATGCCTATTCTAAAGAGTCACATATTGACTTATAATGTGAGTCAAGGTAATGTAAGACGGCAATGAACATTATAAGTCATCAACTCAAACTGGAAAAGATGGGGACCAAGAATTTAATACACATTAAAAACGATAATTCACCGGGGTGTCATCGAGGCTATAGCTGTGCAACACTTCTACTCCTTTTATTGCTAGACTTCAACTCTTTTCACTTCTGAGCTCTGGTTAACGGTGGTGCATGTTGTATCACATTAACCTCTGTAAGGATACATTCTTTCTTCCGGTTCTTTAAATAAAGCAGGGAAAAAACTGCTTTAAATAACTGCTGCCTTATTTCTACAGATATTTGCTTTAGTTGTACTATGCAATTCCAGTTTAGTAACTAACTAATGTATATTCCACCGTTTGCTGTCAGAACATGTCATTTTTTTTTGTGTAAAACTTTATTATATAAAGGCAGTATAAAAGTGACCACAGTGTTTTCATATTCATTATTGGGCAATTGTGAGTGTGTTTTGAAAATGCGATCTGTTAGATCATTGTAATTGTGTATGTGCACCCTAGCCTTTTCATTTTCTGTTTTCCTCATTAAGAGGTCTGTTTATTCTGGGTGATAAACAATAAGTGGTTCATTTCAGAACAATTCACTTTTATTCAAGTGAACTACAGTTACAGATTCCAGAGAATTTTTGTAGCAAATAGTATGCTGCAGCAAAGGGGAGGAGTCAGTCACAGCAAGGGGAGGTGTGGCCCAGGCTGCATAAATAAAGTGATTTATAAATGACAGAGAACTGAGTATTACGACTGTGGTGTCATCTATACACCAAAACGACCTTATTAAAGGACCACTATAGTGCCAGGAAAACATACTCGTTTTCCTGGCACTATAGTGCCCTGAGGGTGCCCCCACCCTCAGGGTCCCCCTCCCGACCGGCTCTGGGGAGAGGAAAGGGGTTAAACTTAACTTTATTCCAACTCCGGGCAGGGAGCTCTCCTCCTCCGATCCTCCTCCTCTCCTCCCTTTCGGCTGAATGCGCACGCGCAGCAAGAGCTGCGCGCGCATTCAGCCAGTCTCATAGGAAAGCATTTACAATGCTTTCCTATGGACGCTTGCGTGTTCTCACTGTGATTTTCACAGTGAGAATCACGCAAGCGCCTCTAGCGGCTGTCTAGTGGCTGTCAATGAGGATCTGAGGGCTGGATTAACCTATTTATAAACATAACAGTTTCTCTGAAACTGCTATGTTTATTAAAAAAAAGGGTTAATCCTAGAGGGACCTGGCACCCAGACCACTTCATTAAGTTGAAGTGGTCTGGGTGCCTAGAGTGGTCCTTTAAACTAACGCTATTTTAATGCTTAGAATATCTCTTTAAAACATACACTATAGGAGTGGTTTTCCACCAAAGTATACCACAAACACATTTACTTCAGGGCTGTAATTATTGAATGCAGTCCTTAATATGTATTTGTGTGTGTGTGTGTGTGTGTGTATGGTTTGTTTTTAAATGTGTCAGCATTAAAATTGGGATTCCTATCTGTCAATTCCTTAAAACTAGTACTTGAGATTGGCTAGAAGTTATGTTTGATAAGTATCCTTCTAGTAATGCTTCAAGTACATGTTACATTTATAACTTGCTGATGAAGATTAAAGCAATAATAAAAGTTGGTGTGCTCTTGAAATTCTTCGCTCTGTGCACCTTGGTGCAAAAAGATTGGGACAATGCATAGGTACTGCAGTAAGGAGGTGGAGAGTAAGAAGCAGAGATAAATGTCCGATTAGGGTGTATTTCATAAGCAGTGTATTGGAGAAAGTCCACAACTACTAGCAAAATGAAGGCTAAAATAGCAAAGTTCATAATGGAAACTGATACATTTAAGACCAATGCGATCTATAGGAATGTTAATTAACTCTTAAGCCCTGCTTATGTAACACCTCTAAAGCTAATGGTTTTATTCACAGAGGTCTGTTTAATGCATCGTCTACTCTTACAGAAGGTTTAAATACCTCTAATACCTCTGGTTAGGAGGTTGTTCTCCCAGCTGTTGATAATTGCAAATCCCATGATCATTTGGCATCCTCTCAGTAAGAAAGGCATGGGAGGTGTAGTTCTGAAAAACCTAGGAATCTTCTTTTTTGGCCACCTCTGCTCTAAACCCTGGTTTCTCAAACTCCACAGGCAGGTGGTATGCCAAGAGCTGGCTGGCTGCCACCTTTGAGTTCCCCAGGATGTGGCCAGTTGGGGGAGAATGGAGGCATAGGCAACAAGGGAGCTGTGTTCTGCTTGATCTTTCAGCACTGCTCCCACTTGCGCCCTCTGGTGAAACCAAGAGCCGGGTTATGACATCACTCCAGCCACTTCATCACTAATCAGTGCACAAAGGATCAGTTCTGGAAAAGTACACAAGGCCCCCACACTGGACCTCAGTGTAAGGTTCCTCGCTGGACTCTAAGGAAATGATCCACTCCAGCTCTCCTAAAGGTAGAGAGGCTGAGTGAATTGAAATAAAAATAATTTGTGTGTGTGAGAGCATGTGTATGTGTCTATAAGTGAATGTGTGTGTGTGTGTTTTTAAATCGGTGAGCTTGTGTTTGTCAATCCTATGTAAAGTAATAGAGGTCCAGGCACTCCTTGGTTCAAGACAGGCACTTTATTAGGAACCACAACAGCAACGTTTCGACACCAAGAGGTCTTTGTCAAGGTCTGTTGTGGTTCCTAATAAAGTGCCTGTGTTGAACCAAGGAGTGCCTGGACCTCTATTACTTTACTAATGTTTGGAAATCTGGTGTTTGATTCCGGCTCAGCAAGCACCCTGGCTCAGATTTGTGGGAGTGAGTGCAGTTCCACATATACTATTCAAGGTTTGTCAATCCTATGTCCTATGTGTGTAAATGTGTGTGTGTCAGTTTCCTTGTGTGTGTGTTTGTGTCCTCCTGTGTGTAAATGTGTGTGTGCTCATCAGTATCCTCTGTGTGTAAATGTGTTTCAGTGTTCACTGTGTGTGTGTCATTGTCTGTATGTAAGTGTGTGTGTCTGTCAGTGTGTCAAATTAAGTGTGTATTATATTTTCATGTTGTGCCTTTTATACTTCAAATGAATAGTTCGTACACTCATCCTTACATACATAATCACATTATGTCCAAAATTTCTTTTAAAAATATTCTTTACTACCTTTAATCAGGCTTGTTCTCAAATATGGGATTAACTTAAATATCCATGTCTACACGTTTCATTTAAAATTTAAATCAATATAAATGACTTTTTCTCGAGGCAGGGGTATTTAGGATTTATTTATTTTTAGACCTGCATGGGTACTTTTATGTAAAGGGTTACGAAAACACTGCTCTAAGCCATAGAAATAAAACTGAAAAATTACTATACTTTTTGAAATCAGAGACCTTTGAATTAACTCCACTCTAGACCACTAAACAATTTTAGCTTGCTGAAAAGCTTTGAAGAGTGTGTCCTCTGTTTTTCAATAGAAATTAACACTTTTATAAATCAACATTGTGACAGATCATCCTGTCACCTACGGATTGTAATGGACTCGCCAACCACCTATCTACTCCTGAGGGAGCTATATTCACAATATTTTCCCTTCGCAGCTGTACCACCACTCCAGCGCCTTTACTGGTGGCCTTCTACAAGATCATAGACCTGCAGGGAGGCTCCTGAGGCATGACACGTCTGAACAAAAGCAACCTCCAAAAATCCCGGAACTCTGGCTCGGATTGCGGATCATCCAAGGTTCACTAAAACTTTGTCCTGAAGGCTCTTCATTCCAGAGCCACCTAGCAGGGTGCTTTTTGGAGGGGCGATAGAGGAGTTGGTATGGCATCTAAGGATACCCAGGACTTGGGGGAGCTACAAGGATTCACGTAAAGCACCGATGTTTTGGGTGTCCACCCAGCCTCATGGAACTCTGCACTGGAAATGAGGCTAGCCGTGGCCTGCTGAAACGTTTACTTCCATCCAAATCGGGATGGGCACCTCTGATCTGAGCGCTTTTTAGACAGAGTAGGTGCTCCAAAGAGAAACTCCTGGGGACATCATTGGTTTGGGGATGTGGGCAAGGAAACCCCATGTTTTATGTGAAATTGTGTATTTCGCCGATGTGTCTGGGCGATAAGTAAATAACCTGCTCAGGTACAGACACCTAGGAACCAGGTATGTTACAATCCTCATTGTTCTCCTGGGGACCTCTTGTTGAGGACACAGGTACAAAAGCGTGTGTTTTTCCTGATAAAACCAGTTCTTTACGACACTAAGTCTTGGCTAGTGATTAGGATGAATTTGCTAAACAGGTATAACACTGGGATATACTGGTAGCAATAAACAATAAGGGAAAGGGCATCCTTAGCCCTGCCTGTCAATTAGATAACTGACAATATAACCTCCTTGTTTGGTTAGCTCAGTGGAACTAAACTCAAAAGGCAGCAACTGCCTAAAGCATCTGCCTTGCAAAGATTTCTCATAGAGCTGCATTGGGAAGTCTGTGATTGGACAGCTACATAGTATTAGCAGGGTTTGAATGGGAGGGCTTGCAAAGGCAGTAGACAAGAGATTTGCATGTATTTAGATTTACCCCCGATGAAAAAAAAATGCATAATTAAATGCATGCATGTTTTCATTTGGGTACATCTACTAAATAATAATTTTTATTTATTTTTTATTTGTGTAGTAGAGTGTCCCTTTAAGCCAAAACTCTATCAACATTGAACTTTTCAGTAGATGATTTGTATTCATACTGATCAACAAATTCTCATGGATGAGTGTGTTTTTACCTAACTTAGAAGTGGACTAAGACCACTTGGGGCCCCAGGAAATATTTACAGTAACAAGGTTATCTAGAGCCAATATATACAATCATTACACTATTTTAAGTACTCATTTAAATTAAGACCACATTAAGTAGCACCACGAAAATCTTGTGAAAACAAACTTAAATAATTATTAATTTTATTTGGGTGCTCAAAAACAAATGTTTCCTTAATGGAAAACCACACTTTTCCCCCCTCATATTTTCTGTTTATATTGTCCTTTTTTCCCAAAATTGTCAGATTGCCATGTTTAATGGGGACAGATATAAAAATGTAATGCAATTAAATAAGCTGTAAATGTATTCTTTATTCTCCCTTTCCTACTTTTAAAAAAAAGTTTTAAAACCCATGGTCCCACTGACGGTGATCAACTAGTGAGGTGTTCGGATGTGACTGGTGACAAAACTCCCAGAATGCTTAGCACATAGCAAGATTTTCCCGCCAAATCCTGAATTTCATGAGGAGCAACATGAGAAACAGTTGTGTGACAGGCATGAAATGAGAGAGAGAGTGTCAGCTCTGTGCCAGGTCTGGGCTGTGTGTGAGAGAGTGTCAGCTCTGTGCCAAGCCTAGACTGTGTGTGAGAGAGTGTCAGCTCTGTGCCAGGTCTGGGCTGTGTGTGAGAGAGTGTCAGCTCTGTGCCAAGCCTAGACTGTGTGAGAGAGAGTGTCAGCTCTGTGCCAGGCCTAGACTGTGTGTGAGAGAGTGTCAGCTCTGTGCCAGGTCTGGGCTGTGTGTGAGAGAGTGTCAGCTCTGTGCCAAGCCTAGACTGTGTGAGAGAGAGTGTCAGCTCTGTGCCAGGTCTGGGCTGTGTGTGAGAGAGTGTCAGCTCTGTGCCAAGTCTGGGCTGTATGTAAGGGAGTGTCAGCTCTGTGCCAGGTCTGGGCTGTGTGAGAGAGAGTGTCAGCTCTGTGCCAGGCCTAGACTGTGTGAGAGAGAGTGTCAGCTCTGTGCTCCCTAGGTCTGGGCTGTGTGAGAGAGGGTGTCAGCTCTGTGCCAGGCCTAGACTGTGTGAGAGAGAGTGTCAGCTCTGTGCCAGGCCTAGACTGTGTGAGAGAGAGTGTCAGCTCTGTGCCAGGCCTAGACTGTGTGAGAGAGAGTGTCAGCTCTGTGCCAGGTCTGGGCTGTGTGTGAGAGAGTGTCAGCTCTGTGCCAGGTCTGGGCTGTGTGAGAGAGAGTGTCAGCTCTGTGCAAGCCTAGACTGTGTGAGAGAGAGTGTCAGCTCTGTGCCAGGTCTGGGCTGTGTGTGAGAGAGTGTCAACTCTGGGCCAAGCCTAAGAGACTGTGTGAGAGAGAGTGTCAGCTCTGTGCCAGGTCTGGGCTGTGTGTGAGAGAGTGTCAGCTCTGTGCCAGGTCTGGGCTGTGTGTGAGAGAGTGTCAGCTCTGGGCCAGGCCTAGACTGTGTGAGAGACATATTCTGTGTCAGACCTGGACTGGAAAGTGTGAGATACATACTCTGTGTCAGGCCTGGACTGGACTGTGTGAGAGACATACTCTGTGTCAGACCAGGCTTGTGTGTGTGAGTGAGAGACAGCTTTCGCTGGGCTTTTACTGTGTGAGTGAACTTAATCTGTACCAGGACAGCCATCTGCCATGAGCTGGGCCCACCGTGTGTGTGAGATGAGAGAGGCTGCCTTGGTGTACATGGACAGGAGTGGAGGTCTGGAGAACTTTATCCAGGACTGCAAGAAATACAATGGTACAAAGCCTACAAGACAAATTAACTACATGTTTATAGAGTGGAAATCTATGTGAAAATTCAAAGATATAATACTGTACAAAAAATGCTTGGAACAGTCTTTCTTTGGAAGTGGCAAGAGAGGGGACCTGATCAAACCTGATCTAACAAAGATCTAACAAATGGAATAATCTTTTGTTAAAATTCTCAATATGGGGGGGCTAACCCGGGGGTGGTGCAGTGCCAGGCACTGGAGAGTCCCTTTAATAGGGAATTATGGAGTGGGTGACAGCATTGTAACATGGGTGTGTAGTGCAAAAGCAAATACAAACATACAAAATAAAACTCCCACTACTACTGGGCGGCAACAATGGCTTTAATACACATGGGCTCCAGGGAGAATTCCTTCCTACTTCTGTTAGCTCCCCTTCATTAACGGAAATGGTAGGCACGCGCTACTTGAGCGTGCCAGCCTCCCCCTTCCTCACATGGCGTGCGTGCATGTTGTGGCGCGAGTGTGCACGAGCCGGCTCACGTGTGCACGTGGGAACCAAGTCAATGAGAAGCCTCTGATTGGTTATTTCAATGTGAAGAGACTGAAAGTCTCTTCTGGGAGAAAAGGGGGAGGAACTTACAAAGGCTGCAGTCACAAGAACTGCAGAATTTGTAATCTATTTTAGACTTTTTATATATAAAAATATGCATGCATGTATTAATTGGGGGCATATCTACTAAATTGTGGGGGTGAGTTGGATAAGTGGAGTGGTCCTTTAATGAATCCGTTTTGGTGTATAGATCATGCGTCTGCAGTCTAACTACTCAATTATCTGCCATTTAGGAGTTATATATAAATGTTATATATGTTTATGCAGCCCTAGTCACACCTTCCTGCATTTGACTCACACAACCTTCCTAAACAAATCTTGTAAACTTAGTTTTTATGCTTACACTTCCTTTATTGCTTATTTTGTTTAATTTAGAATATCATATTCACTGCATTGTTAATAATCTGCTAGATCCCGCAGGAGCCTTGTATGTGTGATTAAAGTTCAATTTACAGAGTAGAAGATAAAAACTATTAAAATGAGTTAACATCTGAATAAAAATGAAACCATTTTTTTATCATGCAGGCTGTGTAAGTTACAGCCAGGGAAGGTGTGGATAGGGCTGCATAAACAGAAACATGAAGCAGCAACCCCTTTCATATATGTTTAGGAGCTTACAATCAGATTAATATATATATATATATATTATTATGCTCTAGCAGCTAAAAGAATAATACAGTTGGTGCTATTGAATGTCATACAGTGGCGTGCCTACCACGGTCACTCCAGGCCACACGTCGGACCCCTGCAACCGTGGGCCGCCTGCATACCTCCTGGGCCAATGCATAGCCGCACCAACCCTGGGCCCACTCTTGCCAGCTGAGCTGTGCTGCTACCCTCCTGCTGGCAACCGAGGACCCTGGGCTGGTGCGGCTGTAGCTGGTAACCGCAGCTTTGAGCAGGGACATGAGGACAGGGTGGAGGGGGGGTGGATGTCGCACATGCATGGACTGGGGGTTGGGGATGTCACACATGCATGGCCGTCTTTAACATTGATTGGACCCTGGGCAAGCATTTGCTTGGGCCCCTTGGATCCTGCCCCCCCTCCCCCTCCACACACACACTTCCACTCCCTGGCTTTCAATCATGCCCTCCACCCCATCACAGTGGCAGAACTAATGTAGAGTGGGCTCTGGTGCAAGACATTTTTGGGGGGCCTGCACTCTAGCGCAAGAGTGGAAAAAAGATAGATCCTCATCTGTTGTACAATTCCAACAATGCTATGCCAGTTTCCTACATGGTTCCCTACACAATACTCAAGGCATACCAGCATTCCAGTTTGTTTCCGTATCCTCATGGAAACAAATTCGGGAATGCCTAAATTCTGGACTGATGGTATGCCTTGGGAACTGTGTTAGGAACCATTGCATTAGAGATCTGTGAGATGGTTTGGTGTACATACATGTGACTCCCTGTAATGATCTATCATATTTTTTTCTCCCGGTAGAATCAACACACAGTTACACAGTTTATCGCTTTGTAATTTCTGTCAATCCCATGGATGTCACAGAGTTGGATGCCACTCTTGGAAACTACATTTTGCATGAGCCGCTGAGAGCAGCTTGGGTTTTTCAATCGGTATGCTAGTTTCATGCAATACTGTCCTTTTAATGCAATTATAACTACAAATATTTCCTGTATACGATTGATTAAGATGTGTTTTGCATCTTAGGTCTGTGATACAGCCATAAAGACTCTTTCATTGATTAGACAATATCAAACTGAGGGTCAGGTAAGTGGAAGAATCCTGAATGTATCTAAAAAATACACCAAAGCAGATGTATGTGAACTATATTTTCCATAATGATAGGCCTACAGTAGGCTGATTGGCCTGCATGATAAATAGTTCACAAAGAGGACATAAATATTAGCCAATGCTGAACAATGCCTTTGCTCATAAATTAGTCAGTATTGTGAAAGTCATAAAATAATTGTCCTGGCTCATTCACACTAATTTAGAAAATTCAAAAAAGTGACCTATCTGTGTGAAGAGTATAAAAATGGTACGATCTACATATGCATACAGGTTCAAGGTACAGTTTATTGCCACATAGAAAGATATTAAAGGGACACTATAGTCACCTGAACAACTTTAGCTTAATGAAGCAGTTTTGGTGTATAGAATATGCCCCTGCAGCCTCACTGCTCAATCCTCTGCCATTTAGGAGTTAAATCCCTTTGTTTATGAACCCTAGTCACACCTCCCTGCATGTGACTTGCACAGCCTTCCATAAACACTTCCTGTAAGGGGCCTATTTAGAGCTTTCTTTATTGCAAATTCTATTTTAATTAAGATTTTCTTTATCCTGTATATTTAAAAAGCACTAGACCACAAGAGCCTCCTGTATACTGATTAATACAAAGTTCAATTTAGAATTGAGATACAGTATTTAATTTAGAATTCGGTAGAAATTACTAAGAAGTGAGAGAATACGCCCGTGTGCAGCAGTGGGGGTGCCATGGCCAGCCCCCCGCCCCCCCATGCTGCAGCCGCCCGAGCGCTCTGTATTGAGCCTCAGGCGGCTGCAGCTTTGCCCGGGCGGTGTGTCCATGAGGGCGGACCGCACCGCCCGGGCGCAGCCTGAGGAGAGGCTGACAGGAGGGAGTGCTCCTGTCAGCTCCCTCACTGCAGCATTGATAGTCCGCGGGTACAGAGAGCAGCTGTCTCCTGTACCCGGCCGGACTAACAGGAAGTGCACAGAGTGTGAAATAGGAGAAGGGGGTGAAAAAGAGGAGAGGGGTGAAAAGAGGAGAAAGGGGTGAAAAAAAGAGGAGAGAGGTGAAAAAGGAGAAAGGGGTGAGAGAGGGGTGAGAAAGAGGAGAAAGGGGGGTGAGAAAGGAGGGAGGGTGAGAAAGGGGGGGTGAGAAAGGAAGTGAGAAAGGAGGGGGGGAGAGAAAGAGAAAGGAGAGGGGGAGAGAAAGAGAAAGGAGAGAGGGGGTGAGAGAAATTAGGAGGGGGGAAGAGAAATTAGGAGGGGGAAAGAGAAATTAGGGGGGAGAGAAATTGAAATTAGAAGGGGGGGATAGAAATTGAAATTAGGAGGGGGGAAGAGATATTAGGAGGGGGAAAGAGAAATTAGGGGGGGAGAGAAATTTGGAGGGGGTGAGAAAGAGAAATTGGGAGGAGGAGAAGGAAATTGGAGCGGGAGGAGAGATTGACATTCATCACATACACACAATGCACCCCTTGCACACAGAAAAACACACAATGCATTACACACACAGACACACATACACAAGCAATGCAACCGTTACACACAATGCATCCCTTACACACACAGAAACACACAATGCATTCATTACACACACTCAATGCACCCCTTACACACATTCAATGCATCCCATACATACACAGAAACACACCTTGCAGCCCTTACACATACAAACACAATTTCACACAATGCATTCCTTACACACATATCAGGACATCCCCTACACACTCCACCCCCTGTGAACAAACTCATTGGTGGAACATGAAGGTGGACCCTGGGACCCAGACCTTGAGCTGTGTAAAGGACCCCCAAAAAATGGAGCTGCTTCCCGTTCTCCCAGAACATTGATTTTTGTGACCACAGTTACAAACCGCCTCCAGAGAGCCTGTTCTGCACCAGACCAGTGGAGCCAGACTGCAGCTAGAGCCCATCATCATCCTCATCTGGTTGTAAGTAGGCAATCTAGTATATTATTCGTGGCACTAATCTCTAATTTACCTCACATTAAAGAAACACTATAGTCCCCAGAACCACTTCAGCTTAATGTAGTGGTTCTGGTGTCTATAGCCTGTCCCTGCAGGCCTTTTAATGTAAACACGGCGGCACTGCAGCACTGGCGTTAGTTAACATGGCAAATCATATGGGTGGGGCATTGTGATGTCACATGGGGGGGCGGCAAACTTTACTTTTGCCTAGGGCGGCAAAAATCCTTGCACCGGCCCTGGCTGGAGGGGGCTGTGTGAGCTGTGGCCGCACAGTGTCCCATGGTAGTTATTGTGCCGTGCGGCCAGTACAGCTCACACAAGCAAACAGCTGATAAACTGGCCGCACGGAGGAAATGTGTATGTGTGACTGTCTGCCTGTGACTGTATGTGACTGTCTGTCTGTAACTGAGTGTGTGACTGTCTGCCTGTAAATGTGTGTGTGGGGCTGCAGGGATTTTGTAGAAGGGGGCGGGGGTTTTGTATTGGGATAGGAGTCTTTATAAGGGGGGATAAGCAGGGGATTTGTGGAAGGGGGTTGCGGGGGTTTTGTAGACGAGGCAGTACAGGATTTGTAGAAGGGACAGGACAGAGGTTTTGTAGGAGGTGCAGGACAGGACAAGGGTTTTGTAGGAGGGGCTGACAGCGGTTTTGCAAAGTTTACAAATTGTAAAAAAAATTTGCCAAATGCTCTAGGTACGCCCCTGGGTAAATTACATCTGTTTGAAAGTGAAACCAGTTTTTTTTTTCATGCAGGCTCTGTCAATCATAGCCAGGGGAGGTGTGGCTAGGGCTGCATAAACAGAAACAAAGTGATTTAACTCCTAAATGACAGTGAATTGAGCAGTGAAATTGCAGGGGAATGATCTATACACTAAAACTGACTATAATGTTCCTTTAATAGATAAATGTTGGAAGACTTAAAAAAGTGCACAGCATTATAACTTACAGTGCATGAAAGCCTTTGTAAATATAAATTAGAAGAACTTAGAGTAAACAATGAATACATCTCTATAGATTTAGCAATACGCTACTACATATTAAGATTTTCCATTCTAGTTAGTTAGAATTTTATTAAACATGGGCCAGCAGACTTCCCAAACGCTCTCTTTAGAGAATGTTTTAAGAACACACAGTACCCAGGTTACTAGATTGGAGCCCTTCTTCATTCATCACGTAGGGCTGTTGAATTGGGCTAAGCAAACCCCTGGGCTCAAGGCAGCCACCTAAATTCACCTTATGATTAATCCTGTTCTGCCTCTCATGCTAGCTATGTTGCTACATTAACACCATGTGTTAGTGAATTGGCATGCTGTAATCAATGCAAATACATTAGCTGCAGGCAACATATCTGTTACAGAGTTTGATTTTATGTTGCAGGTTTCACATTATGGTGTTTTGTGTAAGGCAGTATGTTTGTATGTACCCATCCATCCAGTTCAGGAAAGCCCCTCATTACTCTTATTTTCAATCCCTGGGATGGTCCCATGATGTTACATTCCTTATTGCCCCTATCCTTGTTTTTCTGCATACAATATCACAGCCTAATTCTAATGCAGTCCATGTAATTTTTACATAGTAGTAGTAAAGTTGGTTGAAAGACGAGCTTTTCAGTAGATAGCTCTCTGAAACTGTAGGAATTAGGGCACTATCTACTTGGATCTAAATTTCATTCATTCAAAAATGCACAAATTTCATCCTAACACAAATGGACAAAGATTTGACATTTTGTCAGGACAAATTTCAGTGCATTTGCCAGAGTCCTGTCTTAATGACAAGATGTTCGAATGGCGAATGAATCAATGCCTGAACACAGGAGGACGGTGAGTATTATGGGAAAATGTCTTTGACCATAGGAAATGAAGCAGACTTAAGCTTTGGTCAAAGAAGGTCAAGCGTATGAACAATATACGTAGGCGTGCGCACGCGGTGTGCCGGCTGTGCCTGGGCACACCCTAATCTAGGGTGCCCACATGTCCCGGATCGCCCGGGACAGTCCCACATTTTGTGGGAATGAGCTGGGCCCTATATTGGTGAAGTGGGGGCCCGCTGGCTTCCCTACTATGCCACCACCTGCCCCCATTTGCTGCCCGCCGGTGGAGATGTGCGAGCGACAACCCTCCCTCCCTCTCTCCCTCCTCTCCCAGCGCTATGAGGAAATGAGGTCACACCTGATGACGTCACTTCCTCCCAGTGCTCTTTGTGGACGGCCGCGTGGGAGGAAAGAGAGAGGAGCTCCCAGGACCAGGTAAGTGCATGGAATGAGGGAGGGGAATGAAATCTTTATCATGGAGTCACTAGTACTACTAGTGATTCCACGATAAAGATTTCACCACCTTCCTCTCAGTGAGTCAGTAGTGGGGGGTGGACATGAAATTGAGGTGGGAGAATGGACATGAAACATGAGGGGGATATGAAATATGAAAAATTAAAACTATATACATTAAAGGGACACTCCACTGCCCAAATACAAAATAAATAAAAATCATTGTTTAGTAGATATACCCCAAATGAAAACGTGCATGCATCTACTTATGTATTTTTTCATTGGGGATATATCTAAAATCAGCTTGTAAAACCTGCAGTTCTCTTGTCTGCTGCCATTGCAAGCCATCCCCTTCTAATCCTAGCTCAGACTTTCTGTGGCTGCCCAATCACAGGCTTCCCAATGCAGCTCAATGAGAAGCCTTTGCAAGGCAGGTGCTCTGATCAGTTGCTGCCTCTTGAAGTCAGCTGCATTGAGCTAATGTAACAAGGAAGTAACATTACCGGTTGTCTGCTTGAAAGCCAAGGGGGTGTTACTAGGTTAATTTATAAAAGTGTCAATTTCCATTGAGATCTGCAGTTTTTCAAAATGAAAAAATAGGACAAGCTAAAGTTGTTTAGGGGTCTGGAGTGACCCTTTAAAAATGCACCAAAACGATTATCACTCAGTAAATTTGGCTTCAACAGTTGGTGATACTCACGATGCACAAATAGCACATTTACATACACAAACCAATAAATAATTTGTTTGTGTCAAGAGGCTGAGTAGCCTGTGATTTGAGTATTCCCCGGCACAGACTGAAAGCAGCAGGTTAAAAACTTTAACAAGCTGTTTGTAGATAGACTCCCAAAGAACAAAATACTGAATTAAATACATGCATGCTTTCATTTCTACTAAATAATGATCCCTCCTCCCCCAGTGGAGTATTCCTTTAACAAATTAATCACAAAATTATTAGTTTGCAATGTATTTATTAATCACTTAATCATTTATTTTAAAGGCTTTATGTATATAGCTTTGTTCTTTCTCATCAGATACATGTGATTCTCAAATTAACCCATTTACCTGAATTACCAGGCTACCGTCTAAGCCTCAGTGACTTCCCTTTGGATTATAAATCACACAGACTATACATGCTGGAAGGGGTTGTGACTGCTATGACCACTGTGACAAAATACACCCAGGGAGCTAGGTTTTTGTGTTCTGATGCAAAATGCCCATATTCTAAAGGTATGAATTTAAAGCAATAATATATAAAAATTATACCCAAATATCACGATGAGTGTTTTCTCTTACTACATAATATTTCCCTGGTTATCCTTCTTTCTTATAGTTTTTAACTAATCCAACACATTAAACTATTCATCATATATCTGGTCTAAATCTGATCACTACAAACTCTAATGTTTATCTAAATTGTGACGATATACCATATATTATTTTTACCAAGATAAATATTTTGAGCTAGAATTTTTCCAAAATCCCTAGCAATATTACTTCTTTGGTAAGTTTGCTATTCAGTGTTTATTGAAAGTTATAGAAAGTGGGGAAAAACACATTACTATAACAGTGAGGCTTAAAGTACATCAAAACAACAGTCCATATTCACAATACCCCAGATAGGGATGAATGGGTAGTGTGGTACCCAGACATGGGAGAGGGAGGCATGAGAAAAAAGAAGACAAAAGAAAATAGAATGTAGAAAGAGAACCACCAGAAGGGGGAGACAATCAGTGTCTGGTCTGCTAGACATAATAGGAAAATATCTTTAGACCTGAGTAATCAGAATCTACAAGGATGTGGGTAAGGTGGAGAAAGGGTTATAATGACGATGTATAGAATAAAGTTCTGGCGCTCATATGTTTTTATTTTTAATTTATATTACATTCCTTGTTTGTATTTATTTAGCTAGAGCAGCAAAACTTGAGATGAGTGTACCCTCTTTTAATATTAACATAAAATATACATAGGGATTAAGGAGAGAGCGCAGGTAACTTTTTCTTTTCTTTGGTTTTTACTATATATTGGGGCTGATGTGTACTGTAGTCATTGCTGCCGGCCCAGTAGTGATGGGAGTGAACGCAGGACTTACCTTTTTGTATTTGTATTTACTTTGTATCACACAGCCTTGTTACAATGCTGCCGCCCATCCCATGTTTTCCTTATTAAGGGTTAATAAGTATATAGGGGTGTTTATAAAAAATACCCCTCTCTGTCTCATTAGAGATATCTTTGCCAGAAGCTCAAGGAAGCAGGCTGAAGGGTCAGTGTAGGACCCGCTTTAGGGGGGTCTGCCTTGATGTTGGCAGGCGGGCATTCCCTCCAATAGCCATTGGAGCAACTAAATGACCTCCATTTGTCTACATATACATAAGGATTAAGGAGAGAGCGCAGGCAACTTTTTATTTTCTTTAATATTAACATGTTTATTTTTTTTAAAGGGACACTCTAGACTCCTGAAGTATTTCAGCTGGCTAAAGTGTGTATATGTGTGAAGAGTGTGTTCTTTCTTTGACGATTGTGCAGATTTCAGTAGAAATTGGCACTTTTATAAATTAATTTTGTTGCACCCCTCTGCTGTAAATCAGACAACAGGTCCTATTACTTCCTAGTTGTTTAGTTGAGCTACACTCAAGAGGCAGCAACTGACAGAGCACAAGACTTCTCAGTGAGCTGAATTGGGAAGTCTGTGATTGGACAGCCACAGAAAGTCTGGGCTGAGAAATAAAAGGAGGGCTTGCAAAGTTTGCGGACAACAGATCTGCAGTTTTTTGCAAGCTGTTTTTAGATATACATTCAACGAAAAAAATGCATAATTAAATATATGCATGTTTTAATTGGGAGTATATCTACAGTGAATAGATTTTTTCAAAATATGTTTTTTAGGGGCAGTGGAGTATCCCTCTAAGCTTTTTGTATAGCGTATTTGCTTCTTCATGATTAAATGACACAAGGAAGGCAAAGTGAAAATCAAAGATTTTATTACTGTCCATAGCACATATAGGAAACTCTAAATGAGAGGTTATAGCACATATAACGTTATTCACTAAAATCCAAATTGCTAAACTACGGCTATAAATAGTGAAACTATGACTAAAGCTGAGCCCACGTTGCCTCTCCACCCTGGAACAGGAAAGGTAACTAGCTTTATTCCCTCTCAGGGACTGGACGACACACTGTCCTGAGAGCTATAGTCCTTTCAAGGACTTTCCCTGCTGAATCCTACACAAGCTGGAACAAGATGCTGAGCAGTGAATAGTCCTTCCCCCTCCCAGTAACTAGACGACACATAATTCTGGGAGTACAACTGATTTTTTTGAGCCAAACTTGGCCTTTTATGCACAAACCCCAGCAGGGCGTCTCCATTCAATACAATACAAGCTCCTCCCAGAGATCCCTGTACCTGAGAGATAACCGAGTTAAAGACCGGTAAGCTAATTATCTCCCATGAACAGAGATCAAAAACATAACATAAACGTACCCCAAAACATAATAAAAATATACACTAACCCCACATGTCCTACTTACCCAACCAGCCCTAAACTGAGCACCAAAGTTGTCCAAATAGTGCTCAGATTCATGCAGTGTAGGGGAATCGCCACAGGGGCAAAGTTCTGACTAGCTGCACACGTGGTCCTATGCCCAAAATAGTTCCAGAACAATATGTGTTTTGACCGGTCATACAGGGTGCTCTGCCTGGCTGTAAATGAGCACTTAAATGTGTGGGAAAATGTACGTTTTTCCTTTTACCTTAATGTATATATCTGCTCAAAATATAGCAACTACAACACTGAGTGTGAAATCCTCTTTAAAGACACAATCTCAAACACAAAAGAACAGTGGAGCGCTTATTGTATTTTACAATTACTAAAATTCTTACAGGCAAACAAGCCTTTGTAAAACACAAAAACACTTAACTTTTAGTGTTCCAACTTGGTTACTTTCTTTCTTTACACCTTTAACACAAAATAAAGACTGAAGAAGCCAAGAGAACGGTGAAATGCGTTTCTTACAGCATAGACGAAGTATTTTGGTATTTGTATTTACAACTTTATTGTTTTTTATAATATTTTTAATAAAGTAATTTTTTAAATACCATTTTGGATTCCTGCTCCTATACAGAAGGGAGTGTAGTCCCTAACTACACAAAGCTTGTTTACTGAGCCAGGTCACAGGCTCTACACTTGTGAGTATACAAGAATCAGCTACCTTTTCTTATTATACCCAACGGAATTATATTGCTTATTTTCCATTTTTAATGAGAAAAACTCTACATATTGGAAATCTATCCCACGGAAGAGGGGAGGGGTTGCCCATAACGGACCCACAAGCCTTCCACACCAGAGCTAGGTCTATATAGCTCTGGAATCATAGGCGTGCGCACGGGGTGTGCCGGGTGTGCCTGGGCACACCCTAATCCCCGCGGCACGCCTATGCATATTGAGACCGGCAGGGGAGATCTCAGGATCTCCCCTGTCGGCTCATGCAGAGCCGGCGCTATCCGACCGCCGGCTCTGCTCACAGCCTCCCTCCCCACTGACCCGCATGTAGGGAGGGAGGCAGGAGAGGACCGGCGGAGCTATTGCCGGCAGCTCCGCCGGGTTCCTCTCGCGAGATATGAGCGTTGCCACGGCAACGCTCAAATCTCGCGAGAGTGAACTCTAGCCCCACAGGGGGCTAGAGTTCACTCTCCACTGGACCACCAGGGATCACAGCAGCAAGGATCCCCTCCTCCACTGGACCACCAGGGATCACAGCAGCAAGGATCCCCTCCTCCACTGGACCACCAGGGAAGGAAGCAGCAGCACGATCCCCCCTCCCTACAAAAGGTAAGAAGGGAGGGGGGATAGCAAATAATGTACCCCCACCTCCACCCCCCACAATCACCCACCCACACACATACAACACACATACAGCACCCACACACATTCAGCACCACACACATTCAGCACCCACACATACAGCACCCACAGACATACAGCACCCACAGACATACACAGCACCCACAGACATACACAGCACAGACATACACACCCACAGACATACACAGCACCCACAGACATACACAGCACCCACACACATACAGCACCCACAGACATACACAGCACCAACACACATACAGCACCCCACACACACAGCACACAAACAGCACCCTCACACACACACAGCACACTAACAGTACCCTCACAAACACAAACAGGACCCTAACAAACACACACACAGCACACTACCAGTACCCTCACACACAAACAGCACCCTCACACACAGTACATTAACAGCACCCTCACAAGTGCACACACACACACAACAGCACCCTCACACACAGTACATTAACAGCATCCTCACAAGCACGCACACACAAACACCCTCACCCACATAGCACACTACCAGCATCGTCACACACACATCACACTAACAGCACCCTCACACAGCACACACACACACACAGCAGTGTGTGTATATATATGTGTGTATATATATATATATATATATATATATATATACACGGCGTGTGCTTGTGCTTTAGGGTGCACACCCTAATGCAATAGGCTGCGCACGCCTATGTCTGGAATATGTGATTGTTCCATTACTGAATATACTATATATATGTTTTAGCAATTTTACACTATATATATTTTATTTTGTGTTAAAGGTGTAAAGAAAGAAAGTAACCAAGTTGGAACACTAAAAGTAAAGTGTTTTTGTGTTTTACAAAGGCTTGTTTGTCTGTAAGAATTTTGGTAATTGTAAAATACAATAATAAGTGCTCCACTGTGCACTTGCTTATCTTTGTCTCAGACACCTTCCCTCCAAAAAGCGCCCTCCAGGTGGGTCGCAAAGTGATCCTAAACATCGGACCAAGTTGCCCTGGAACCGCAAGGTCACGTAGCCGAAAAAGGTTCCATAACAATTGTGCCTAAGTACCGCTGAAGACCGTTCTTGGGTTAGTTTGCACGAACGATCCAAGGTGACCGGAAACCACAAAGTCCTCATGACGTAAATAGTTCCATAGCAGTCGTGGCTGAGGACCATTCATGGTCTGAGGACCGTTCGTGGGTTTGTTCATGCCAGGAAGCTAGTGTTTGCTTTAATTCATGAGAAGGGAACGTGCCGAACCAGGGTTACCGAGGGAAAACTGCTAAGGGCAGCTGGGCAGGATAACTCCCAAATGGGGTCTCAGACCTGGACCATAGTCATTGGGCAGGAGGCCAGCTTCCACACTCCTCCAGGTGTTCGTGGCAAACGATCGTGGAAAGGAGCGTTTGTCACAGTTATGATCTGTAACAGGTAGGGCTGCATAAACAGTGACAAAAGTAAGCTAACTCCTAAAAAGCAAAGCATTAAAGGATTGAAAGTTATACCTTGAGATTTGATGGCACATGCAAAAATAATATAATATCAAGGTTATTTACTAAAAAAAATAAATGGTGATGGATTGAAACTCAAGCTTAAAAAAAGTAAAATAGCCGAGTTGGAAAATGATTTGAATAAGAGAATTAACTCAGCTCAGCTAATTTAGACTACATTTTGGCATATGGTTTTCAATTTCCTATAATTCACTGTTTAAATGGGCACAAACCACTTGTTAAAACACCTCCCTGTTCCTGAGTTTTCAGACTTCTAACACGGGATCTAAGGTCCAGGAGGAGAGGCATAAATGGACACATTCAGAATAAAAATAAATGTTACCGGTAAATTATAAGGGCAAACATTGAGGGCTGTTTTACAGAAAAGCTATTATGGGAGCTGTAAAGGCTAACACATTAAAGTAATTCAAGAAGACTTGAGTTATATGAAACTATTAAAAATCAACTGAAAATTGGTTAAAATTTTCTTACTGGGAGACTAGATGGAGCAATAGATTTGTGAATGATTAGAGTAAACAAGAAGTTATTGAAATTGAAATCTTTGAGAATTGTAACAAAAACTGTATATAAGAATGAAAGAAGCAAATATTCACAATAACCTGTTTTATTTGCACTTGCTTATACATTTGCACTTGCTTATACAATGCAGTCCCTGCATTGGCTTCCAGTTAGATATAGGGCCCAATTCAAAATTCTGGCGCTTGCTTACAAATCCCTACATAATGCTGCTCCAACATACCTATCCTCCCACATACACAAGTATTTCCCGTCGAGACCCCTGCGCTCAGCCCAAGACCTACGCCTATCCTCTGCCCGGATCCCCACCTCTGATGCTCGCCTTCAAGACTTCTCCAGGGCTGCACCTATTCTGTGGAACTCCCTTCCCTCCTCAATCAGACTTTCACCCAGCCTCCATTCCTTCAAAAAATCTTTGAAAACTCACTTCTTTATTAAAGCGTATCAATTAAACTGTCAGCAGGTTTCTCATCCCCCACCCCATGACTCCGTTCCTTCACCTGTCAAAAATGACCTACCAAGCGCTCAATAAACCCTTCTGTAACAAACTATTTAATTCCCCTACTTTAACCCTGTGTGTCACTATACCCCACTCCCTCTAGCATGTAAGCTCATCGAGCAGGGCCCTCAACCCCCTCTGTTCCTGTACGTCAGTGGTCTGATCTCAATTATGTGTCTGTTAGTCCACCCATTGTACAGCGCTACGGAATTTGTTGGCGCTATATAAATAATAAAATAATAATAATAATAATAGCAGTGTATGGTATATCCTACGTAGTGCCATATCCATGCAAAAGGGAAACAAAGGTTTTAAACCCAAATTGCAAACTATTTATATCATGTGTTAATTGTTCAACATATTGGCTTTAATGAAAAGTTAATTTATCTATTCTTTCTTTATTTTCTACCATTTTATTTTTTATTTTTACTGTATAGTTTTATACAATCTTATGACAAAAAATTAAGCATACAACATGCAAATGTATTATTGTTAATATCATAATATAGTCTTATACAAATATGTATGAGTATGTCCATTAGGATTCCGGTATATAAGAATACATGTACCAGGGGCCACAGAGTCTGCAACTGTGAGAAATGATTTTTTATGTGATTACTGTGCTTCACCCCTGAAAGAAGATCTGAAGTACAGAGTTCTTGGTGGTACGTACAGCTTTCGTATATTGCATAGACTGATTTTAAACAAAACCCCATATTTGAAAGAAAATTACAGTGTATTCTTGTCTTATTTTTAGACAAACAGGTGTTTGATTTAATGGACTCCAAGATATTGCAAATTTTCCAAGGAAGTGTCACTAACAGTCAGCATTATCGGTTACAGTCATTTGCTGTGTTTGTGAGAGGTAAATTTTTCAGTCTATTATAATATTACAATTAAAATGGTTTAACTTCTTAGAACTTTTCCAGGGTCAATGAGGTGAGCGAGGAATTTACCATCCATATTATACCATTCAATAAATAGTTTTCTGCACTAATTCATTGCTTTGTACCAAATTTGACATTTTCAGGCTTCTTGTGCTGGTAGAAAATAAAAAGATTAGTATAAATGTTTAGCATGGACATTTATGATAACGTATTTGCTGTTTGACTTACGATTTCCAGAATAACATTAAAGGGATACTCTAAGCGCCAGAACAACTTTAGTTTAATGAAGCAGTTTCAGTGTATAGAATCTAGATCATGTCCCAGGAGTCTCACTGTTCAATGCTCTGCCATTTAGGAATGAAATCACCTTTGATTCTATTCATGCAGCCCTAGTCACACAGCCTACATGAAAAAATTATATCATTTTCAATCAGATCTGACAGGACAGTGTGTTTAGAAGATTTTCCTCTCCTGCTCTGCTATTTGAACTTTAATCACAATCAGGAGAGTCCTACATGTTCTAGCAGGCTAGTAACAGAGTAGGTGATACAAACTTCTAAATTAAACAGACTGTGCAATAAAGGAACTTTAAACATTAGATCTCTCTTTACAGGTAATGTGTAAGGAGTATGTGTAGGTCACATGCAGATGAGATGTGGCTAGGGCTGTATAAACAAAGTGATTTAACTCCTAAATGGCAGATAGTTGAGCAGTTCGCCTGCAGGAACATGATCTACAACAAAACCACTTAATTAAGCAAAAAGTTTTTTGTTACTTATTGTGTCTATTTTGTCATGTTCTTTCCTTCCTGCCCAAGTCCTTCAACACCCATCAATTGTGATGAGAATTATCCAATGAACCTTTCCCTGACATAATTAGACTGTGGTTGTACAGAGCCAGGATCCAAGACCTTGATTAATAAGCCTCATTCACTGAATAAGAAGCCCTCTCTTCAAATGTTTTATGTATATATCAATTCATGTTTTTGAATATTTTTGTTAAAGGGCCTTGCATGCCCTCACCATGGGAGTTGGTGTAGGCATGCCAGGCTTTTTTTTTTTTTTTTGTAAATTTTTTTTTTTTGGATGTGCGCAAATTAACAAAGAATCTTGTACTGCCACAAAAGCATGTACAAGAGCGTTGAATAACACAAGTAATAAACGTTGCTTACAGAGATGTACATTCAAGAATGTTACAATAAGTTAGAGATGTCAAGCTAGGTAAACTGTCTGAGTACACAGTAGGAAGTAGATTAAGCTAGAGTTGCAGGCTATTCTGGTATGCCTAGCTATTAGATATAAAGCAGGCCTGTCCAGTCTTAGGTATACAAGTCAAATGTATATTAGAACTGCAGTTAGGTTTGACTAGTTAGGTATGTAGGCATAAGACTAGATAAACTAGGAACTGTGCTAGACTGTGCCATTCGGGAATAACTGTAAGGATCAAAAACATACAAGATATATAAACCACTGAGTCCCCACATATCCGTTCGCTACTGGGGCTGCAGCTTAAAGTAAGCCCTGCACCGTTTATACTAATAGAATAAAATAATGATAAGGTAAGAACTCAAAGTCAAATTAGTGTGAAGATAAGTAATTAATGGCACTACTAGTGTAGGATGGCGGTGTTGGCCAAATGGATAACAGCCAAACGTGGCTTGGGACCAGTCCTGCAAAGTGAGTTCAGCCTCAGCCGATGCCAGTGCTCCGGAGCCTGTTGAACAGCTGTGGAGCGGTGTTAGGCAGGTGCAGAGATCGGCGTCCCTCCAGCCCCAGGCCCTGATTAGAGTTCGCATCTCAGCTCCATGGATTCGGTAGCTCGTGTTGGAGTCCGAATTCAGCTCCATGGATTCGGTAGCTCGTGTTGGAGTCCAAATCCTTCCCAGGTTGGGGATAGCAGGAGCTCCTGGTGTTTCTTCGCCGCCTGTGGCGTCAGGACTTCAGCTTCTGTGGATCATGCCAGGAGAGTACCTCCCTGTGGGCTCCTAGCCCAGGTGTGCCAATGAACGCAGGTACTATTTGAAGCGTGGTAGTTGTGCCCAGAGGGGGCCTGCTTATTCCCTGCTCCTCTCCGCTCCACTTACCACTCCAGCCCCGGGCCCGGGAGAGTATAGACCTCCAAATTCGCCCAGAAGCGATCAAAAGCTACGTCTATGCTGTGTTAAGGTATCCAGGGTGCTCTCCAGTTGGGTCAGCACGGCTGCCATCTTGTATGTTGTTGCTGTGGTCGATTCCTGCGCCATAATATCAGGTTGCATCCGGTCCGAGCTTGCGGAAAGGGTCAGTGGAGACCGGGATAACCCCCGCTGGTCCAAAGAGGGGGGGAAAGCGTTAGGTAGGGACCACACCGTCGGCCTGTGAACCAGGAGAGCAGACGTCTCCCCTTGTTTCCAACACGGGTAGGCCGCAAGCCTTGAGTCTGGCAATTCAGCAGAGGAGATCCTTGTAACGGGTATCCCCAGGTACAGCGTCGTCCTGTGAACAAGAAGGCTGCGGTCAGGTCAGTTAGAGTGAAAAAAAAGAGTGGGAGAGTTTGATTTTCAACAGAGGCATACTGAAGCCTCTAATTCAATCCATTTATGTAAAATTGATTTCCTAGTGTGGGATTTTAAGGAGTGAGACTGAATGCCCAATATCACTGTCTCTAGAATAAAACAAATGGCAAGGTTTGTAATAGCAGTCATCTGTTCACCTCCTTCCAAATCCAGTTCACCACAACTAGAAACAATGATAGAGATCCAACTACGGCATTTCAGGCAGTCCAGATACTCCCTCAGTCCAAGTGTCTGTTGGAGTTTTGGTGAGTAATAAGCATAATGAAAATTATTCAAGTGCATTTTTTGGTACGTGGGCATTGGGATTTGTTTGTGGAGTTTAGAAAAAAAACAGGAGGCTATCTGACATATCAAAAGCATGGAAGCTGATAAGAACTTGCCTACTTTAGTCTAAATAAATATTAAAGATGACTAGGTCATAACAACAGTCTGATAAAGATATATACCAATGCTTGACCAATGCTGGACAAGATTTACAAACCAACTCTGGAGGAGACATATTCTGAGAGATTACCTGTAAAATCAGGTAGCATACCAATACTTAATATTGTACACTAATACTTTGTCTCAAACATACATTAATTTAATTCTATATACTCTGCTTTATAATATTAATGGATTATTATGTTTTTATATGTCAATATTAATTTATATATATTAATTTATATTTAATAAAATATTTTAAAAAGATACAAAAAGTTATTGCTTCCAATTCCTTATTTTTATTGTATTTTCAATTTATATATATTTTAAACAGAGAAACTCTTGCCAACGATATAATATTTTTGTTAAAGATATCTGTATGTTCAGCCCTGCTAAATTTTATGCTTTAAGACTTTATAGTGGTAAATAGGGGCACTAGTAGTTACAAGTCAAACGAGAGGTGATAGATTTTACAAAACTACAGATTTGAAGATAGATAGATTTGAGATGGCGAGTATTTTTTTTTTGTCTTGGTATTTAAACATTTTCCCAACATCCCCAGTCCAGCCTTTGAGGATACTAGCAATATTTAGACCTAGGTAAAATTGTGGCTGCTGGAGGTGGTGTAACAAGTTTCTAGTTTTTTTTTAATTCTTAAGAAGTGTAAAAATTGAGAAGTTTAACCATTTAAGATATTAGAAGATATTGGAATTGGGACCCTTTGCACAGAGGTCATGAGTTTTGGGATTAAAATACTTTTAATCAGACAAGTAGAGAGAGCAATATATGTGTCCAAACTTTTAATAGATTTTCAATAGTAATAATTTGAGTAGTAATGATAAGATAGACGTGAGATATTTCACTAGAAAGAAGAACTGTGTCTGGTGTGCCCAGCCCAGCTTAAAAATAAAACCAAATGAGATTATTAAGAAACAAATGGCACTATTATTCGGTTGTGCACAAATCTCCCTAGTGACAACTCATCTTTAATGGACAGAGGAATGTCCAGCTGATTTAACACCAAAACTCTTTTTAGGTTGAGAACTTATATATGTAAGAATGAGTCTTTCATATTTTTATTGTCAATGAAGAGTTATCAGATAATAATTTTAAATTGGACTGCAAAGCATGTAATGTACAAATTTCAGTTTTGTGTTCTTGTGATCATTTCTTAGATGAGCTAATTAACAAAATGAAATTAGGAGGAAGATACAGAGTTGTAGGAATACCAGTATGTGGAAATGTTGGTTCCCAAGCCACTGTATGCATAGAGGCCAATAATATACACCAATACATAGTAGAAAGTAAGTGCATTTGCAAAAATAACCAGAAATAGTCATGTCTGCTGACCTTACTCGATACAAAGATTACAAAATGTTTACATGTTTGTTTTTATATATATATATATATAGTTTTATATTTAAAGGAACACTTTAGGCACCCAGACCACTTTATCTCAATGTGCCATGTGCCCCTTTCAACCTTGCAGTTGAAAACATTGTTGTTCAGCAGGAATGGCAATGTTTTCTTTTCAGGGTTAATCTGCCTCTAGTGACTGTCAATATGACAGCTACTAGAGGCTTTTCTGTAAAATAGCAGAGTTGTACCATCTGATTGGCACCACGTAGCATTTTGCCATGCATGCGCACTAGTCTACCAAAGCTTTTGCTATGATTTTGCCCAAGGAGGTGGAACTTGATCAAGGAAACTGGTGCGGTGAGGGAAAAGGTGAGTAAACAACATTTTTTTTTTTACCTTTCTTTTTAACCTTGGCAGCGACTAGGGTACTAAATGGCAACTAGGGTACTATAGAATTAGGAGTACAAACATGTATCCCTAAAGCAATAGTGTTCAATTAACTATTTAAAAAGTAAACTTACTTACATTTAAGCCCTTGCCATGCTGGTCTCACTTGCCGCCATAAGCAGTTTTGATTACATCAGATAATCCAATGTTCCCCCATATGGAAGCATTGAGAGCCTAGTGTGCATGCATTGAGTCAGTGCATATCTTTGTGGAGCATTCAATATCTCCATACAGAGTTTGAAGAGGCTGAATGAGGTACTACAATCTTTGCAGGACTTCGTCCAGGAAGTTCTCCTCTAGTGCTTGATGTAGTGGTGGTCATAGGCATCAATGTAAGCACTGCTTCTTTGCAGAATAGATAGCATTTACACTATTTACCATGCAGGGACAAAATATATGCCCCAGAACAGCTACATAAAACTGTAGTGATTCAGGTGGTAACTATAGTTTACACATTTAGTATATATTTCAACTATACATTTCTTATTTTATGGTGAGAATAAAAAACAGGATGCAAGAGAATACTGAGAAAGGACAACAGCTTCAGTAAATAGGACTCCACATGGAGTCTGAGAACGGACAACAGTATTCAATAAACAGGACTAGAGTTGAGCGGACACCTGGATGTTCGGGTCCAGCGGGTTTGGCCGAACTTCAGAAAACAGTCCGGGTTTGGGCTCGAACTTGACCCCGAACCAGAACCCCATTGAAGTCAATGGAGACCCAAACTTTTGGCCACAAAAATGGCTCTAAAAAAGTCCTGGAAAGGGCTAAAGGGCTGCAAAAGGAAGTAAAATAGGGCTAAGAGTAGGACAAGTGCCCTGCAAACAAATGTGGATAGGAAAATCACTTAAAATAACATAAAATACATAAAAAATTAAAATACAGCTGAGCCAGAATATAGCACTAGATGGAATCTTTGATTTTATCTTTGGAAGAACATAAATCAAATTCTAAAGCATGGCTGTCAGGAGGATCACCAGAATTATCCATTTGAGAGAGGGTTGGAGTGCAGGGTATTCTCTTTCATTGTTCAAACTGAGCTCAAATCCTGATGCATGGAGAAAAGGCCTTCACAAGCCTCTGCTATTGTGTACTTAGTTTATACTAAGTGACCCATAGGTTGAGGAGGCGGTGACCATGGTGGTGTAGGTGGAAGCAGCGGTGGAGAAGGAGGTAGCCAACACTGTTTTTTATTTGTTTGCTTGTTTGTTTGTTTGTTTTTTTTTTTAAATTGGGGTAGACCCCTAAAATATTGCGACATATATAAAAAGAAACATTTGCGGCCTGCGGTGCATTTTTTGAAGTCCTGATGCATGGAGAAATGCTCATCTCCTGATGCATGGAAAAAAGGCCTTCACAAGCCTCTGCTATTGTTTACATAGTTTATACTAAGTGACCCATAGGTTGAGGAGGCAGTGACCGTCGCGGTGGAGGAGGAGGAGGCAGCCGACACTGTTTTTTATTTGTTTTTATTTATTTTTATAAATTGGGGTAGCCCCCAAAATATTGGGACGTATAAAAAAAGAAACATTTACGGCCTGCAGTGCATTTCTTGAAGTCCAATAACGCCATCAGGTTTTTAAAACTGTCCGTCTCCACCAGACAGAATGATAGCATTTCAAAGGCCACGAATGTTGAAATGTTGGCATTCAGGGCCAGGGAACGCGGGTGGCTAGGCGGGTACTTCCTCTTTCTCTCCAGTGTTTGGGAGATGGACAGCTGAACGCTTCCATGGGACAGTGTGGAGATGCTGGACAATTGTGTACCTGGCCTATGCTAATGCAGGAACCCACCCTCCGAGCCACTTGTGAATCACTGGCCTCATAACCATGGAAATGACCCCTCTTCCTCCTCCTCTTCCTCCTGTGCCACATCCTCTTCCATCATCGCCCGAAGCGTTTTTTCAAGGAGACATAGAAACAGGATAGTATGGCTGAGAACGGCGTCATTGGCACTGGCCATGTTGGTGGAGTACTCGAAACAGCACAACATGGCACACAGGTCTCGCATGGAGGCCCACTCATTGGTGGTGAAGTGGTGCTGTTCTGCAGAGTGACTGACCCGTGTGTGCTGCAGCTGAAACTCCACTATCGCCTGCTGCTGCTCTCACAGTCTCTCCAGCATGTACAAGGTGGAGTTCCACCTTGTGGGCATGTCGTGTATGAGGTGGTGAGCGGGAAGGCCAAAGTTACGCTGCAGTGCAGACAGGCGAGCAGCAGCAGGGTGAGAACACCGAAAGCGCTCACAGCCGCTAGAGTGAATGTCACATCCTGTCTCAAGTTGTGGATTAGTCTGGTGATGGCTTCTGGTATCCAGTACTCTTTTTACTGAAGCTGCATCAGGGTACTGGTATGTGGCTGCACAAACGCTAGTGCTCAACACCAGGGGGCGTGCGGTTACCCTGCACCAGACCCTGCTAATCCATTCCACACTGTGACTCCTAACTTCAACATCAGGCATACTGGGTCCTGGTTGTCCGACCGCCGCACAGACAGTGTCTGGGTCCTGGTCACTGGACTGCTGCCCTCAATGTGAAACTTTGCTGTAAGCACAGTGTTTGACGGTTCTATTTGACTCTCAGATATGAAGTGCACCGCAGGCCGCAAATGTACTATTTAGCACCCAAAACAATTTGAATTTTTCAAAGTGTGCTGTAAGCACAGTGTTTGACAGTTCTATTTGACTGTCAGATATGAAGTGCACACCCCAAAAATTAGAATTGGTCAAACTGCGCTGTAATCAAATGTACTATTTAGCATTAGCACCCATAACAATTAGAATATTTCAAAGTGCGCTGTAAGCACAGTATTTGATGGTTCTATTTAACTCTCAGATATGAAGTGCACCGCAGGCCGCAAATGTACTATTTAGCAACCAAAACAATTAGAATTTTTAAAAGTGCGCTGTAAGCACAGTGTTTGACAGTTCTATTTGACTCACAGATATGAAGTGCACCGCAGGACGTAAATGTACTATTTAGCATTAGCACCCAAAACAATTTGAATTTTTCACAGTGCGCTGAAAGCATAGTATTTGACGGTTCTATTTGATTCTCAGATATGAAGTATACACCCCAAATTAACTTTTTAGCACCCAAAACTATTTGAATTTTTCAAAGTGCGCTGAAAGCACAGTATTTGACGGTTCTATTTGACTCTCAGATATGAAGTGCACCGCAGGACGCAAATGTACTATTTAGCACAAAAAAGTGTGGGTTTTTTTTGTTTTTTTTTTAAACCAACAACGTAACAGTAGTATTTAAGGGTTTTATTAGACTGCAAGAAATGCAGTACGCAAATGTACTATTTAGCACTGAAAAAATTGCAGCATTTAAAAATGCTTAGATGTTGCCCCCTGAGCTACCAGAACAGAAATAAAGTCATGTGCCTGCACTCTCTGTGGCACTGCGCTCAGGGCAGGGTACAAAAATTTAGTATAGCACCCACTAAAATAATCGCTGTAGTTTGAATAATCACTGTAGTTTGAATAATCGCTGTAGTTTGCAGATTCCACACCAGAATTCTTTCCTAAGCTGTCCCTCACAGCTGCAGCATCCTGTCCCTACACTAATAAGAGCTCATGTGACGTGCGGCGCTACGTGACTCCAGCTTATATATAGAGGCTGGGTCACATGCTGCATTGGCCAATCACAGCCATGCCATTAGTAGGCATGGCTGTGATGGCATCTAAGGGCAAACAAGTCAAACGCTTGTTGATTGGCTGCCCTGCAGCCTTTCAAAATGTGCCATTAAATCGCCGAACACCGAACTCAAACCTGAACATACACTGAAATGTCCGTGTTCGGGTCCGGGGTCCAAAAAACATAATGTTCGTTCGGTACGAACCCGAACTTTGCAGTTCGTGTTCGCTCAGCTCTAAACAGGACTCCACATGGAAATTCCTCAACAAGCTTGCTTTCTTATTCTCTGTTAAGGGCTAAGAGACTCACAAGACCATTAACTGTTTGTATAAATTGGCTACCTGCCAAACTAAAATAGCATTTAATAGCTACCTCTATTACTTTAAATATACATACAGCCAAGTAGCCATAATGTTGCTTGATCTTTAAAATAGAACTATCTGAATGTAATGCTAAATCTTAAAGACAAGGAACCAGCTTCACTAGTGCTGCTTTGAAAAATATAAATAGGCTATACAAATTAAATATCGGAAAAACAGAAGCCCTTGCAATCCAAATCGACCCACAACAACTCAGAACCCATACAAACACATACCCCTTCAACCTCACGAACACGGAGATAAGCTACTTAGGTACTCACATACCGAAAGATCTTACACAGACATACTCACGCAACTACACTCCGCTACTAAGACAAGCAGCTCAAGACCTACAATCATAGGCTGGCCTCTCGATATCATGGCTGGGCAGACTGGCGTCAGTCAAGATGAATGTACTCCCCAGATTCCTCTACCTCTTCCAAGCTCTTCCCATACCACTCAAGGCCGCTGATTTCAAAACTTTACAAACTCAAACCGACCGCTTCATATAGGCAAACAAAAAAGCCAGAATTAAACGAATGACACTCTACATACCAAATAGAGCAGGTGGACTAGGCCTCCCTCACTACATGCACTACTACCACGCCGCGCAACTAGCTCAAGTATAACACTTACACGCCCCATACGGCATCAAAAGATGGGTAGACCTAAAACACACCATATTTGGCAGGGACCTCCCATCCCTCTACATTTGGCTACCTAGACAAGCTAGACCACAAACACCCACCACCACCCCTGCACTAACAAACACCATTAAAATCTGGGATAAGGTAGCACATAAAAGCTCCTTAACTTCAAAAGCTCCTTAACTTATGCCAATCCTGCGCAATACACTTTTCATCCCCATATGACGCCCCAACATTTTTCCAGGTTCGAAGATAACAATCTCCTTTGCTTCTACCAATTCTACCGAAACTGAACTCTCATATCCTTCCCTGACCTACCCCAACAAACGCCATTGACCACATTTGACCACTTCCGCTACATCCAAATTCGAAGCTTTCTTGACACTCCAACAAACAAGAAGGCAAGCACCACGGCCCTTACCCCGTTCGAAAAAGTCTGCATGAAAAGCTCAATCCAAAAAAACCCCAGATAACTACCCTCTATACAAACATAATCAAAACCTTCACAAAGTGCTCACTGACATACATGTCGGCTTGGGAGAGGGACCTAGGGCTGCCAGACCACCCCTCAGACTGGGCAGACATATGGGAGGCCATAGCCTCGGTTTCCATATGTGTAAACCACAAAGAACAAGCATACAAGACACTAATGCGCTGGTACCTCACCCCCCTCTAGCTCAAACAAATGGGTGTATCTGTTGTCGATCTGTGCTGGAAACAGTGCGGCGGAAAAGGCACATATCTCCACGTATGGTGGGTGTGTACCCAAATCACCTCACTATGGCACTAAATCACACAACTAACTTCTAAAGTACTACACACCAATATCCCACTAGATCCCTGGACATGGCTCCTTTCCAAACCCCTAGAAAACATCCCCAGATGTCAAAATAAACTAATAGCCAAAATCGCCCTAGCAACTTGAAGGGCCATAGCGGAAGCCTGGAGCAAACCAGAAGTGTACCAACACTGCAAACAGTGATACGAAAAATAGAGGAAACCAAGAAAATTGACAAACTGTCCGCAATAGTACACGATTCCACCAATGCCTTCAACAAAATCTGGGACCCATGGCTCTACGAATTCCCAGTCCACATGTCCAGACCTGGGAACGATAGAAACAGACGCCACCCAGGTTCGCCCAGAGCCAGTCCACCCCCACCCCAACAGTAGAAAATCCCTCTATCCACCCACACACACACACCCCTCTCCCTGCCTTCCCCCCTCCTAAACCCATCAATATTCCCCTCCAACTTCCATACCCCTCCCACTTCACTACCACATCACCATACCCCCCACCACCTCAAACCCCCAACACCCTACATACACTCTACAACCCCCCCAACTTCGGCCCGGCACCAGACCAACCCCACTACACTGACAGAAACTAGCATACTCCAAGATGAAGATAAGCGATCCACAAACCAGAACATCACACACCAACTACAAGCTACCTAACTCCACACTCATAGAAACGCTCAACACCAACTAACCCACCGCAAACTCATAAAACACAGCAAATAAGGAAGGCAACACCGCAGCACACCCATATATCCCACTAACCTATATATACTCCACCCCTCCCCCCTTAAAAACAAACCTCCAAGACAATCTTGGAACCCTCAACATCTAAACCTACAACAGACGCTACATATTTGAGGGACGCAATGGTACTCCTTCAGGTTAAATGAGAAAGTACTCTCTTTTGAAAAATATTCACCTCCCTTTTTTTTTTTTTTTTTTTCTTCTTCTTCTGCATTCTGTAACCCCAGACCGCACTCAACAATGCATGCAAACATCCTCACTAAGACTTAATTGTATAAGGTAAAGAAAGAAAATGTTAAAAATGCAATGTAAATAATACAATGTAATACCGTGATAAGTACATGTATCTCAACCCCCCCGCCCCTCCCCTTCTTCTATTCTGTACCCCACAAACCGTTCATATGAATTTAAAAAAAAGAAAATGATAAATAAAGAATTTATAAAAATAAATAAATATTTAAATAGGCTAAAATGGGATATCATAGGGCACCTTGTGCCCAGTAAGTGTGATATCGCCTATAGCACGATCCATCCTCCAAATAAAAGAATAAATACATACAGCCTTGGCGGTTTCAAAATGTATTTGACATAGGACTTCCTTGTTGTGGAACTTCGCTTCCCAATGCTCCACAACTACCACGTCCCTCCTGTCTAAAGATCACTGCTTGTACAAATATAGGACACACAATATCTCAGTATACATAGCCTCTTACCCAAACACTCAATTCTGACTGATGCCTGGCGTACATTTCGGTCGTTAATGCATCATTGTCAAGGACCCTTACCCATTAAGTACAGCTATGAGTCTTGTTAGTCTCTTAGACCTTTTGAGTATAAGTTAGTACTTATGTCATCTTTTTATAAATCTCAAGCAATCTCTTCTGGATATAACTATATAGAGTGTGATCTTTTTAAACCTGCATTTTTATACTGTGATCTACTTTAGATAGGGTTATTCTTTCAGACATTACTCCTCTTTTAAATTTTTAGTGTTGTTAGATTCTACATCTTACAAACATTTTTAAATAAATCACTGGGTGTCACCTGGACATGAGGTTCATAAATTAGTGGATAAATGAATCAAATATCCCTCTCCTTTACTTAAAAAATGTATATTTATCTTTGTCAAATCACTTTAAAACAATCTGACAAAACACAGATGGCTGGATAGCAAACACAAACACAAAAATCTATTTTTAAAGGGACACTATAGTCACCCAGACCACTTCAGCGCAATGAAGTGGTCTGGGTGCCAGGTCCCTCAGGTTTTAACCCTTCACATGTAAACATAGCAGTTTCAGAGAAACAGTTATGTTTACAAAGCAGGATTAATCCAACCTCTAGTGGCTGTCTTCCTGACAGCCGCTAGAGTCACTTCTGCGACGCTGGATGCAAAATTCGCATCCATCGTGCAGAACATCCATAGGAAAGCATTGAGAAATGCTTTTCTATGGACTGTTATAATGCGCGCACAGCTCTTGCCATGCATGCGCATTCTGCTGCACTCGGGAGCTGACGTCGGCTGGGGAGGAGAGGTCACCATTGCCAAGGGAGCCCGGCGCTGGATTAAGGTAAGCTGCAGAAGGGGTTTCAACCCCTTCAGTGCCAAGGGAGGGAAACCCTGAGGGTGAGGGTCCCCCAAGGATGACATAGTGTCAGGAAACGGGTTTGTTTTCCTGACACTATAGTGATCCTTTAATGTTTCTATATATTTACCAACTATTTAATTAGCATTTGTTCTTCTTTCATGTTTTTGGCATATATTACTGTTTTCATGTCCATTAATAGTTAATTGATATACTGATTGTTTCTTTGCTAAATAGGTTTATCAATATGTCTTTGCAATGTGCTTTTACCTAAATATACTCCAGTATATAATCCATGGCATTGTAATTTGGGGGAGATTTTGATGCTATGTGTGTTACAAAGTTGTTTCCTTTTTAGGTCCACAAACTATAAGCAGGAATTTTCACAAAATTCATGCTTTGACTCGGGACTCTCCTTGGATTTTCACCGGCATTCTTGCCAATGTTTTTTCATCACAAGTAGTCCCAGTTGGTACCTACAATACGTTAAAGCTGTGCATGTTACTTAGTCTTGTACAGACCAGCAATGAAGACAGAGATCCTGTGAATTTTTTGGATCTTCTTGTTATAACAAGTGATACATTGACTGTTGAGAGGTTAGTATATTATTTCTAGTACTTTTTGTTAGTGGGAATACTTAACCCCAAAAATGGCTGGGTGTGTAAGAAGCAGTGGCTATTGGCTCAGTATTCTATGCCTGGGTGTGTAAGGAGCAGTGGCTGTTGGCTCAGTATTCTATGCCTGGGTGTGTAAGGAGCAGTGGCTGTTGGCTCAGTATTCTATGCCTGGGTGTGTAAGGAGCAGTGGCTGTTGGCTCAGTATTCTATGCCTGGGTGTGTAAGGAGCAGTGGCTGTTGGCTCAGTATTCTATGCCTGGGTGTGTAAGGAGCAGTGGCTGTTGGCTCAGTATTCTATGCCTGGGTGTGTAAGGAGCAGTGGCTGTTGGCTATTGGCCTGGACGTGTAAGGCAGTGGCTATTAGGTCACATTCCGTGTGATCTGTTGCTATGGCCTGGTAAGAACATCCTCCTTCAATATCAGGGGTGATCATAATAGAATGGAGTTGCACCATGAGTGGTTTTTATTTAATGATTCAGATAACCCAAGACTATGGGGAATTAAAATAATTATTTGTTTAACAATGTTCTTATTAAATCAGGAATAATTCTGAAATTCTTATAAACTGCAGCCTTTGCAAGCCCTCCCCTTTTTTCTTGGAAGAGATATTCAGTCTCTATACAGGAAAATAACCAAACCGAAGTTTCTCATTGAGAAGCCTCTGAAGCTATTTTCCTGTGTACTTGCGCACAAAGACTCGTGTGTGCATCAGCTTGTGCACACATACACTGTGCCCAGCATTGAGAAGGAACGTTGATCTTATCTGAGGTCTGAGAATATTTATGTGGGGGAGGCTCAAGCAAACGTAAGCAGGAAGAAACTTTGGTTTGGTTGACAGCTAGGGGAGTGTTCCATTATTTAATTTAAAAAGTGCCAATTACTCATGGAGATCGTTACTTTTATAAAAGGCCTTTTAATAGACTACTCCTCACCAATAAAGCACATCAGCAAGCTGAAGTATTTTCTGGGTGTGGAGTGATCCTTTAACCCCTTAAGGACCAAACTTCTGGAATAAAAGGGAGTCTTGACATGTCACACATGTCATGTGTTCTTAAGGGGTTAAAGGCAGGTTGAATTTAGCCTGAAGGTAAAAACCAGTCTCCTATTTAAATTATTAAGATCCCTGCCCAGCAGATTGTTTGAAAGAAATCCTACAAGTTGTAGTTGGGTTTTCCATGTTCTGTTTGCCTGTATTGTCTTTATTTGAATGAAACAGACAAAATTCTTATATGGAGAAAATAAATCACGCATTACCAAAGGTCAAAAGAGTACAAAATATAGAATCTGAGAACCAGTTATTCTACTAATCTCAAACTATCTAGTTCACAGTAATCATAGTCTTCACATTTACAAACATTAGAGTTTAACATACAACAATGCATCCTACAGTGTTGTAAATTAATTGTAAATTAATCTAATATTTCTGTCCTTGATCTGTGTCATTTCCTCGTTAAGCTACTCAGACCTTTCAGTGGTAATTAGGTCACAAACCATTCATAATCTTATTTTCACTTAATTGGTATATTTGAAATATATTGTGGAATGTCTAACATTGTGCTGTATACATCATCCCACTTTGTGGAAAGTGTCTTAAAGGAACACTATAGTCACCTAAATTACTTTAGCTAAATAAAGTAGTTTTAGTGTATAGATCATTCCCCTGCAATTTCACTGCTCAGTTCACTGTCACTTAGGAGTTAAATCACTTTGTTTCTGTTTATGCAGCCCTAGCCACACCTCCCCTGGCTATGATTGACCGAGCCTGCATGAAAAAAAAAAAATGGTTTCACTTTCAAACAGATGTAATTTACCTTAAATAATTGTATCTCAAGCTCTAAATTGAACTTTAATCACATACAGGAGGCTCTAGCAGGGTCTAGCAAGCTATTAATATAGCAGGGGATAAGAAAATCTTAATTAAACAGAACTTGCAATAAAGAAAGCCTAAATAGTGCTCTCTTTACACTTGCAGGGGTTCTCAACCCAGTCCTCAGGACCCCCTACCAGTCCAGGATTTGGGGATTACCTGGGTGTGTCTCAGGTGTTTAGAAAAAGGGAAAAAAACACCTTAGACTCTAAGGTGTTTTTTTTTTCTTTTTCTAAACACCTTAGACACACCCAGGTAATCCCTAAACCCTGGACTGGTATGGGGTCCTGAGGACTAACGTTGAGAACCCCTGCTTTACAGGAATAGTTTATTGAAGGCTGTGCAAGTCACATGCAGGGAGGTGTGACTAGGGTTCATAAACAAATAAATTTAACTCCTAAATGGCAGAGGATTGAGCAGCGAGGCTGCAGGGGCATGTTCTATACACCAAAAACTGCTTCATTAAGCTAAAGTTGTTCAGGTGACTATAGTGTCCCTTTAAGATAACATATAGCCCATAGCTGCAGGGTATACAATTGCAGCTCATTTCCCTCATTATTGGTGTAATTTTGTTTAAGGGTTCTAGATAATGGTAAAAATTACCAATGCCTTAAATCAAACATGTTCAAAAAGAAAAGTTGCAATTCTCAACAATTTTTGAACTGGACACACTTAACTAGCCAGTGTAAATATTTTTGTTCTTCAGACTTCTGAGTTACGGCATTAGTCTAGTGCCACGTGGTGTGCGCCATTTTGTATCCAATGATATGTTTGCCACAGTATCGAAAGATGACCATGGAACGGGAACTGCTAGTATCCAGGCTTGTAGTGCTCTGCTAGCCAAAGGAGGGGTATGCTGCATAGGAGATATGAGTTTGCAGAAAAAAGACAAGCTTGACCACCTCCAATCAGGTATATTTCAGTTTGTATGAAGAGGAGATAATAGCAATCACTCATTTTATTTTTAAGTTATTTCTAATAAAGTTCGCATACTAAGATTAAAGAAAATATATTTAAACGTCAGTGGTATTAAAATTTTTCATGGGTGATTCCATCTCATTACTATTAAGCCTTGCAATCACATGAAACGTAATGTTGATGTTGAATTGGGGTATATTTATCTGGTGTGGAGAATAACAGTCATAAGGTTGGTAGAAAATATTATAAATTAATCAAATATTGAACTTTACGCAGTGTCCAGGGAAAGGTAGTGAGATATTTCCCTGCCATAAAAAAAGATATAGACAGTAAAAAACACTGGGAAGTGTGTTCCCTAAACCCATCCAAAAATAAGATGGTGTTTTAGAAAAAAAAAAATACTGGCCAATAACAGGGTATGCATGTTCTTTCGTGAGTGTGATTATCACCCTCCTTTTTTGTTAGAAAAGAACTTTGAGGTGCAGAAATCTCTACTGAAATGTGATAACTCCTCTTCAGCAGGTTTGTGATCGCAGGATTGTGATCTCATCTTGGTAAAATTGTTGTCCAAAAGTATCAGAAAGGTGAGATTGTGAGTGCACCAACAGCATTAAATTAGATAAGGGATTTTTCTAAACAAACCAAAAGCGGAGTTGCCGGTGCACTATCGCTAATTCCTAAGGACAGAGGCAGCGCACCTGCCAATGTTAAAGAAACACTAAGGTGTTAGAAATACAAACAAGTATTCATAATAATATACACTTTTTATAGGTAACTGTCCCCCCTCAGAATATCGTAAAAATAAAATTTCTTTTGTCACAGCGGACCCCGCCTCCATGGCTGAGATCATCAATCTTGATGATCTCAGCCAATTCAATGCATTGGGAAGCCATTGCACGTGCAAGGCCAAATGCTGTGATGCATCAATCAGCATCTCCTCATTAAATCAATGCATTTCTATGGAGAGCATTCAGCTTCTCCATGCAGAGTGTGGAAATGCTGAACGCAGGTCCTGCACACAATGCAGCACTGAAATAGGAAACACCACCAGTGGCCGTCTAAGTGATGGCACCTAGAAGTGTTACTAGGCAGCAGTGTAAACACTGCCTTTTCACAGTGTTGAGCCTGCTATAGACACTAGAACTACTACTTTAAGCCGTAGTGATTCTGGTGATTATAGTGTTCCTTGAAGGCAAACCTCCAAAGGGGTTTTGTTTTGCTTATATTTTTAAGCTAATGAATACTAATGCTATTGCTGCTGCCAGAGCGTATTGGGAATTTGAACACATGGTTGATTTCTGTGTTTTTATACTCATTTTCCTTAACATGTTTGTTATGAATATGACTATTTGCTTTAGTTTTGGAGAGCAGAAACACCACTGTGTTTATTCCTGGAAAGAAGTATGGCGAAGACGGTGACCATCAAATGTTTCTTCCTGTCCAATGTAATTTCTGGTCTTATGTATCCTACTCAAAGAAGCCTGTTCAAAAGGAAAACAAAGTGATCGGTCAAGTGGTATGTGTTTAACTAATTCAAGGCTGTCTTGTGAAATATGATGCAAACCAATTTCTTCATGATAGATGACGTGCCTGCATTTGATAAAAGCATAAAGGTATGAAATGAACTGTAACCACCTGCAACAATACTCAACTGATAATAGCTCTGTAGTTTTACTTTCCATGCTACAGACAATAAAAGTCACACCTTCTCAGTAACGTCCGCAAAATCTTTTTCTGTCCAGGCTAGACTTGAGCAAATCGAGAAAATGTGTTTCCGGCAAAGCATTTTTATTTTTATTTTTTTTGACGGCTGAATATTAAACAAATGTTGGTTTAGCTTAGCAAAATGTCAGTACCGAAAGCCAGATTTGGGAAACAAATCAGACTGGGAAAAAAAGGGTGCAAAAACTTACCAATTATTGTACTACAAAATATAGGAGCAAATTTCTGCCATTTGGTACACAGGTCAAGTGAAAAAAGTAACAAACAGCAAGAAAACAAGAGGAGCAGTAAAACAAACATTATATATAGTGCAGAAAGCATAACTTTATAATAATACAATTAATGATGAAAAATACAAACTACAATGTAATACAGAGTGGTATTCTTAAACTAGAGTGATCACCATTGTAGCCAATTTAATGTCACTGCACTTCTGTTGGATTCCATGTTTGCATTGTGTGACGAAACCGACCTCGCCACTGGGCATTGGAGAAGACTGATTGCTCGCCTCCTGCCATGTGACTATGGCCCCTGGGATGTATTGCTCTTTAAAGACATGATTTGGGGTCCCTGTGATGTGTTTTATGATATATTTACTATATTTCTCTGCCTGTCATAATTATATTAACCATTGTGTGCAATAATCATATCACAGGCAGAGGGGAGGATTTTGTGTGGGAGTGTCTGTGTGTATTGTACAGATTGATTGGTTGTATTTCAAAACCCTGTGTGCAGTACTATATTTGTGGATTGTGAATAAAAGAGGCTGTATATGCCAGTACAGTCAGTTCTACTTCACCCTCAATCTGAGTCCTGTCTTATTGGGGGAATCTGCTACAAGGGATTGCTATGCTCTGCATATTCCCTTGCTATAATCACTGAGCTCTTGTAAGAGCTTGTTCCTGCTTCACTCTCTTGGAGGAGAGGTTCACTCACTGGAACCTGGAGCCTTGTCGTAGGTCCAGGGTGGGTAGGAGACGGCGAGACCCCAACCAAGCTGAGGCGGTTCGTGGGGTCTACGGTGGTTGTGGTGTCTGGCGGATCGCTTGGAGCCCTCTGTAAGCGCTAGGAGCATTCTTCAACGGAGGTACCCAGTCGGGGTGCCAGGTGATCCGTTACACATTGCTTAGTCTTTCTTTGACAGCCCCTAGAAGACCACTATAGTGCCAGGAAAACAAACTCTCCTCCTCCTTTGGTCGTCATCGGCTGAATGCGCATGTGCAGCAAGAGCCGTGCGTGCATTCAGCCAGTCCATAGGAAAGCATTCTCAATACTTTCCTATGGACGCTGGCGTCTTCTCACTGTGAAAATCACTGTGAGAAGCGCGGAAGCGCCTCTAGCGGCTGTCAATGAGACCACTACAGGCTGGATTAACCCATTCGGCAGGCAGGGTTAACCCTAGATCAGGGGTTCTCAACGTTAGTCCTCAGGACCCCCTACCAGTCCAGGGTTTAGGGATTACCTGGGTGTGTCTAAGGTGTTTAGAAAAAAAAACACCTTAGAGTCTAAGGTGTTTTTTCCCCTTTTTCTAAACACCTGAGACACACCCAGGTAATCCCCAAATCCTGGACTGGTAGGGGGTCCTGAGGACTGGGTTGAGAACCCCTGCCCTAGATGGACCTGGCACCCAGACCACTTCATTGAGCTGAAGTAGTCTGGGTGCCTATAGTGGTCCTTTAAATTTCACTAATTGATACTTGTCTGTGACATTTCACAACACAAAAGTGCAGTAAAATGAGAATAAATGAAAGTCTTCCTGAGACAATTTTATATCTGTATAAGACAAAAATAAGAAGTAATATGTTTGGTATGCTGATTTCGTTTCTATCTTGATCTTTGGTTCAGTGATGGCTGTTTGTTGGTTTTGAATAAAGAACGTAAGCTCAAAGTTTCATGTATTATTATATATGATTAGCATTTGGCTGCACAATGCGGTCAACCCACCTGTTATAAGTGGTCCCTTGGTTTCTATAGTATAATGAGGCACAATTAGAATTATAGGACCTTCTACAAAAACTGATGCTTCCTTTTCTTTCTGTCCTAGGATTTAAGTTGTCTGCCTACTAATCTAGTAGATTCATTTGGAATGTTAGTTTACATCAATGACTTTTCACAAAGTCTCCAAATTCTTCCACTTGTACATCATAACCTGAGTAGAGCTGTGAGCAAAACTAATTCTCATTGGACAGCCTCCCAGCAATTCACCACACAGGACTATGAAAAAGTGAAGTATACAACCCCCAAATTATTGTTATAATTTTATCAAAATATATATTATTTATTTTCTTTAAAACGTGTGACCAGATTAAGGGGAGGAGGGAGAGGCCTACAGATAGCCTCAGACTGCCATCATCCTTAGCCAGCCCAGGATATGTGGGTGTGTATCTGTGTGTGTATATGTGTATCTGTGAATGTGCATGTCAATGTGTGTTAGTGTGCAGCTGCATATGTGTATGTCAGCATATATCCCTGCATTCCAATTCGAACAGCAGCACTACATACATACAACACACCATTCCCATCAGCAATAACACAACATGCAATCAAAAGCCAACACTACATACAAACACACTGTTACAATCAAACACCAAACTACATACAAACACACCCCTGTATTAAAACTTCAACATTGTATACAAACTCACCCATACATTCAAACTACAAAAATACACACAAATACACCCCTTGATTCAAACACCAACACCTCATGCAAAGACACCCCTGCATTGAAACACACTATACACAAGTATGCCCCTGCTTTCAAGGGGCAACAGTACATACAAACATACTACTGCATTCAAATGCTAACACTACAGACAAATAGATTACTACATTCAAAACTCCATACATAACCATGCTTACAAAAACAAAACCTGCAAGGATGGTCAAATGGTAGATAATTCCCAGCTAACAAAGTCCTTGGGAAATGTATGACAGATGGGAATATACCTTTTGATCACCATTGCGCTGGGGGTGGTGTATAGAAAAAATTATTGCATAAGGGTCCTCTCTATATTAGTTCCACTGGGTTGAGTATCACTGATTTTGATTAATGTGGACGATATTTGTTTTTTAAAGATCTGTAAATTGTGGTTGAGTTAATGCAAAATTTCAAAAATAGTGGTGGAGTTTATACAAAAAAAAGGAAGATTAAGTTTTCTATAGTAGGTATATGTTGAGTGCATTTCTAGGGTTTTTTGTGGCTAGAAATGGGTGACAATGATAGTATATCTCAGCTGGAATGTTGTGAGTGTTTTTTTGTGTGTGTCTGTGTGGTATTTTTTCTTTCTTTCTTGTTTATAAAGCCATTGAGGGGTACGGTGGATCTGATGATGCATAGTTGGATGTATGATAGAAATGTCAAGTAAAATTGTTACAATGAATGTCAACGGTCTAAATACCCCTCAAAGAGAGGTTGTCTTTTGACAGAGCATAAAATTCATGTTGCCATGATACAGGAAACCCACTGGGTTCTTTAGGGGGGAAAATTCTGGAAGTTTAACAAATACCCTAATGTTTATTCAGCCAATCTAGTTGGACAAAAAAAAAAAAGAGTGGTGGCTATTGTGGTTTCAGATAAAGTTAAAGTGGAGGTGGTCCATAAAGTCCTAGACAACAGTGTTTTTTTTCATATTTTAATTGTTAAATTAAGTGATATCCTATACACACTAGTGAATATTTATGCCCCAAATAAATCACTGCTGAAATTTCTGAAAAAAACTTACAAGATAAAGTGGAATCTATACATTGTGGTAGATTGATTATTGGCGGCGATATTAACTGTGTAGTCAATACTAGGTTAGCTAGAGATAGCAAACGAATCATAATGATCATGAATACACTTTTTCTCCTGTACATGAGTCTTACTCACGTATAGATCTTTTTCTGGCTACTTCAAATGGTTTGAAATTTACTCAAAATATAGAGATCGGTAGTATTACTTGGTCCGACCATGCCCCAGTCTTTCTGGAGGTATCAAATAATGTGAATTATAAGAGTAGAAAAAGATGGTGTCTCAATGAAAGTTTGTTGGCTTCTAATCTCGATTTGGACCACCCTAAGAGGAACTGAGAGATTTATTGATGTTAACGATAATTGGTTTGTCTCATTCCCTACACTATGGTGTACCTTCAAGTGTTTTGTCTGTGGGTTATTAATTAGACTTGGCTCCCAAAAAAAGGATAAGAAGAAAAGCACACTCTCTGACTTGCACATTAAACTCTCTAAATCAGAGAGATTGAATATGTCTAGGATTTGTTCTATAAGTACTAGTGAGATTGATAGAATTAAAAAAGACATAACGGAATAAAATCCTTACTTCAGTCAATAAAGCTATCATAGGCGTGTGCTGAGTACACCCTAATCCCCACGGCACGCCTATGTATTGAGACCAGCAGGAGAGATCTCCGGATCTCCCCTGTCGGCTCATGCAGAGCCGGCGCTATCCGAGTGCTGGCTCTGCTCTCAGCCTCCCTCCCCACAGCAGCATGGAGGGAGGCAGGAGAGGACCCGGGGAGCTCAACCAGCAGCTCCGTCGGGTTCCTCTCGTGAGGTCGGAGAGTTGCCGCGGCAATGCTCAGATCTCGCGAGAGTGAACTCTAGCCCCGCAGGCTAGAATTCACTATCCACTAGACCACCAGGGATGGCAGCAGCATGATCCCCCCTCCCTACATAAGGTAATAAGGGAGGGGGGATATTAAGTAATGTACCCCCACCTCCACCGCCCACAATCACCCACACACATACAGCACAAACACACATACAGTACACACACACACACACACACATACAGCACCCACATATACACATACACACAGCACCCACACACACACAGCACCCTCACACATACAGCACCCTCACACATACAGCACCCTCACACACACAGCACACAAACAGCCCCCTCACAAACACACACACCCAGCACCCTCACACACACAGCACACTAACAGGACCCTAACAAACACACAGCACACAAACAGCACCCTCACACACACATCACACTAACAGCATCCTCACACACAGCACCCTTACATACACAACACCCTCAAACCACCCTCACACAGCACACACACACACAGCAGTGTGTATGTGTGTATGTGTGTGTGTGTGTGTGTATATATATATATATATATACACACACACACACACACATACATATACACGCGGCGTGTGTGTGTGCTTTAGGGTGCACACCCTAATGCAATAGGCTGCGCACGCCTATGAAAGCTATCCTATATTTAAAACAAAGGTGGTATCACAACAACAATAAAGTTGGAAAATTACTATCAAATAAATTGAAAAGTGAAAAGAAACAAAAAGTTATTAACAAACTTACAGTAAATAATAAATAATTTTATTCCCCTATGGAAATTGCTGAAATCTTTTGTAACTATTATAAGAAATTTTATAATCTTAAAAATAGAGTCTCCCAAAGATAATATTAGAAACTATTTGAATAATCTAGAAATTTCTAAATTTAATAAAGATCTTCACAGATTAAATGAACCTTACGTGGATGATGTCATCCTTTCCATGACGAATACTTTCCATTCCTTGCTATCAACAATCGATTTTTTTTTTTTTTTTAGTAAACATTCCAGTTGTAAAATTAATATCAATAAATCTCAAATTATGACTAAAGGACTTTCTAAGGAAACCTTGGCTGATCTAAAAACACACTTCCAATTTGATTTTAGTAAGCCCTATATTGACTATCTTGGCATTAAAATTACTACATAATTATATTATATATTTGACATTATTTAGACATGTTTAAAACAGTCTCAAATTATCTTACCTCTCGTAAAGGATTAGAAATTTCATGGCTTGGCCGTATCAGTGGTTTAAATGCCTATGTACTCCGTAGAATATTATATCTATTTAGAACTATTCCTTATTATAAAATGTTAGCCAAATGCGCAAAGATGTTTGGGGAATATGTTTGGAATATGTTTGGATGGGTAAAAAACCCAGAATAGCATATAATATCCTTAACAAAAATAACCACAATGCTAGCCCACTACTTTTTTTATTTAAACTCAAATTCACAATTTACCGATTGGTATTTTATTGAAAAAACAGAGATGAGATCATATAACATACTTTATACATTTTGGACGAACCTTCCTTTGGTTAAACTGAAAATTTCTCAGAACCCAATCGTGAAAGATATAGCAGCTACATTAATAAAGTTAAAGAAAAGATTTGGTTTAATTAACAGTATATCTTTAGAAGCCCTAATTGAGACGCTTCCCTATGATATAGTTGATTTAAATATTATACAATGGAAATCCAGGGGTATGCTTAGTATATCAGACGTAATAGCTGAAAGGGCTGTAATTCTCTTTTACAATTACAAGGAAATTTCCGCCTTCCTAATAATGAGGTTTTCTCTTACTTAAGAATGAAAAATTACTTGACGAGTAGGAGTATTATTCCAACTCATTGTCTTAATGACATATTTAAAAATTCTATTGTCAAAAAAAAGAAGTTAATATCTAAGATTTTGAGATGTTTTCATTCATATTTCTGAAATACCGGAGTGGAGAAGCATAAGGCACCCCCCTCCATAATAAAATGGGAATCTGACTTAGACTCCCACTTTCCTTGGGAAGTATGGCTGTTGGGGATTAAAAGCCTCTCTCAAAATATTCATTGTATGCAGTGGCGTACACATGACCCATGGGGCCCCGGTGCGAAAATTGATCCAGGGCCCCCCCCCACGCTTAATCGGCGCGGGTCGGGGCCGCGACACATGGCGGCGGGCACCTGGTCGCAGGGCTGCGACCCTGCGACCGTGGTATGCACACACACTTAAAGGACCACTACAGACACCCAGATCACATCAGCTCAATGAAGTGGTCTGGGTGCCAGGTCCCTCTAGTTTTAACCCTGCAGCTGAAAACATAGCCGTTTCAGAGACAGCTGCTAGAGGAGCTTCCGCGATTCTCACTGTGAAAATCACAGTGAGAAGACACTGAACGTCCATAGGAAAGCATTGAGTAATGCTTTCCTATGGGCGGTTTAAATGCGCGCGGGTCTCTTGCCGCGCATGTGCATTCGGAGCTGAGAGGCGGACACTGGGGAGTCCGACGCTGGAGAAAGGTAAATGCTGAAGACACACACACACTCTCACGAACAGACGCATACACACTAGCTAATAGACACACACATTTACTGACAGAGACACACTCAGCGACAGACATACATACACACTCACTTACAAAACATACACTTTCACTGACAAACACACACTATCAGACATCAAACACACTCAGTAACAGACACACACAGTAACACACTCACTAGTAGACACACACCCAATAACAGACACACTCACTGACACACACTCACTGACACACACACAGACACACCACTAACACATACACTAACACACACTAACACACACTAACACACACTAACACACACATACACTAACACACACACACACACTAACACACACACACACACACTAACACACACACACACTAACACACACACACTAACACATACACTAACACACATACACTAACACACACATACACTAACACACACATACACTCAACACACACATACACTAACACACAAACACACACATACACTAACACACACACACTAACACACACTTTTTAAAAAATTTAATCCCCCCAGCCTCCTTACCTTTTGGAGTGCTGGGGGGATTCCCTCGGGTCCAGTGGTGCTGCTGGGCTCCTGGTCACTGGGTGGGCGGGTTGTCTGGGCGGCCGGGCGCCGAGGGAGCACTTTACACTCTGTGCTTCCTTCAGCTCCTCGCTGTCGGATGCCGGCGCCGGAAGATGACGCCATCTTCCGCCCGCATCAGTGCGGTGCGAGGGAGCTGAAGAGGAAGCACTGAGTGCTCCCTCGCGCGCCTGCCCCACCGCCACCTGCCCCTGGTCAGCTGGGCCAGCCTCGGGGGGGGGGGGGCCTGAGGTGGCCGCCTCCTGGGCCCCCCAGGAGAAGAGGCTGGCCCTGTGGCTACATACCGAGTGGGCCGGGCCCGGTCGCAGCTGCGACCCCTGTGACCCTGGTATGTACGCCACTGATTGTATATCTATTTTAGAATTACATTACAAAATCATCTACAGATGGTATTTAGTTCCCACCAGACTCTAAAAAATGTGTAAGCAACTCCTCTGATATGTGTTGGAGATGCCAAGCGGAGAAAGGAAATCTTTTACATATATCGTGGGAATGTGCTAGCTTAGACTCGCTTAAATCTCAAATAAATTCATGTTTTCTCTATCTTTTTTTTATATACAAAACTTACCCCACATATGTTTTTGTGGAATATTGATTATCCAAATTGTCAAAAAAGCTACGATTATCTAATGTACATACTGTCTGCAGCAAAATTGGTGTTGGCACGCAATTGGAAATCACCCTTATTAAGCTGGTCAAACATATGTAATCAAATCACATACCAATATAATATAGAACTAAGTTTTTATTTTGAGAGAGGCTCAAATTTAAAGAATGGTGGTACCCATGAAAGAAATATTTGGACCATGTAAAGTTGACAACATACTGATCGCTCTTAGATGGATCCACCCCCAACGGCTTCAAACCTATTTATTTATTTCTTCTTTTATTTTTTGCACTTTTTTCATTTTGTTTCTGTACGACTGGTATGTAAGAATGAATGTTTTTATACTTGTATACTCACGGTATAAATAATATAAACAATTGCGCTTCTGATATTGTACTTTATACCTTTAAATTTGTCTATTTGAAATTTGTCTTTAGAAGAGCAATCATTAAGAAATTGTTAATGATGAAATTTTCAATAAAAACGAGAAGGAAAAAAAAGTGCAATTTGAAGGTTTGGAGTGATGTGATAACCTACTGTCCTAGAAACTATTGGAAAGGCCTCATGCATCCAGGGTCGAATCAATATTCAGTCCCACCAATTGTAGGTGTTATACGTAACAATAAAACAAAATATTCTGACGACAGACTCCACAGCTTTATTAATCCAATGTTTGCTAATGGTCCAAGAGCTGAGGCTGGGGGCAGTTGTTTTGTGTGATGTTGTAATGTAGTGCAGGCAAGGCAGATATTGCTAAAATGACTAGATATTTGACCTACAAAATATGTTTATGATTAATATTCACATTGCACCAGTCCTGCAGTGTATACCAAAGATTATCACTTAAAACACAAAAGGGGTTCAGGAGAAAAAATTGATCCAATTTTTTTATACATATTTTACGTTGTTGCTGCGTTAAGTATCATTATCAGATTATAAATGAGCGGTTACATTGAATTCTTAATTAATGTTATATTAACTAATCTAGCTTATTGCCTATGCAAAGAATTTGCAAGTGAATATGAGTACCAGGGCAGAAAGACTGTTACACGGTTACTACCTAGCAAGCCGAAGGGTACGAAGTGACATACATGGATCTAAAATATCAACATCTGCGCTAAGGCATCTGTGAGTATAATATACAGTTTATGTATTAAACAGATGTAATCTACTGCTACCCCATCTTCCAAATAGGTACCTTTCTAAAATCATATGCTAAACAAAAGTCAATTATCAAATGCTGAACAAATTGCTTAAAAGGAACACTCCAACTACCATAAACACTTCAGTGCACTCTCAAAGTATATAATCAAACCATTTAGTAATGGTTCAACTTTTTACCTGACTTCCGGCCAGTCTCCTCTCTTTGCCATTACTACATGCCGCCTCTCAGTCGGAAGATCTCAGCTCCATATCTCCCAACATTGTTATTCTGGAAACTGGGATGGGGTGCGTTGCCAATGATGAGGACCGCGTCACTAGAGATTACCACAATAGGTCTTGTCCAAAAGGGGGCAGGTCAGCCCTAAAAAGGGTGGGCCTGCCACCTGACAGGCAGCCTAACTACTACCCAGCTATGAGGACAATGCAGGGAGCGTTACTGGAGCACTCCGTGAATAATCCTAGTCCCCGCTGCACAGCACAAGTGCGCGTGTGCTATGCTGCTCCGAAGCATTTCCCTGGGGTCTCCAGATGCAGAACAACAGGGAACTGAAGCGGGATGGTAGACAGCATCCCAAAATTGTGATTGTCCAGCCAAAAGCGGGACAGTTGGGAGACATGCAGCTCTGAACAACTTTCCAAGTCAATGGTGTTCACAATTTGGCTATTTGAGTCTAAAATTTAAAATACAGAAATTGTTTTAAAATTATGATGGCATTTTTAAGAAGCCACATTCCCCAAAATGACATCAGATTGCATGCAAATTATAAGCAAAGTAAAATTCTTTAGCAATTGTGGTCATCCCTAGTGTATATGACAAAAATGGTAATTCTACGTCTGAAGTAAAATATACTGTATAATCTCTAAAACATTTTATCCCTCCATAGGCTTCTTTAAAAGATGAATGTATAAATAAAAATAAATTTTCATATTATAAGTTTTCCCATACATGAAATTACCGTTTTACCCCTTTTAATGTACTTGCTATGCATAGGTTTAACATACATATTCAGGGCCGCCATCAGGGGGTGACAACCATAACGGTTGTCACGGACCCGGTGACCCTGGGGGGCCCGGCCACCCGTGCCCCCCCTTTTGGGGCCCATCGGGTGGCCCACACACTTAGGGCCACCTGATGGGCTCTATATCTTCAGGGGCCCGGTCAGCGCTGTGGCCATGGTATAGCGCGACCGGGCCCCTTTAAAAAAAAATAAAAGCAGCGGCAAGTGCTGCTAAGAGGAAGTGGTCACTTCCTCCCAGCTCACTCCGCGCGGGAGGAGCGTGCGTGCCAGTGAAGAGGGAGCCGCGCCGACTCCCATCAGCCCCAGCCACCCTCCTGCAATAAAAAGGTAAGAGACAGGAGGGTGGCTGGAAAATGAGCTGTGTGTTTGTGTGTATGTCTGTATGCATGTATGTCTATTCATTTCTGTCTGTATGTCTGTCTGTCTGTATGCATGTATGTGTATGTATGTATGTATGTCTATGTATGTATGTCTGTCTTTCTGTTTGTATGTATGTATGTCTGTCTGTATGTGTATGTCTGTCTGCATGTCTGTATTCTTGTATGTGTATGTATGTATGTCTGTATATGTATGTATGCATGAATGTCTATGTATGTATGTCTATGTATGTCTGTCTATGCATGCATGTCTGTGTGTATGTATGTATGTCTGTGCGTATGTCTATGTATGTATGTCTGTCTGACTGTATGCATGCATGTATGTCTATGTATGTCTGTCTGTATGTATGTCTGTGTATGTATGTATGTATGTATGCATGAATGTCTATGTATGTCTGTCTATGCATGCATGTCTGTGTGTATGTATGTATGTCTGTGCGTATGTCTATGTATGTATGTCTGCATGCATGTATGTCTATGTATGTCTGTCTGTATGTCTGTCTGTCTGTATGCATGTATGTGTATGTCTGTCTGTCTGTATGTCTCTGTCTGTCTTTCTGTATGCATGTATGTCTGTGTATGTATGCCTGTCTGTATATGTATGTATGTATGTATGTATGAATGTCTATGTATGTATGTATGTATGTCTGTCTGTGTGTATGTCTGTATGTATGTATGTCTGTCTGTGTGTATGTCTATGTATGTATGTCTGTCTGACTGTATGCATGCATGTATGACTATGTATGTCTGTCTTTATGTATGTCTGTGTATGTATGTATGTCTATGTCTGTATGTATGCATGCATGTCTGAATGCATGCATGCATTTCTGAATGCATGCATGCATGTCTGTATGCATGTATGTCTATGTATGTATATATGTATGTCATTATATATGTATGTCTGTATGTCAGTATGAATGTATGTCTGCATATCATTATGAACGTATGTCTGTGTGTATGTGTGTATGGATGTCTGTATGCATGTATATCTATCAGTATGTCTGTATATATGCATGTATGTCAGTCTGAATGTATGTATGTATGTCTGTATGCCATTATGAATGTATGTGTTTATGGATGTCAGTGTCTGTATGTCTGAATGTATGTGTGTATGTATGTCAGTGTCTGTATGTATGTATGTGTCTTTATGTCCTCATGCATGTGTGTCTGTATGTATGTTAGTATGTGTCTCTCTGTCACTATGTATGCCTGTGTGTATGTCTCAGTATGTGTGTGTCAGTATGTATGCCTGTTTGCGTGTATGTCTGTTTCAGTATGTGTGTCTGTTAGTATGTATCTGTGTCCTTTTGTATCAGTGTGTGTGTTTGTGTCTGTGTGTGTATTCCTGTGGGCGGTATTTGGAGGCGGACCCAGTGGACGGTATTTGGAGGCGGGGCCCAGACCCTGAGCTGAGTTAGGGGCCCCAAAATTTCTGGTGGCGGCCCTGTACATATTACACTATTTTTTTAACCAAAATTCTGAGTTATCCATTTCTTTTTTTCAGAAATAAGAATTTGTGTGTTTTCAAGGCGCTTTCAGTTAATAATTGAATAAAATGACAGCAGCTACCACACAAATAGGGACTCTCTACCCTATAGATTAGTACAAAAAAGATTAGGTGTACACTCAGTATTGGAAATTAATGATAAAAACCACCACTGGTGTGCATATGGAGCGCTTACAAATTTGTTGACTCACCCATATGGGTTAACATACATATGTATGGAAAACGTGACTCATAGCGATATATCTGAAACAAATGTAAATGCAAGAAATAGTGCAGATAACGTTTTCAATAAGTGCAGTGAGGGAATATTCTATATGGTCTCACTCACATGTAGCAGAGCCCTATAGGATAGGCTCAGATCTCAATGGCCTGCGTGTGCTTATGGTGACACAGTACCCAATCGGTCCTCTAGGCGTCTGGAGATCCTTATGCATACATGAGAGAGAGAGAGAGAACAAGGGGAAGAGGAGAACCCCTAGTGCGGTCAATCCCAATGTACAATGTCAAATAGTGCAGAAAAAGTGGCTTCTCACCTGATGTGGAGCCCTATACCTGGCTCCTGGTGTGTAGGTGTCTGTGCCTTTAAGGGGGCAACTACCCTTCTTTAAGCAGCAACAATGGAGGGTGGATTCCAAATATAAAACAAAATTTATTAAATAAAGTAGTAAAAACTTACAAGTAAAATATAAACAAAATTGTGAGAAATTATAAAATGTGGAATCTTCAATCCTCCAGCCGAAACATGTTTCACTGTACCCAGACAGCTTTTTCAATCGGTAATATAGTTGCTGCTGTTACTTGTTTAAATACTTTGTACTTCCTCCTGTGTGGTCCTTCAAACTTCCCTCCCTCCAATCCGCTGGCGTCCTTTTTCATGAACAGCTGTGTTGTGTTAGTAATGAGAATGCTCCGGTCTCGGAACAAGTCATGTGACCCGAAGCATCACGTGCCGCATCACAAATTGGGCGTGTTTTCAATGTAGGGCTCACAGTTCCATATCGTCCATTTTTAAGTTGGGCAAAATGCCCTTCCTTCAACCAAGTCCGTTCCTATTTACAAGCCAGATGCTCAATTTGAGCGATATATAAACGAAAAAATGAAGGGAGAAAGGGGGATAGTATTATTGTATATTGCTTACAAGTTAATTCATAAAATTTACATATCAAAAAAAATAAAAACATCTATTGTTTTTCATTCAAAGTGACAGTACATGCATAAAGATAGGTGGTGAATAGGAGTGTGCTCTTTTAGGAGAAATGCTGATTATTATTGAATAGGTCTCAATTGTGTCAGCAGCTTATCTTCAATGATGATATCAATATTAAAATATATATATAAAAAACATATAAATATATAGTAGGTTCCTAGCTGGTCTCCCATACAAGTACTAACCAGGCCTAAGCCTGGATGGCTTCTGAGATCTGACGAGATCAGGCATTTTCAGACTGGTATGGCCATAGAGCAAATATTTAAAATGTATGAAACATACTAATAAAAAAATAATAATTTAAGTTAAAAAATGGCATAACTCAAAATCATCATTGAGACCATTAGGCTGCATGGTATTCAGGTTAAAAATCCATTGCATCTCCCTTTGGCCTAATTTTTTAATAAAATCTCCCCCTCTCCAATCGGGTGATACCCTCTGAATTGCATGGAATTCTAACTGGGTGGGATCGCTATTATGTTTATTTTTAGAATGTAAGGAGACACTGTGCTTTTCATAGTTGTTCCTAATATTCCTAATGTGTTCCTGTACTCTAATGTGCAACTTTCTTTTGGTGCGCCCTACATATACAAGTCCACATGGGCATATCAAGAGATAAATAACTCTCGTGGACTGACAAGTAATTAGCTCGTTGATCTTAAACATTACTTTTTTATTTTGAGGGTGTGAGAATTCTTTTACTAGTCTCTTCTTACTTTTTGAGTTCTTGCACGCACCACAGTGTCCACAACCATAAAACCCTTTTGTTTCGTTGAAAAAGTCCCTATTACATCTTTTTAGGGGTATATGGTTAGATGTTAAAGTGTTTCTTAAATTCTTTACTCCTCTATAAACAATCTTAGGCTTCTCCGGAAGAATACTATTAAGGAGGGGGTCATTTCTTAAAATTGGCCAATACTTTGAAACTATTTTTCTAAATTCTTTACTTTTACAGTTAAAGTCACATATAAGTCCTATTGTTTGTGGTTCAACTTTATTTTTAGTGTTATATTTAATTAGATCTTTTCTGTCCTTTATTTTGACTTCTTCAAGGGCTTTCCCCAACAATGTCTCGTTATATCCCTTTTCTCTAAAATCTTTCAGAATTTTGTGGGATTGTTCTTGGAATTTACATTCCTCCGTGCAATTCCTCCTTATCCTGAGCAGTTGCGCTTTGGGTGCATTCAGCAACCATGGGGAGAAATGGCAGCTATTCTCCCTAATGTAGCTGTTAACATCCACAGGTTTGAAAAAAGTACATGTCTTCAAACATGCATCCTCAACATAAATTTGGAGGTCCAGAAATTCCACTAGAATCTTGCTATAATTCGAGACTAATTTAATTCCCCAATCGTTATTATTCAGATGGTCCAAAAAAGATATCAGGGATGTCTCGTCCCCTTGCCAAATGAAAAATATGTCGTCTATGTAACGGCGATAGGCAACGAGGTTCGTGCTCCAACTACCATCTTGGTAAATAAATTCTTGTTCCCACAGCCTAATGGTCTCAATGATGATTTTGAGTTATGCCATTTTTTTTTTTACAACTTGAAGTTTATTCGTGTTTTGGTTTAGTCAATTACATATCACAAAACAGTATGGGTGGGGTAATTGGATACAAAAGATAAAGGGAGGGGTGCAGGGTACAAGTTGCAGGTTACAGCGGTTGGTTTGTTAGCTTTATTACACATTTTACACTTTTTACACTTTTTGATGCGTCACATAGTTCTACCCTTGTTTTGGTCTGTTTTAGTTTCGGGTACTAGAGTCCTTTTGGGTGAAGGTATTTTGTTGCGTACCTGGCCAGATTACTAATTGTCTCGTTTCCCGGTGGCGTTTGTGCCTTGTTATTAGGTTGCGGTTATTCTTTTTTTTTTCCTCTCTTCCCCCCTCTCCTGTGATTACATGTTGATGTTCGATACTTCGCTATGTATCCTTTACTGTGTGGTGCGTTCAGCATTCCCTGGCATGGATGATTGGAAGGGGGACGGGGGGGGACGAGGGGGCTGGTGTTATATCTTGTTACTCGTTTGCGGGTTTTTTGCCTTTTTCCCACATCTCGTGGGCTTCCCTTATACACGGGCGGGTTCCGAATTGTGTCGTTGCCATTAACTCATAAGACCAATTAAGGTCCATTTGCCTCATCAACTCGGCTATTGATGGTGTTGTGGTTTGTTTCCATAGCCTGGATATCAGCAAGTTCGCTGATATTAGTGTGTGGTATATAATGATTTTAAGATGTTTTGGGATGTTGGTTGGTAGCATGAATAATAGGCATTCTTGTGGTGTGTCTACCCTTATATTATGCGTTATGTCGTTCAGGAGTGTGGACACCGCTTCCCAAAATGGGCTTATTTTGTCACAGGACCACCAGATGTGAAGCATCGTGCCCACCTCCCCCCCGCACCTCCAGCACTTGTTACTTGTGTGCGGCCATATGGCATGTAGTTTTGCGGGCACTAGGTACCATCGGTACATAATTTTGCGTTGCAGTTCCAAATGCGATGCGCACGCTGTTAGTCCTCTGTGGACCGAGTAGGACCTCTCCCAGATTTCCCTTGGGAATGTCTGACCTATTTCCCTGTGCCAGTCTCTCTTGATCTGTTCTAGTGTATGCGCTTGTGTTAGGGTTAACTTATGGTATCCCCATGACATTGATTTCTTTAGTGGTGCTATTCCTACACATTGTTTTTCAAAAACCGTCATGGTTGCTTCATCTTCTATACCCGGTTGTTTGCTTAGTTTGCCTGTTATATATGATTTAAGTTGCAGGTAGGAAAATGCGATTGTGGTGGGCAGTGTGTATTCCGTTTGTATATCTGGTAGTGTTTTCAGTTTGCCTCTGTCAATGACCTGGTATATGTGGTGTATTCCCCCTCTCTTCCAGGTGTCTTCACGGAATGTAGGTATTTCCATGCCTATTGTTTGTATTGGTGTGGCCAGGGGTAATTTGGGGTTGGACACCAAATTGTTTCTCATTGTGTTCCATACCCTCATCAAGTTCTGTGTGCTGGGTAGCAGGTTTTCTCTTATGTGTTTGGGGCACTTCTGTAGCCATAGTATCGCCCTGAGGTTGTGTTGTGGGGCCCAGTGGGATTCTATTGCTACCCACTGCGGGGCTTGGGCCGGGCGGTTAATTTGGGCTATGTTGTGTAGATAAGCTGCCCTACAGTACGTTGTTAGGTTTGGCAGACCCAGCCCACCTTTGCTCACTGTTTGGTGTAGTGTTCCTGCTGCTACTCGTACCTTTTTCCCTTCCCAGACGAATGTGCTTAATGAGTGTTGTACGCTTTTTAGAAACCGTTTCGGGACGGGTATTTGTAGTGTTCTAAATAGGTACTGGATTTTAGGTATGAGTGTCATCTTTACCGCTGCTATGCGGCCTGTCCACGAAAGAAATTTACCTCTCCATTTTTGTATGGTGTCTATGATTTCTGTTTGTATGCGCTCGTAGTTTAGTTTAAAAAGGTGTGCTGGGTTTTTGGATAGCTTAAGTCCCAGAAACGTCAAGTAGTCATTTCTCCAGTCCAGCGGGAATGCCGTCTGTAACCTGCCCAATAGGTCCGCGTTAAGTCCTATCCCTAGAGCTTGCGTCTTGGTGATATTCAGCTTGTAGTACGAGACCTCCCCATATTCACGTATTTGTGTCATTAAATTTGGCAGGGATGTGAGGGGGTGTGTGATCGTTACAAGGATGTCGTCTGCAAAAAGGTTGAGTGTATACTCTCTGTCTCCCAGGGTTATACCCTTTATGGACCGGTTTGCTCTTATCGCTGCTGCCAGTGGCTCCAGCGCTAGGATGTACAATAGCGGGGATAGGGGGCAGCCCTGTCGAGAGCCATTGGTTATTGTGATGTGTTTAGATATAAACCCTGCATTGAGTACTCTAGCTGTGGGGTGGGAGTACAATGCCTGTACTGCCCTCAGGAATCCCTGGGGGAACTTGTATTTTTGGAGTACAGCTTGCAGGAAAGACCAGTTTAGACGGTCAAACGCCTTTTCCGCATCCAGGGATAGGAGGACCCCCCCCCCGGCTACGGAGTAAGCACTGCATTAGGTCCACTACTTTTCTTGTATTGTCCGACCCTTGTCGCCCAGTGGTGAAGCCCACTTGATCGTCATGTATTAATGTGGGGATGATGTGGGTCAGTCTAGTGGCTAGGATTTTAGCATATAGTTTAGTGTCAGTGTTGAGCAATGAAATTGGTCTAAAGTTTTGACTGCAGGTGGGGGGTTTTCCTGGTTTGGGTAGAGTGACTATGTGGGCCCCCAGCATTTCCGCAGGTGCCTCTCCTTTTTGGGTTGCTGCGTTAAACAGGTGTGCCAGGTGTGGCGCTAGTATTCCCGCATATTTCTTATAATATGTGTTCGTAAGACCGTCAGGGCCGGGTGCTTTCCCGGGGGGTAAGCGTGTGATGGCTTGCAGGACTTCCGTTGTGGTGATGGGGACTTGTAGGGATTCTATTTGCTCCTCCGATAGAGAGGGTAGGGTTATGTTGTCCAAGTAGCGCTCTATGTGTCCAGGAGTTGGATGTGTTGTGTTAGGGTCTTGCTTTAGATTGTACAGTGTAGTGTAGTATTCGGCAAAAATGTCGCTTATTTCTTTTGGTGTCACTTTTTTTTCCCCGTGTGAGTTCAGCAGGTATGGGATTTTTGCCTTTATGCTTTGTTGTGTTAGTCGTCTGGCTAAAAGTTTGCTTGCCCTGTTCCCCTGTGTGTATTGTGTTGCTTTGAGTTTCCTAAGGCTAAATCCCATCTTCGCCAGGTCATGTGTCTTGATTTCCTCTAACTTTTCTTGTATTAGTGTTTTTAACAGCGGTGTTGGGGTCAATTGGTTTTGCTTATTAAGGCGGTAGAGGGCTGTCAAGTGTTCCTTTAGTTTTGCTTGTGATTTCTGCTTTAACGCGCTGGTTTTCCCTATGATCAATCCTCTGATTACTGGTTTATGTGCTAGCCATAGGGTTTCAGGGGAGGTGTCTGGGTGTGTGTTCGTCTTAAAGTACTGCTTAATCTCTTCGGCTAATTGCTCGCCGAACTGCTCGTTGTGTAGTATCGATTCGTTGAGCCGCCAGGGGCTGCGATGCTTATATTCATAAGCGTCATGTAGTTCTAAGGTGACAGGGGCATGGTCTGACCACGTGATGGTGCCTATGGAGCAATCCTTTAGTTGGTTGAGGAATGTGCCTTTTATGTAAAACCCATCTATGCGTGAGTAAGTGTTGTGCGCTTGGGAGAAGAAAGTGAAGTCTCTCTCCTCCGGGTGCAGCACTCTCCATGCATCATACAAATCGTGCGCACTCATCAGTTGTGTTAGAGGTTTGCATTCCGGCGTCAGTGTTGCCGCTCTAGGTGTGTGGGTTGGGACCGACGTGTCCCATCGTGGGTCCAGAATATGATTCATGTCCCCACATATGAAAGTGATTCCCCTTTGTAGGTGTGCTAGCTGTGTGAGCAATTTATGTAAGAAGTTTCTTTGGTTTGTGTTTGGTGCGTATATGTTGATTATCGTGTATTCCGCGTTGTTAATTTCGCAGACCAATATTATGTATCGCCCTTGATTGTCTACGTGTTCATATATCAGCTTAAAGGACACATCCTTACTGATTAGGACTGACACCCCCCTTGTTTTGGACGTATAGGTGCTATGGTACTGCATGGGGAAGTATGCCTGCGCTATGGTCGTCGTCTGCTTGAGGTGAGTTTCTTGTAGGCATACCACATCTGGGCGTACTCTGCGCAGATCCCAGACTAGGCAGTGTCTTTTGACTGGGATGTTTAACCCTTTTACGTTATGGCAATATATTTTCATGTTTTATGGGGTATATTGCTGTTTGGCAATGCGGACCTATATCTGGCTGGGTTCTCCCTGTATTCCTTCCTACTCTCCCGTTAGCCCTGAGACTGTACTTTTGTGTCGTGTCTTTGCCGCCCCTGGTCCAATCGGCCGACTGGGTTTCCTGCGGTTTCCCCTGCGTGCTTGTGTTCCCTCTTTGCTGCCCATGCTCTTCAGCTTTGTTCAGTACCCTGGGTTTTAGTACCCTACTGGTGGGGGTGGGATGGGTGGGGTGGGTTGGACGGTGATGAACACTAACGTAACAGGTGTTCATAACAAACAAATGAAGCATTACATCAATCAACATATATACAAGAACAATAACAATTATTTGCATTTCCCAATGTAGGATTGGGCACCAGCTAAATAGTGCCGTGTGTGGACGTGGTTGTCTTGTGTGTTTCTGTGGGTAAGGGTTTATGTGTGAGCTTGCTGAGCCCGATATTTGCTGTCATGTTTCTTTAGGAAGCTGTACTTTAACTGCCCTGGTGTAGGACCTGGTAATGCCTAATTATGGTGTGCATCATAATGGCAGTATACTTCTCCTTTCGTGGATTTTTTTTTTTTTTTTTTGCGCAACACATTTGTGTCTCTTTCTTGTCCTGAGTGGTGTGCTTTGTAATATCTCTGCCCTCTCGGTGGGCAAAAGTGTTTTTTTTTTTTAAGATTTTCCCCGTGTTTGTTCCCTGTCGCCTGTGTGTCTGTCGTGTGTGCGTGGGTATCTAGCATTGTGTATACGACTCCGTGGTGTGGTGCAATGTCTATTATACTTGCGGCCGAGTTGTTGCCCGTCCGTGGCCAGGACTGCGGACTGTTGTACTTCACAGTCTTTATTGTAATTGTTCAGTTCATTTCTTGGTTCTTTTCCATTCCGGGGATAGCCTGGCTGGTGCGGCCATATTCTTCCCCACCGGGTTCACTGGGATGTTCCAGTTGCGCAGGATTCTCCGTCCCTCTTCAGGTGTGTTGGCTGCCGTCACCGTACCATTTCTCCGTATCAGCAGACGGATCGGATATCCCCATCTGTATTGGACGTTGTTCTGGCGCAGTGCTTCCGTGACGTCTTTAAATTCTTTTCTCTTTTGCAGCGTGGCTGCTGACAGGTCTGTGAAGAGTTTGATGTTTTTGTATTTCTGTGGCAGATCACGACCCCCTCTCGTAGCTTGGAGTAGTGCCTCCTTCACGTGGAAATAGTGTAGGTGTGTGAGCACATCCCTAGGGGTGTCTTGTGGTAGGAACGTTGGCTTCTGTACTCTGTGGTATCTGTCTAGGAGCAGTACCTCAGCAGGTAAATCTGGCGCCAGTTCTTTAAAATATCCGATCAGGAATGCATGCAGGTCTGGCTGCTTCACCTCTTCTGGGATACCCCGGAGCCGCAGGTTCTGGCGTCTAGAGCGGTCCTCCAGGTCCATGACCTTGCGCTGTGTGTATTCCAGTTGCTGTTGCATATGCTGCACTTGGTCTGCCACATCATTGTGTGCAGCAGTCTGATCTTCCATCTTTTGTTCCACGTGTGTCATCCTGTCTCCCAGCTCCTGCACATCTCTGCGGAGCTCTTTCAGAGTGCTCTGTAAGGAGGTTAGGATTTTGGTGGACATATCCTCTAGGCAGTTTTGCAGAAAATCTTGTGTGACCGGTAGATTTTGCGGCCCAGGGGAGGACTGTAGTGGCACTGTGTCGTTCCCGCCGTCGCCATCTTGGTCTCCGTCTGTGAGGCCTGCGGCTTTGGGCGTCGACGCTCTGGCTGCAAAAAAAACGGAACGGTCCGCTTTTTCGCCCTGCTTCTTCTTGGTTGTGTTAGCCATGTTGCCAGGTCGCAGGTGGGTCTGTGGGAGCTGATTAATGCTTTTATCTTTGCTTTGTCGGGCCAGCGTTATGCGGAGCTCAGATCCGAGCGACCATCCGCATTGCTCGTTAGGCCACGCCCGAGTTATGCCATTTTTTAACTTAAATTATTTTTTTATTTTTTTATTAGTATGTTTCATACATTTTAAATATTTGCTCTATGGCCATACCAGTCTGAAAATGCCTGATCTCGTCAGATCTCAGAAGCCATCCAGGCTTAGGCCTGGCTAGTACTTGTATGGGAGACCAGCTAGGAACCTACTATATATTTATATGTTTTTTATATATATATTTTAATATTGATATCATCATTGAAGATAAGCTGCTGACACAATTGAGACCTATTCAATAATAATCAGCATTTCTCCTAAAAGAGCACACTCCTATTCACCACCTATCTTTATGCATGTACTGTCACTTTGAATGAAAAACAATAGATGTTTTTATTTTTTTTGATATGTAAATTTTATGAATTAACTTGTAAGCAATATACAATAATACTATCCCCCTTTCTCCCTTCATTTTTTCGTTTATATATCGCTCAAATTGAGCATCTGGCTTGTAAATAGGAACGGACTTGGTTGAAGGAAGGGCATTTTGCCCAACTTAAAAATGGACGATATGGAACTGTGAGCCCTACATTGAAAACACGCCCAATTTGTGATGCGGCACGTGATGCTTCGGGTCACATGACTTGTTCCGAGACCGGAGCATTCTCATTACTAACACAACACAGCTGTTCATGAAAAAGGACGCCAGCGGATTGGAGGGAGGGAAGTTTGAAGGACCACACAGGAGGAAGTACAAAGTATTTAAACAAGTAACAGCAGCAACTATATTACCGATTGAAAAAGCTGTCTGGGTACAGTGAAACATGTTTCGGCTGGAGGATTGAAGATTCCACATTTTATAATTTCTCACAATTTTGTTTATATTTTACTTGTAAGTTTTTACTACTTTATTTAATAAATTTTGTTTTATATTTGGAATCCACCCTCCATTGTTGCTGCTTAAAGAAGGGTAGTTGCCCCCTTAAAGGCACAGACACCTACACACCAGGAGCCAGGTATAGGGCTCCACATCAGGTGAGAAGCCACTTTTTCTGTACTATTTGACATTGTACATTGGGATTGACCGCACTAGGGGTTCTCCTCTTCCCCTTGTTCTCTCTCTCTCTCTCATGTATGCATAAGGATCTCCAGACGCCTAGAGGACCGATTGGGTACTGTGTCACCATAAGCACACGCAGGCCATTGAGATCTGAGCCTATCCTATAGGGCTCTGCTACATGTGAGTGAGACCATATAGAATATTCCCTCACTGCACTTATTGAAAACGTTATCTGCACTATTTCTTGCATTTACATTTGTTTCAGATATATCGCTATGAGTCACGTTTTCCATACATATGTATGTTAACCCATATGGGTGAGTCAACAAATTTGTAAGCGCTCCATATGCACACCAGTGGTGGTTTTTATCATTAATTTCCAATACTGAGTGTACACCTAACCATTTCTTTTTTTGTCTATTGTTATATAGTTTACCAGACAATTAGGTTAACCTATCATTCTAGATCTACAAATGACTTTACTGATAGCATATAAAATTGTTTTGTTTCAGATATCAAGTAAAAAAATAAATTGTTGGATATTATTGGTTGAATAACACTTAGTCTCCATATCTCATTAGGTGTTCCATGGCAGAAGCACATGCAAAACTCAGTCTTAAAAACAATGTCACAGAGGCAGATGTTCTGATTGCCGTTTTGTTGTTTGAAATTTCACTTACTTTGAAACATGGTAATATTTCACTTGAAAATGTTATACTTTTGATTTTTTTACACACATCTATGAATCAGTACAACACTGGAAGTATTACATATATTCCATATTTGATCAATGTTATGGGGATTAATAAGTACAGACATTAGAGACAGTTGGTATTTGTTATACAAGACCTGACAAGAATAATTAGCTGTAAATGTAATATAAAAATAACACAAATAGAAGATGTTAAAGCAGTAAGGTTATGGTTTTGTAGCTGTTTTGCCTGAACTGTACAAATTAGGTGAATAAATTATTCTTGAATTTCTTGGGTTTACAAATTAAGGGACACAAGATGACAAAATCCCTTGTGCAGGGACCCCCCATTGTTTGGGTTGTATCCATAGCACATTTAACTAAGGTCATATCTTTAGCCAAATGCTGAATTCAAGAATAGTTTTACACGTATGCTAAACCATCACAATTAAATAAGCTTAATATCGGTTTAAAATGTAATTAACAATACCAAAATATCATATGACGTTTCTCGTCTTTGGGGATGTTAATATGGTCTCATTCTTTCCATGTTCTGTTTGTCCTTGCTGATAAGCCAGTTCCATAACATGGCAGAATTAACCCGTGGGTTAGCCCCTCCCCTCACAGCAGAAAGGACAGGAAATAGAACTCGGAAATTGGTATATATAGATCCACCCAATTTTCCCTGTTGTTAACAGAAGTTTGGAAGGAGTCTGCTTTAGCAGGCCTAGATTTTTCTTTTATGCTTACTAGACCAATATTTATATAAACACAGCCAAGGTTGAGCCTCTTGCCCCTGAAGACCCAGCAAACAGCACATATACAAGAATTGCCTCCCTGGGTACCCCCTTTAGTGACTGCTGTTCTGACCTAACTCTCTCACTGTAGGTGACAGTGGTCCATTAGATACATAAGGCCCACCAGCCTAATATAAATTAAAGGGACACTGTACTCACTATAACCATTTCATCTCTTTGAATTGGTTACAGTGCCTGAAGTGCCCTGGCACTGTCCCTCCATTCAGTGTTGCAACATGTTCGTGCAGTATGTCACAAAATAAGAGTCCCTGGCCACCCACAGTCCAGCTCCTTCTGTATGTGTAGCTAAGGCTTCCACACTTCCTTGTTGTCATACCCATTCATACCGTCAGTTGGAGCTCTGACAGGCTAAAAGCAGTCAGCTGACACTCTCAGCCAATCACAGCTGCCTATTGCTGCTCAGGCTAACACTTCCTTATTAGCCAAAGCAGCACAGAGGGGATGGACTGACAGGGACTTGTTTAGCATTAACACATTAAAACATTAAAAACTGTTTAATGCTGAAAGAAATGATGGTACCAGGGGACTCCAGACACTATAACCAGTTTAATGAGATGAAGCAGATTCAGTGCCTACGGTGTCCCATTTATCTACCTCAGTACCATTTATCTACCTCAGTACATCTGCTTACCACCCACTACAGCTCCTAATCCTCCAACTACAGCTCCATCCCCCTGTACTTCAGCCTCTAACCCCCCACAACTGCCCTTAAACCCCAAGTACTACTGTTAACCCTCCAATACTGCCCCTATCCACCACTACTGCCACATTGTTGCTCCTAAACCCCCACTACTGCCCCTAACCCCCAACTACAGTTCAATTCCCCCACAGCAGCTCCTAACCCCGACTACAGCCCCTCTAGTGTCTTTGATCACCACTACAGCTCCTAACCCTTCACTACTTATTTGCCTGGAGTGTTCCTTTAAGTGATCTACCAGTGTCCCTCCTGAGATTAGCTTCTGGATATTCCCCTGCAGCTTCAGGATATGTGATTAATTAAATCTCTGTGTATGAGGTGATCAGTATATCTGACTGATATATTGTTAGTATATTTACTGGTGTGGAGACACAGCCTCACAGTACACAACTATATATAAGTATACAACTGTATGCAACCATACAACTGTATAGTTTCTGTATGATGTACTGTTAAGACACAGCCTCTGTATATGTGACTAATATCTCTTACATGAGCTGTATATTAGAATCTTTGTGTGCAAGTTAACGTTAATACATAACCCCATTATATGTGAAAACCCCAGTTTGAAGCGCTTCCAATTTTGCAACAAACTAGGAAAAGAATCCTTCTTGACCCCAAAATGGCAGTCAGATATCTCCTTGGATCAAGCAGCTATTACCCCACTAATTAGAAATTATATTCCTGTGTGTTATGTTTTTACAAGTATTTATCTAATTGCTGTTTAAACATATGCATGGACTCTGATAAATATATGAGCTGAGGTTAAAGGAACACTATAGTATTAGGAATACAAACCTGTATTCCTAACGCTATAGTGCCCTTGCCCCTTCCTTTTCCGCCCACCCCCCCGTCCCTCCCCCCGCTGCCCATATGCAATAACAACTGATAAAATAAAAGAGTAATTCACTTTTTTCAAGTGCAGAGGCTCCATCGATGCTGCTCGCCTCTCTGCCAACTGCAACGTCATGGCCACCTTCAGGCATGGTCTAATCCAATGCTCCTTGTAGAGGAGCACTGGCGACCTGATGCGCATGTGTGGCAAGTGCTTCATGCACATCCAAGCTTTCCCATAGGAAAACTTTGTATTTACGCAATGGCCGAGCCTCTAGATGCTTGGCTGTAAAGATTTAACCATACAATGTAAATATTGCATTTTCGTAAAAAATTTAACAAAATGCAATGTTTTACAATAAAACTGTTACCTGTAAAACAAAAGTATTATACTTACCATAAGCTATTGCTGCTCAATCGTTTGAAAAGCCTCATCAGCAACATTTTGAATTTCAGACAATCATTAATCTCTATGAAAAAAAATTCAAAATGAAAGCAAATGCTGCTACTAAAAGTAACATTTGCTTCATTTTCAGTAAAAAAATAAATAAAAAGAAATATATGCCTAATATAAGTTGTACAAGGAAGGTTTTAACCTCCCCCATGCCCACACTCGCAATGCCCAGAGTGGAGCATCCCTTCTTAAAGAGATGCTCCACTGCACAAATACAAATAAATAAAAATCCTTGTTAAGTAGATATATCCCCAATAAAAAATCTAAACTTGCATGTATTTAATTATGCTTTCTTTCATTGGGGGTATATCTAAAACAGTTTGCAAAACCTGAAGTTCTTTTGTCTGCTGCCTTCTAACCTCGCCCAGAGTTTCTGTGGCTGTCCAATGCAGCTCAATGAGAAGTCTTTGCCAGGCAGATGCTCTGGGCAATTGCTGCCACTTGAGTTTAGCTTCAATGAGCTAACCAAACCAGGAAGTAATAGGACCTGTTGTCTGCTAGAAATTCAGGGGGTGTAACTAGGTTAATTTATAAAAGTGTCAACTTCTATTAAATTTTGCACTTTTGCAAAATGAAAAAAAAAAACCTCTTCACACAAAGCTTTTCAGCAAGCTAAAGTGCTTTAGAGGTCTGGAGTGTCCTTTTAATAACAAATTGGAGACTGGGTTATATAATGCTGCTAGTAACATACAGGCAGGACCTGGACAGGTCTCCCCTGTGGCCTCAAATGCAAGAACAAGGGATGGACAATGATCTGTCCAACACCTATGGCCCTACAATGGGTCCCTATTAATTTATTAATAGTGCAGGGGGACATTATGTACCCCCCTGTGTCCCTAACCATGGTCAGTGGTGGGGTTTATAATTAATATAATGGTGGGGACTTAATGTTTTCCTCTACCCCCATCCCTGGGTGGCAGGTGGGGGCTAATTACCATATTTTTCCATGTATAAGACTATCCCATGCATAAGACAACCCCTATTTTTTTAGCCCTAAATTAAGAAATCAATATTTTTAACGTCAAATAGAACACATTTTACAATTTAGAGGTGACTTCTGGAGAGAAAAACACTTTTCTGATTCTCATGCCTCCCCTATGCTACGGTACTCTGTGAAGTTAATGGTGCCATCCATCTACAGCTCCCACAATACAGAAGATGGTGTGAGGGCATGCTGGGACATCACAGTAGTATTCCCTCTGCTCCCTGATCCAATTTCCTCCCCCATGAATATAAATCCGAAAGTAAGACCTACCTGAGGTGGAGCATACTTTAATATGGCTAATCCTTTTAAGGTGTGGCATGTCTCTGGAGCTCCGTTGGTGGTGAGTGCTGATGTCTGCTGCAGCTCCCACGCATATAGGGACCTCTTCCTTCTTGCCACAGCATTCAGAAGGGGATCGTGGGAGGTAGGCCAAGTATGTGGGCCGTGGCACACTGAAATGTGGCAGGCGCCATCTTAACTTAGGCCCCGCTCACAAGTGGTTTTTTTTTAACCCCTGCAGTGACATTCCATGTGTAAGATTACCCCAATTTTAGACCAAAAATATTTAGAAAAAAACATAGTCTTATACATGGAAAAACACAGTAATTAAAAAACGGGGAGGACTTAATGTCCCCAGTGGCTCCCACTCCTGGTCAGTTGGTCAAGGCTATAATACCTGCAAACAGAAAAAAAAAGTACCATCAGAAGTCTTCATTTTTGTAAATCTTTTCTTCAGTGTTTGACATGTTTTTATTTTACAAATTTGTTATTTCAAAAGCAAAGGGCACAAATGTTAAACATTCCATAGCAATGCAAATATAACATGGCAGAGGCACTTAACAGTGGGATTTTGATCTTAACTGCTTCCAAACGAAAAAAGGGAAAAATTAGCCTATATAATGTGTGTAGGAACTCTCAAAAAATGGGGATAACCCCTAAATGGTGAATTACAACATGGCAAAAAGAGGGGGATAGAATAAAACAAAAACAAAGCAAAAAGGAGGTACAAAGAAAATTCATAGTGTAAGGAAAATTCCCTATAACCTTGCACAAGAAAATAAAAAAAATTAACCTTTATTAATAACCATTAAGAAAATAAAAATTTAATTTAAACCAAATTTCCTGCATTCAAATACTTATATTAGATGGCAGATATTGCTAAAGTCAATTGCCTATAATCAAATTCTACTTTTAGATAGCAGGTATTTCTTACTAGAAGGCTAAAGTTGCAAATGTATCAAATTATTAGAGTAGAAAATATCAACATTGTGAATGCTGTAACGAAATAATAGCAACGAAAGGGTAGATGTATCCAGCAGTAAGACCTCCAAGCATGAATACTAAAGGGATCCTATGGTGCCAGGAAAACAAAGCCGTTTTCCTGGCACTATAGGGTTAATGGGTCCCCCCTCCCTCGCGCCCTACAGTGGGGCTGAAGAGTTTCAAACCCCTTCAATCACTAACCTGAATCCAGCGCCGATGTCCCTCTGCGCTGGGTCAGGCTCTGCCCACGTTCCTCCCCCGCTGACGTCAGCCAGAGGGGGAGGGTGAGGACGTCCAGCATCAGATAACAGACCAAAAGTCACTTTGAATTCCGGAAGCGCCCCCGCGGCTGTATGCTAGAGGCAGAGGAAGACAGCCACTGTGGGTAGACTTAGCGCTGCAATGTAAACATTGCAGTTTCTCTGGATATTGTAGCACTAAGTGCAAAAGGGTCACAGCACCCGGACCACTTCTATTAGCTGAAGTGGTCTGGGTGCCTACAGTGTCCCTTAATCTGCTAGGATCGAGTGAAAACTCCAAAGGGCTACAAAAGTCAAATAAATTGATATAGGATATAAAGTGCAACAGACTAAAAAAAATACTCTTTTTATCCCCTTTTTGCTTTGGTTTTGTTTTATCCTATTTCCCCCCTCTTTTTTTGCCATGTGGTAACTCTACCTCCAGTACAACAACAGTACCCATTCACAGTGCATTAAAACAAACATTTTTCTTTAGCTCATCTGAAGGTGTTCGTGATTGCATATATTATTATACAAACTGAAATGAAAACCAACAAAAAATGTGAAGCTATTGTTGTATAGCTAGCAAACTTTATCCCACTGAATATATGCATGGTGGGCACTGAGCATAGTTTTCATCCAAAGTTATCACACCATCTAGCACAAGTTAACATAAAACTGACATTGAATTGTCTGTTTGCCTTGTAGGCGGCTCTGTGTTTTCTGTATCTCCCAATGCTCTATTTCCTACTGAACTCTATGATGAGAAATGTTTACACCAGAGAGATGTACACCTGAGAGAATATTACCAGCAGCTACTTACATTCATTGCTACATATGGGCCTGGAACATCATCTTCTATCTTTGAAGAATAACTAAGTGACTTAGAGCAGTAAAGACAAAACAAAGTATCTCCGACATTATTTTATAAAATCCTCATATTGGTTTGATGCAGTCCTATAGTTTAAACAATTTTGTTCCTGATTTGTTTTTTTTTTAAACAATTTGAAGTTTATTATGATAATTATTGGGCAATGAGGGTATTGTGCCATTTCAAGTGCTTTGAAGAAGAAATAGAGGGGAAAAAAACAAACTAAACCACTGTATGTGGGATGCAGTCTGCCTTATAATTCTTCATTTCAAATATATTACTATAGGTAAGCAGAATTCTGATGTGCCAGTCACGTTTAACACACTCTGCACCACAATAGATACAGGTTAGGTAGCTGTTATTGTTTGCCATGCCTGGAAATCATCTGGGGTTTTTTATACTTATTCCTCCTCAAATAGCTAGAAAACAGTTTGAGAAAATCCAGAGTAACTGCAACCACAGTCCTTACACCATATACCTTACAATAAGCTGTTGTGATGCTTTGACTGTTTGTTTGTTTGTTTTTCATGTATTTATTGAACACAAGATGGCAGGAGAGAGTCAGCAATATGGAACAAGTTTGAGAAAGAAACACCATACTTATTTTATCTGTACAGCAAAACTTTTAAATATAAAAGCTTTGGTATAACGAACCATATAATGTGTTTTATGAAATGAAAGGATACTCCACTTTTTCTGTCTTGTATCAAACAAGAAATCGAGCCATAGCTTGAGGAAGACTCAGAGTGTGTCCAAACTTTGCCTGTGCCTGATTTGATGGCTGAATACACAGCACTTATATTGAATTGCTGTGTACCTTGTATGAAGTTTATGGAAAAGGGGCCTTACCTGCTCACGCTGCTACCAAAATTTGGGGGATTCTTTGGAGTGCCTAACGCTCATAATTTCCATGAACTGAAAAATGCCTGCTTACTGCATGGTTCCCCATCATTACCCCTGTGTTAGAAGGCTTTTGCTGCCTTCCGCCAAAATGTTTTGACACCTCTTTCCAGATAATGGTATACTCAGGTAGTTCATCTGCTCAAGGTTAGCAAGCAGTTCCTTATGTACCTCTTGAAGATCTAGTTCTGTTTTCTTTGGCATACGTCAATAGCACTTCACTTCTGGATCAGGACCCAAATTGGATGCTATTGGTTAGAATAGGTACGTCATATTTAGCAGGCCCTAGGAAACAGCTCATTACTTTTTTACTTTAGTAGTACTATCTTTCTTAGTGTAATAGAGATTCCGCTGACACCAGGAATAGTCTAAATGAAGATGTTCTGCATTTGTTTAGTATACATTATATTACAAATTAAGAATGTATGCCCAGCTCATTTTAGAAATAAAAGAATGAGTCACCTAAAGAATGCCATGTATATAATTTTGGGTCCCTGTCAAAACACGTTTACAAATTACTAGCATAAATTATTTGAAGTTTTGGAATATTGCTATTAATCAGCTTCTGAGTTCCTCGAGCTCTATTCTTGTTTCAGGTTTAAAGAAACAAATGTGTATTCCTAACACTATAGCGTCCTAGTCACAGTTTAGGTGACACGCTCCCACCTTCCAGGGAAGGTACAAAGGTAGTTTACGCACGTTTTCTCCCTCCAGCACTGGTCTCTCACATTCCACTCTCCCTCTTTGGCTGAGATCATTAAGATCGATAATCTCACCCCATAGTGTGCATGTGCAACAAAATGCTATGCTGCACCAATCAGATGATCTCTCTGAGATAATCTGATTGAAATAGTGGAGGCAGGTTAACCCTGCAGTGAAAACATCACTGTTCTTCAGAACGTTAATGTATGGCACCCAGAACACTTAACTGAGATGAAATGGTCCTAGTGGCCATTTAAGTGGGGTGTTTTTAATTGACTAAGGGGAGGTGCTTCTGTTCTGACTTCTGGTCACTTCTGAGATTGGCCATTTACTATTTTCAGTCACTTCAAGGCCTGTGCACAAATCCATCAGCATCACTTTTGATTACAGTACATTTTCTGCTTTATTCCAGATACATCACTTCTGTAGTGACACTTTCTACTAGGCCTGGCATATATTCTTTTCATGCATTTTTAAGTGCAAGATCACTCCCATTTCATGCAGGCATTTTGTATTTTCTCTATTAGAAGAATTCTGTGGATATTAACCCATTTTCCATACTATCCCCACGTGTTCCCTGACTCTCCTTTTAGGTTCTATTACAGTGACCTGTCGCATGAGCGTTCCTGTTACACATATGCACCTTGAAGTCTGCATTTTGCAACTTCCCAGCTGCCAAAACTGTCAGTAATATCACATGACTGCTGATCCTAAAAACCCCAACTCCCATTGCCCAATAAAACACAGGAGACCTATATAATGGGTAAGGGCAACGGCCACAGCTTTATTTAGATAAACAATATATGGCAGCAAACACATTGACCTGTTGGCTGTTGGGCTGGTTCTCCAATAGACACCTTTAACCGTAAATCCAAGAGTCCAGGGCAGCCTGCCGACCGCCATCAGCTCTTGGCAGGCTGCGGCTCCCCAAACCGATGCGGCAGTTTCCTCCACTGTGAGTCCCCTCCCTACTTGTCCCTCTTATATCTAGTCTACCAATTGCAACAAATGTATACCCTTATTCCCAGGCCCTTAGCCGGTCCAGTAGTCATGTTTTCCCTTCCTCATGGTCCTGGGAGATTTTAGAAGTTCTGTGGTAATGAACTGTTTTTCATGCACACTGCCAGTGCAAAGATTTTCGAAGACATGGATTTTAGTGACTGCCTAGTCAATTATGTATTTTATTAGCAATAATCATTCTCCAGTAACTGGATTAAGGCATAGTTTATATAAATAACTAAAGAATTTGCTAGATTTATATTTTGGTAATGTGAGTTCATAAGACTCTTAATGTTCATTGACCTCTTTTGGGGTTGGGTAGCAGTTGTCATTAACTTAAATATTTATCTAGTACTCACCCCACAAAAAATTGCATCCAAATTAGATTTCAACTGGACATTGTGCGCAGCTGCCTCGAGCAATGTTAAGAGCTTGTAAATCATTCTGTACAGTCATTAGAAAACATGCTTTCTCTGAGTAATGGCCACTTCCTTTTGGACACTATGCAACCACATACCAGGAAAACTAATTTGATCATAAAGAAATGATAAATGATATATCAACTTTAAACTTAAACACATAATTATTCTAACTTGACAAATATTTAAAGGGAACAACCAAATGCCAATATTACCAATAAAAATATACATTTAACCATTACAACAGCCCGTTGCTGGCATATACACATACGTGTATCCTTTTTACAGACATAACATTTACCAAGGGATTGCACAGTTTAGGCAAAAAATAGCTGAATTCATAAAATTCTCCAATTTAGCTTTTGTGGCCTAACTGTTACAGTTTTCACCAGAGCAGTGTGATCTGCTGTGCAGTGCAAAACAAAGGGGTATCCACTATGTCTTGGCAGGAATACGCAGATAGATACACTAGAAATTTAAAAGTTCAGCTCCTCCTAATACTCCTTCCCATATGTCATAAAACCCCTAAACCACCTTAGTAACCCCAGAAAATACACAAGGCTTGTAACTGCAAAAATACATTTTTTTAAATAGGGAGGGAAATACATGCACTACCTCTAATCCAGAGGAAAAATACATTTATGTTAAGCAAAATTTGGTCTTTTCCCTCCTTCTGAGAGGCAGTGCACAATAGGGATAAACAAGCAACCCCTAAAGGGCAGGTAGACATCATTTTATCATTGCTTGAAGCACCTTGTGCCCAAAAACAGCAGGCTGTATGTCTTATTTATATTGTTTGGAAAAAGTGTGAATCAAGGACCAGGTAGCTGCCTTGAAAATCTGAGCTGAGTTGCTAATGCCTTGGATGCTCAGGATGTAGCAATTGCCCAAATGAAACGAGCCTTTAAATGAAGCAAAGGAGTAACTTTAGAGTATTTGTAGGCAAGAATGATAGCTTCTTTAATCCGTCTTGTTAATGAGGCTTTGGATGTCTTGAGACCTCTTTTTTTACCCTGATAGAGAGCAAACCGCCTATTAGAAGGATGATCAGGTTTCATGTGTTTAACATCAAGGCAATTATATTAATGGCAATGATTCTTGCTTTTTACCAAATAGGAACAACTGGAGGGAAAGTACTGTCCAGATAACAATCTCGGGAAATTGCAAGGGTTATTCACAAAGTCTAAATTGTCTGATCTGAAATCTTCTGGTTTTCTTGTTCATTCTTGAAGCCATCAGGTCTTTTTCTGGAGATAAAAATATTAACACTATTTCCTGGAAATGTTGATAGGAGAGAGACCTATCCCCTTGCTTCAAATGATTCATGCTCAGAGAATTTGGCAAAATATTGGTTTCTCTATTTATATAAACTGCAGATAGGGAGAGCGGGTGACTCTGACCAGAGCATTTCACAACTTTGCCAGGGAGGGAGAATGAGTTCCTCCTTGCCTGTTTAGATATGAGACTGTGGTTGCGTTGTCTGATTGTATTTGAACATGGTATCTCTGTAGGTGTTTCCTGAAACATAGGAGAGCCAAACAGGTTGCCTTGAGTTCTCAGTAATGTGATGACTTTCGGGAATCCTGGGGAGTCCATTGTCCATTTGTTGCAGATTTCACCAGGTGAGCTCCCCAACTGAAAGAAGAGGAGTCTGTGGTGGTTTATAAGCAAATTTTTCATTCTGAGTGAAAGATCCTCCAAATTTTCATTAATAAGACCATGGAAGAGACTCCTCTGTCACATTCTGCTAGAATATTTCTTTGTAGAGGGTTTATTCGTGCCTTGGCCTAGATGAAAACTGGAATTGTAACGGCAAAGAAACATATTTTGTTTCTACAGCCATATTAGAGCTGAAGAGATTTCTTTTCTGATGGGAAAATAAAATAAATTGGAACGGAATCTATTATGAGACACAAAAATTTAATCCCAATTTTTCTTGGCTTTTTTTTATGGGTTTGACGTGCTGTTTTGAGGATGCAAAGAG